GAATGGTACCTAACACCAGAAATATTTATGGTACGAGTTCCATCATAGACGTAATTCGATGTTATTTAAACTACTTATGTATAATATGTATTTATACTGTGTATGTGTATAAACTGTCTCGTTGGCCGAATGGTCGCAAGTGCATACAATCTTAAACATCCTTTGCTTCCTTGTCTTTGCACGCATGCATGGCGCCGAAATGTACCTACTTTCTAAGTTTCCATAATAAATTACGTATAAAAAGTGTCTATCATTTATTGAAATGAAAACCAACCATTTAAACAATATTACTGGGTTTAAAAAAACTTTACTAGTAGCACGGAGTCTAAAATTGTGTCAGGTATATGGCAATAGGCTCACATTATTACATGGGACTCATAACATAAATAGTGAAAAGTGGGTGTTACATTGTACAGTAGCCCTTCGGGGATAAAAGGCGTGATGGTATGTTATATGTATAGAAATTCCACATCAAGTTTTAAAAGTATTTAAAACCTTAATGTTCTGAATTTAAGTAAACTTAGTCCCGACTGAAATAACAAAGAAAAACAATGTGTTGCATGTAAATAAACAGTGACATACATATAACAAGTTATCTTAAAATAATAGTGTCACATTGAACTCGCTCGCCGTGACCTCATTCAGTTTCCAGCAGGCTTTCAGTAGTCAGCCACTTATCACTAACAAAATATCTCTAGTTTGAAATAATTTAAAGAAATTAAACATTCTCGAATACATGCGCAAAGATATCGAAATCGAACAGTAGGTAGCATTTTTCTATAAAACTTAACGTATTTAAGCGTACGGTATATATACACATAATTATTGATCTCCAAGAATCCTCAAATTCCTAATCTCCAATAGGCCGGTAACGCACCTGTAACTCCTCTGGTATTCCGGGGGTCCCTGGGCAACGTCGATTGCTTACCATCAGTTAATCCGTGTGCTGGTTTACCGGTTTATGAAATAAATGAATTTTATGAAATAGATACCTAAGATATCGACATTCATAACATGAATACACTAGCGAAAAGTGAAAATATACACTTCTCCTAAGTCCTACCCTTCTCAGAATTAGAAGCCATGTTAATGTATCTAAATGAAAAGCTTAAAACATGATTCCGCTTTAAGTCACCGCTACAAGCTTCAGTAACAAACAATTTAAGTAAATTTTCCGAGGAAACATTTCCATTTAAAAGCATCCTTGCATTCGTTATAACCGTAAAACTTCTTTTATATCTAAATAACGTTCGTCGATGTTTACCCAACAGTTTCGTGACAAAGGAAGGTTGCCATTTGTTATGTCGTTTCAACGGAAATTAATTGAAAAGCTGCAGAAAGTTACGTTTAGTAATGATTGCCTTGAACCTGAATAACTAATGTCTTCGTGGCCGTGTCCATACAATATACTGACATGTCGTGTCGTTATAATCACAGTGTTTTACTACAACATATTCTGATACCCATCATAATGACAATTCTTGCTTCTGGAACATTCAAGGCTGATCGCACTTATCCAGTCTTCCATTATCATTACTGTACCTACTAATAAGTGATAGAAAATACATAAATTTTCATTTACACGCCTAGCTTCAAATCAATTTTCTGTGACGTCAAACTACCAGGTCTGTTGTCAGACTATTGTAATGATATCTTCCAGTATACCATTAGTGGGTGGATATTTTGACCATCGACAATGGTTAATCATCTGTTGATTAGATAGGAACCGTTGATATCAGTGTGGCATTACAAGGCTCATTGTACCGACTACTTACGGGATGTGCCCTACTTTACATTCAGGGTAGATAGCAGAACAGTTATAACCGAAAATTCAATATCTACTAACAAATAACGAAGCCGGAAATCAAAATCAAACTAAACAGATAGTAGATTTATGTCCGGAAGCGATTAGATACCTAATAACAATCTATTTCACACATATAGTAACAAATATTTGGCTATCATCATTCAAAACACGTTTCATAAATCCGTAACCATTTTATGCACTCAGTCATGACGGAAATGGATATTGTAATTCGTTGCCAAAATCGCGAAGTATATTGTAATTTGAAAGTTTGTAAGCAAACGCAACCCCTTCATTATGCTTGGCACGCACCCAGAGGCCAGAACGATATTCTTTAAACCTAACGAATGTCCTTTGACGGCAATGGACGAACTTGTCACTTCCGCATCCTTGCACAAACTTGTAAAGGAGACCTTAACAGATCGATGCTAACTAAAGGTACGGTACATAGGTGACTACCCGACAGAGGTTCATATACACGTCCTGTCTAACCAGGACAGTTCACACTTGTTTCCGAGAGCTGCTCAATTTCGGATAACTGACCACCGTGAAACGAGGCTAATGTACCTTCATTGTGTCTCTTCCTGTGATGTTCAGGAACAATGTATTAGACGAGTATTCTCCCATGCTCACCCGGGACCGACATTAACATTGACAATGGTGGTACAAATACTAACATAGTAATCAATGCGTGACGCTATGGTAAATAATTATTAACACCTGCACGCAGCCGTCACTGGGTCCAGCCTAGCGTAAACACAATCTCCGCTAATTAGAATATGGATATGTATTCTATTCCATAAACTGTATTTAAATACGCATTCGATCATGTTTAACAGGGACAGGGTTAAATTGCTATTAGCTAATCGTTTTACTACAACTGGTACCTGTTTAATAATGTTTTTTTAAACAAAAACAAACATAAGTACATTATAGATCAACTGAACATAGAATATTTTCAGGTTTTAAAACAAAGAGCAAAGAGTATTTACCAATAATGAACTATTTGTACATTATCTGTGCAAAAGGTAACCAATACGGGTATTCACGATGTAACTCGTAAAACCAACTCGAGGTAAATGGTTTAAATATTGATTTGTATTTGTAGCAGTAAGTGTTTTCAGGTCACAGTCATTCAATATCTTGACTTTATTTTTATACTACGTAGGTACAAATTTATTTACCAATTTATGATCTTGAACATCATACTTGTATTCTGACTTCTTGACTAAAAGTACCTACAGCTTTAAAAGGAAAACCATTTCGACTTACGAAACGCTTAAATTCATATTCAACAATGTCATTATCAGAGTTGTACAAATAAATAAGCCTAACAACTTGTTATGAGGTAGTCACACACTCGAACAAGAGACGCAGCGACTCACTGTTATCATAAAACATTAACACATTCACGATAGATAAATCTAAATCTGGTGCAAATACCGGCTACCTACTTATTTCATGAGTACAAAAACGTATAATATACTTACTTACTAAGATACCAAGATCTGCATATTGTAAAACATCTTTAGAATCGACACCAAAAATGAGACAAAAAGTTGCTGGAACCTGTCGCGTAAAATACAAACTATCAGTAGATGCATAATTATTGAAATAATCGTTCAAAGGCATCGTATATAAGCAGTTGGAACAAACACATGTAAAACAAAGAACAAATTATAACAAGCTCCAATCTTAGAATAATGATGTAATCTTTATTTGTGAACTAGTAAATGGATTTAGTAGGTACCGCAACAATATTACTGTAAGTATTAATAAAGACAACTAGGAAGTGTCATAATATTCATAATATTGCAATAAAATGACTTAATTTCCAAGAAATGACTGGAGGCTACGCCATGCACAAACGATATGCTATGTAATACCCATAGGTACGTAGTATTGCGCCCTTTAAGAGCTGACATCAGGCTTTTATGGCAAATAATTACTCAGTGGTGCGGTCACGGTAAACGGCATGGGCCTTGCGTTTGCTTGTACACACCCGAAGGAACTATGGATTTTACTGCCAAGGTCTTTACGAATGCAATACACGTTTTACACTGAATGTGTATACAGCTACTGAAATATAGATTTCAGATGATAGAAATCTAATGGTTATTAAGGAATGATGCAGGTTTTTCGTAGTCAATGCATTCAGCATTGTCAATGAATTTGTCATTGTAAATGTATGTTTGTATGTCTATCGCTTTCGATCTCCTGCCATGTCCAAAAAAGGATGTTTTTCTAAATCCGGAAGTAACTTTACAACAAAATGTAGTAAATCATAACAATTAACACAATTCTCCGAAGTTCTCTCACAAAATTAGTTCGACCTCTATCTGGTATCCGCTTTCCCAATTTCCTGTAAATTGTTCTATTCAGTAGAGTCACAGCACAGGAACATGAATCGGTCACCCCATAGTTAATTAGTATAATTTGTGTCCGGTCATCATATCACCCATTGCCACAGTACTTGACTATAAGTTATTAGGGAACCGTCGATTCACCAGTTCTTTTGTTTCGGCGCCCTAGAGCCGACATAGTGAAAAATGTTAATCACCGAACAGTAAATGTTATCAGATTCAGCAACCAAGCCATGTATGACGGAACCTCTGGAAAAAAGGCCGTAATTTTATCGTGGGCTTTTATTTACGTAATGCCGTAATTTTACTACTAGCGTATTAGGTAGACTCCAGTCACTAATAAATCTTTTAAAAGCAGAATACTTAATTATGTTTTCCATTAATGTAACCTCGTCCAGCGGATTAGGTTTTAAAATAAATTAGACCCGCAAATGTTTGTACACGCCACAGTTGAACACGCATCAAATTCTCGTCATTCTAATTACTAACTTCATTAGGTTATTAGATAAGCCCATAGTTTGCAGGTACATACCTAATTAAACAAAGATTTAATCACAGGTATCATTTGACTAATATGTTAAAGAACTTCAGTTGCAATCGAGATTTATAAGAGAGCGCTTCTTAACTAATATAACGCTACATAGAACCAAAGGCAGACGTACCACGATACAAGACAAAAGCATACCTATTACAAAAGTTTGATTAGTAATATCAAATCTAGTAAAAACTGTGAACGTATACTACGTACTAACGTAGGTTCGTCTCTGAATAATATGATAAGTAAATCTTTAAAGCCTGTGTGACTTACGTGATTTTCTTTTGTTTACAGAACCATGGGTGAACTAGGAGCGAAACTTGGTCTCGATGAGCTGACTGGAGGAGCTGCCGGCATCAGCAAGGCATTGCTGGCGGAGTTTATCGGTGAGTCAAAAATACTACAATTATTTAAATAAAACTTTGTCTTTACAATCTTCCAAATGGTCTAAATTTCGATTAGTAATCTACAATACTAATTTGCGCTCTATGTGCTAGCTATGAAGTTAAATTTGATGTCATTTATCTAAACCTATCCAGCAGATCATTAAGAAAAAAATATCATTAGATGACATTATTACAGACGCGACAACATAATAGGCTAACCACAAACGTCGTGGTCAGAGTTTTTCTATGAAAAATTCACCTTACTTGGTATGATAAAATTCCACATTGTGTTGACGGAGATACCTTAAACGGAGTCATCTAACAGCCCTAATAGGTGACATCAGTGGACACTTGGCAAGGTTTCATACCATACCAAGTTATGTCATAAATGTATTTTACATATATTGAACATATTATTTCAAACCAACTACTTTTGGTCATCACTAAATCAAGTTTAAATTTGAATAACCTATACTCTTGAGAATATTATATAATTTGATTTCGTTCTGAATTAAATGATGTCGATCATAAATTAAACTTTCGCACAAATTAAGCATCGTGCAGCCGTAGGTAATCCTTAAAAGCAGAAGGTTTAGACAAAAATAGTGATATATCATATATCATGTCAACTACACATTCTATCTTACAAAAAATAACGTCAGAATCGGGAACGCCAATATTGTTACTTAACCCAACCATTGAATGTACCTTCAATTCTCATATACGCGTATGATGCGTTTACCACCACCATACAATTAAAATGCCATTAAATTATCCACTATTACAGTACTGCCTAACAAACCAGTAGGTACAGCATTCTGGAGTGCATGTATTGTAGATTATTATCAATAAACGCTGGTAGGTAATTGCCTAGCTAAGTATAACTTTATACTTATCTCACGATTAAATATTTTCTAGCCTGATAGGATATGTGCAAACTCGGTTTCCTTGTTGTTACTAGAATAACCTAGAAAATTTGCTGAAGCTTTTAGTAATAACACTAAAGGAGTGAAGACTAATTTGTGACAATAGTTCATCGTGTAGGAGTCCCGTGACTGTACTTAAAATTTTTATACACTGTTGCCATAGTCCAATTTAGGGCTCACTAAGTCCACCACCAGCTAAATGCCAAAAAAGATATAAAGTTTTCCATTTCTACTATAAGAGAAAGCTGTTTAGAGACATTTAGTACAAAAGCATTTCTTTTAACAACATTTCTCAATATTTTCACCAAATTTTTAAGCTACGTTAAATGCCTGGATACGTAAGGGAAAATGCATAGAAAAATACCATCATATCTTTGTGTCATCTCAATTTACGACGACGTAAAGTTGACATCTTCATTGAAATGTCAATCTTAGCATGCGATAGCCCTTTGTATGAAACCCATTACAAAATATGTATAAAAAATATTATCCTATACACTACAGACATACATATACGGGGATTCTAAACTCATCTATGGCTTTGTAGTACTTCTAACTACAATTTTAATGCAAAAACTTTGATATCCCTTTAATATACCTATGCTTGATGTCACCAAAGGAGAGCTATATCCTCTAAATTTATTTCTGGAAATGTTATTAGAAATTATTCTTCAATGGGTCGCTAGTACTACCTATATATATTTATATTCAAATTATGCTATGCAACAATTAATAACTATTGTAGAGCAAATAAGTCTCAAATATCCACTAGCGCCACCTAACCAAAAAATCAAGCCGATCAACTAAATCTCAAATTAAAGAAATTAGGTTTAAAATGATTTTATTTACTTCTTTGGAATTGTTTATTAAATTGGTGATCAGTAATTAAATACCATGTACGAGAATGTGTATAAATGCGCAGATTTCTGTTAACATAAAAAATATTTTTGTTTAGGTAATCTACTGCTGAACCTGTTCGGTTGCGGCGCTTGCATCAACATCATACAGGGCTCCAGTGCTCCTCCCAACATCGTGCTCATCGCCCTTGCCTTCGGTCTGGCGGTGTTCGCCAGTGTATCGGTATGTACCTTACCTTCACAAACATATTTTATTACAACAACCTTATCATAACCGTCATTTTACATCTTTTCTTCGATTCATAACGTCACTCAGCGTCCTACTAAAATACTGCATCTATCTATTATTTTAACTTATGACTATGCAATCCTCAACAGGCTATAGGACACATCTCAGGTGGCCACATCAACCCAGCCGTGACCCTAGGTCTAGCGTCAACGGGTCGTGTGAAGATTGCGCGTGCGATTCTGTACATCATTGCGCAGTGCGCTGGAGCGGCCGCTGGCTCTGGTCTGCTAAAGGCTCTAACTCCTGACCGAGCGGCTGGAACCCTCGGGACCACCGGCCTCGGCGCTGACGTCACTGCACTGCAAGGCTTTGGAATTGAGTTCTTCCTCGGATTCGTGCTCATCTTTGTCGTGTGTGGGGTGAGTTTATTACAAAACTACTACAAAGATAAATACAAGAAAGTTAGTTATTTCCATTCTCGAACAGTTGGCCAACTAAAAACCCTCCCCATATCAAGTTTAGTGGAAAAAACACATATAAATTTACTAGCTGTCTTTTTTGCCCTGACCACAAAAAAGTAGCACAATTTGGCAATCGGGTTTTTCGGAATAGATTTTGTGTGAGTCATGAAATTCAGATTAAATTGTAATACGTATCTAGGTTGTAATTTAATAATACGTGAGGCAACGAAGGGTATTTCCGTGGTCAGATACCTACGATAGATGAAATACAAATTTCTTAGAATTTCAGAGCATAAATACTTTAAAAGTGATAAATAATAACAATACCAAGAAGTGCAAATGGTAGTACATAATAACTAAGATTCGGAACTCAGTATAAAGATTAGATAATACCTACAAACGTTCATAAAAATGCACATTATTAGGTAACTCCTAAAAATATTCGAACTTTTGTCATTCAGAAATTAATTCCAGTTTTGATAGACGTAATCAGCAAGTCAGGTTTTGTCAGTCACGCTAACGTTAACGGAGAATAAAAAATAAATTCCAATTTGTTTATTTTTCATTCATAACATGTACTACCTACTCACTATACAGCTGATTAACTTGTTCGGGCATACCTATAAACAGTAGGATTTTGATACAGTTATTGCCTTTAAAACCACTACGATGACAGGACGATTTTAATTTAATTTACATAACATAACATCACGCCTTTTATCCCCGGAGGTGACATTACGGCACTTAATGCCACTGTACAATGTAACACCCACATTTCACTATTTATGTTATGAATTAATATGAAAATATATGAATGAATTTAAACTGTCAAACACCGCGAGGACACCGGTGACCGCAACCTATTGTTCTTTAATTGTATATATAATTACGGTACTCAAAGAGTTAATTTCAAATTTATTTTATTCCAGCTAAATAATAAAGTCGCGATTCTATGTTAGTTAATGAGTTGGAACGCGATTGTACCATAAAATAATCAGCTAATGACAAATCTCGTAGTCTGAGGTACCATCAGTCGTTTCGTGACACAACGTTATTAGCGGAAACGTGCGCGGCAATCTGTCTTTTTGTAATGAAATATTTAAACAGTTTCTATAAACGGACAATGGAAAAAACAACGTCTATTCGCAAAATTAATTGCATGGAAATAACAATTTTGATATAGGTGTTTATTAAAATTTAGGGATTGTAGGGACGTAGAGAGATAGATATAAATATATTTGTCACCAACTCAACTTTTTAGGTACGTAGGGTACACCCTACTACGTATTATTAGTTCCTTATTATTCGTCTCGGACTTAATAAGGCATTAGACAGAGATGAGACATTAGCAACTACAAATCATAAACTCCTATACATTTTAAAGTGTAAGAAGTAATGACAAACCCTTATACCTTAGTCGGTCCGTCCAGATGTAGACTATCACCACCTCTCGATGTTATTTGCTTCGTTATAAAGACCCAAAACATAAGACATAGGTATGCAGGGCCGTCTTAGACTACGCTGGGCACCCTGGGGCACGCAATAATGCGAAGCCTTTTTGAACAGTATCGTTTTTTCAACGTTACACCACACTAGGATTTTCTTCTGTATCGTGGGTATATTTACAAACATACAAGTTCACATAAAAATGAGACCCAGACCCCAAACAATAAGTGGACCCCACAAAGATTTGCTCTGTGTGTGACCGTAAAAATTGTCGGTCCATCGGAGCCCCCTAAAGATGCACACGGGCCCCGAGTGCTCTTATGGTAACGACGGTACTGACTGAATGGTCTACTTAAACCTACCTGCCTTCATTTTAACAAGTCTTGAGAATCCTTAACCTATCAGAGTAAGACATTATTGTCTCTTAATAATTTATTGTAACTATTTATTTTTTCTTCAAAAATCTGAAGCCATTAGCAGTCAGATAGGTACTATGGTAATGATCATTAATCATTACGGATCAATGGATATCTAAATAAAATTATTATGAACTTAGCTATTGACAAGAGGCACCAAACTCGACCTGTGTATCTATTCTATATAGAACCTTGGAACCTAAACACTACCTATAGACAACAAAATTATTAAAACGAACTTAGTTACTTGTGTACCATTAAAGACAAACAAATAAAACTAGAATCATTTTAGTATCTACCTATTTGCTTTGGTACCTACGTCAACACACTGACTCATAGGCAACATCTTGCCAGGAAAGGATATAAAGTACTACCCAGTATTACCTTACACATATTATTTAAATATTAATGCAATCGTGATCTGGTTGAGGCAGGATTGTAATAATTCAATGTCACCACAGAAAATAACTAGTGTCCTTACCGACGCCTCTTTGTGGTATAATTATGTGTGGTTAATATCGACATGACATTGGGCTGGGCCTCGAATGATTGACAATCATTCTCATTTCAGCTTTGAAAAATTACATAACGTTCCTACAGACGATACAAATACAATCCATCACGACATACAATGTTGAGTAAAAAATGAATCGGTAAATGAAATAGATAGGGTTATAACGTTTTGCACGTATTTAAAGACGACCGGTTCCGTATATTTTGATAAAATATCTAAAACAAACGTTAGGTGTCTAAACAAGGAATTTTTTGAGCATGTAACCTACCGATAATATTTGCTTAAGTTTATGTACACCACATAAACTAAATAGAAATTGAAAAATATGTATAAAAAATTGAATTTTGTTAAAAAACTTAGGTATCTACACATCATTTTTGAGGCCATGTCTAAATAATTAAAAAACTGGTTAATATACTGATATCTTATTTAGGACCGATTATTCCAACGCCAGATACATTTTAATGAGGAATATTTGACATGAACGGTTAAGAATTAAATGATGATTGAAAAATCGGTCCTTATAGTACAAAAGATCTCGATCTCACTTTATTACAGCGAAAAAAAATTAAACGTCTAGTTAGGTACTTGTTTATATCAAACACTATAATTACAAGCAAAATAAATTTCGCGAGATTCGCGTGGTGGAGATTCCTAAAAAAACGCAGACAAAACGCGAGGTAACGTTGCGTGACGGAACTCAGTATTTTATTCGAGAAATAGTAGGCAACAATCTACTACAGATTAACATAATCAATATTATAACGTAGCTATATGGAACACGCTTATATTTCATTGATGTTTCCAAACAAGATACAAACGTAAGAATAAGAATGCATGATGCAGATAATAAAAAAGAAAGCGTCGCCACGTCGACAGGCAATTGTGTCTGATCCCGGCGAGGAGGTCATTCGAAAAATCTGGTTTCTTTAAGATGAATCGGCAATTTGTCACTGCCTACGTAACACTCTACTACTTACTACTTCCTCCCTAGTGTGGCTACAAGCGCCACCAACGCAGCATAGTTTTATTGATAATAGCTATTTTAGTTTGAAATGGGACATGAGAGATTATTCCATTAGATTTCTAAGTTTGTATTCCACTGCCTACATGCTATAGGTATTAGGTACACTGCCAGTTAAATAATGGATGACTATATGCTACTCAAAAATAATGCTGAGGGCCTAGTACGAGCTTGTTTTAGGTTTAACCATATCGAAACATTACCGCCTTTAGCCCTGTTGGTTGGTTCATTGTATCAGTCCAATGAATTCATGTTATCTGTCTTCATATCCCGCCTCAACTATATAAAATAGAACAAAAATGTATCAGAACTACTGTTCATGATATACCTAAGGAAAATATAATACAAACACTTTGGTATGCATCAAACTGTTAAACGAAGATTTAGCCAAATCACAGCGATTGGCATCGCATCGTAAACCGTGGAATTTAAATGTGACATAAATATGTGGTTCAAAGTGTTTCTGTTTACATTACCCACCTACTTACAGTAAAATGTCGAATGATTTGTGATATCCGTACGTGCCTGCAGCGAATTGCGACTAAGATGTTTTGTGAAAAAATATTGAGTTTTAATTGTAACTAAGTAAGTAGAGTTATTATTTCCTAAAGTAATAAAATGACAAATAAACCATACAAAAAGTATCAAGGCTCAGTGGCGCTAACTATAGATACTTACGAAAAAAACGTCACATTGAAAAAGGCAATTAAATATGAAAATAAGTGATGATACAAAACATGAGAATGTGAAAATATAATTACTTGCACTCCTATATTATTAGAAGATAAGGAACACCGTTACTCTATAAGTAATTAAGTAGACGATGCAACTCAACCACAACTCAGCGACGTCGGTTAAACAAAACAAAACTAATGTCTTATTATACGCTCCGCTGCCTTTGATTGATTTCTCGTTTTTGGGCAATTATTTACCTACAGTTATTTTATATGGCCTAGCAATAAACCCATAGCTTCAAATTTCGGCACTGGTATATTAATTTGATTATCTTTATTTTTATTAATATTTATTACTTACTTGCCAACGATTTTAGTCTGCTAGGAGTAGGTCATTATTGGTCACCATAAAAATTTTTAAACATTTACAACTTAGGTAGTAGGTACAGTATTAAAAATGTGCCAACTCTTGTCACGTCTTCACGAGATGAGATTAGGTACCATAAAATGTTTTTTCGTCAACAAGATTATCCACCTCGTATTATATCGCTAAATTGAAATAAAAAAATGAACTTACTAGATAAAAATGCACTTATGTTGAAAAACACTCGGGAACAACAACGCTATATTGGCTGGCCAATCACAATGGTAGTAAAAAATACTGCCACGTTCTTGCAGCGCCATCTGTTGTCGAGTAGAAATATTAAAAGTTCTTGGTTGCGCCTAGATTTTTGAAACTCATTCTGATTTCTAATTTATTTACAGAGATCTTTACTAATAGTACATTATTTTCTTAGGTATGTGACCCTAACAAACCTGACAGCAAGGCCACAGCTCCCCTGGCCATTGGCCTGACGGTGACGCTCGGCCACTTGCTCGCTATCGACTACACCGGCTCTGCCATGAACCCTGCCCGCTCCTTCGGCTCAGCGCTCGTCGCCAACGTGTGGACTGACCATTGGGTAAGGATACCGTCCTTAATATTCCTACCAAATAGTTACCACTTAAGTCCCATGAAAAGGTTTTCCAGAGTATGTGTAAATATATTACATTGAAGATGTCACAATAATTAATTTGGCTCACCAGATAATCAAACTCATGACTCAATAAACGATGCAGTCACTCTTTAACTCTTTAGAATGAAACTGATGTTATTCAGAAAACAAATAATTAAAAAAAAACTGGAAACATCAGAAAAGTTTCTAATACGCCACTTATTTCCAGGTATACTGGGCGGGTCCTATTGCCGGTGGCATAGCGGCTGCGCTATTGTACGTGCATGGATTCTCAGCCCCCGCTGTAAGCACGCCCCCGCGCTACCGCTCCGTCGCAGGAGACGAGAAAGAGGTAAGCTCAACTTTACAAGAACATAATACATATACAAATTTAAAAGTAAACTCTTCCATCTGAGTATTTTCCCAAGTTAACTGATAACATTGCTCATTACAAGCGCACTGGACGCCTAGCGCCAACAGCTTGGACAGTAGAACAAAGTGTAAGTAGTCAAGTGTGCTCATGATCATCCACATCCCATCAATTCAAACTGAACAGACCAGTAACTGTATTCCATCACTGACTGATGTGTGATGTACCTTAATGATTTGTGTGCCTTCTTACTCCCATTTGCCCACTACAACAGGGCGGTTTTATCTAGGTATGTATGCGTGTGTCGATATCACAAGTTTTTTATCAGATCGTAGTTAATGTAGTGTGTTTTTGTTTAGCTGAAGAGGCTGGACGGTAAAGGCGAAGACATGGCTTGAAAGCGCCCGCGCCGGGCGGCGAGCCCCGCGCGCCCCGCAGCGCGGGCACTCGGGCGACCTGCGCCCGGGGCCGCGCCCGCACTCCACCACCACCTATTTATACAAAACAAACAACAGCTTTAAGTGTACCTACAATAGCTGACAAACTATAGTGCCCCTATGAAGGACGCTATCCACACGAACCAACCACAGTTATAAGAAATCTGATATTTGGAATCTTATCTCGTGTCAAACGATATCAAGTCTCGGAGTCATTCTCATTGCTCTGCTGAGTATATTGTGGAGTGTACTAGTGTAGAGATTTCTTGGTAAGAAGCCAAACGACCAGTTTGTGTCCACACATACATACAAATGTTTGTACATTGTAAATAAATATCTTTACATCGTATTTATGCAGAACTACAAGCTTATTTCGTGTTAAGTATTCGAACAATTTTGATATCCGCCCCATACTTTAATGTTAAGTTTAACGTAAAATGTTTTAAATGTGTTTGACGATAAATTATAATAAAATAATTGAGATTTTTATACTATTTGATATTTGGGATTATCAGTCTTTCTAAATTTTACGCGTAGGGGACACGGGAGCCAAGAATATGATCTTCCAAAAATCTCACTGTGTGGCTCCCTTACTAGTGTAGTTTAATTAAGTACCTATAAATTACTTTAAAGTATTTTGTTTACTTCAAATCGACTTACATTCGCATATTTACGTCATACATTTAATGAGGATTCACACTGTCTATATAAAACCTTTACAACCTTTACAAGTAATACCTACCTTACCTAAAAAGTTACCTACTGTAACTACTGTAACTAAAAACGCAAAATTAAATGTACCTTTTTATTAAAATTCTATTTCGAACAGAACATGTCCCCACACAAATGTGGTACCTACCTATGTAAGTCGCTTTATGTGTAAGCTATTACCTAAGTAGTACATAGAACCTAGCGAGTTTCAAACCCAAGTGTTCAAAGTTATACCAACTTGAGAATAAAAAACAAAATGAATGAAATTATTTTATAACTGATTTGTGCGAATGTCAAATTAATAGATACGTAAGTACCTTATACATATAAATATGAATGTAAACGTTTTGTCTTGATAATTTATTATGGTAAATAAATATGATATTATTTTAATTTTGTGTTTTATTTGTATCTACTTACGATATCAAACGACACGATGGTAAAACTAGAATTAAGTAATGTTTGAAATGGAATACCTCTGCCTCTGAGACACCTCCACATGATTGCCTCGTTGGCCGAGTGTTCGCATGTGCGACTGCAAGGGGCAAGGGGGCAGGGGGCAAGGGGTCTCGGGTTCGATTCCCGGGTCGGGCAAAGTATTACTGGGTTATATTTAAATCTTAGTATGTAGTAGCACGGAGTCTGGAATTGTGCCCGGTATATGGCAATAGGATCACCCCCAATAGGGGTGTTGTTATGAGTCCAATGTGAAATAGTAAAAAGTGGGTATAACATAGTAGGTACTTACAATGGCATTAACTTAATGCCATTATGTGCTGTAATGTGCACCTCTGCCTACCCCTTAGAGATAAAAGGCGTGATGTTATGTTTAAATAGAATATTAGTTAAAACTACTTCTTACTAGACAACACTCATTTTCCAAAGCGAGTCAGCAAAAACTGTTCTCAAAATCGTGCGCGAGATTCTTGATTCTAAAAGTGCAAGACAGTCCCTTTCCGAGTGCCATCCGCAGCCGATCTCAGATCAAACTAGTTCGGCGTAGGCTGATCAAACTAGTCCAAGGTGACGGAAGCCCCGCTCCGTAGGGCTCCTATTTCTACGTAACCTTGTGCTGTTTTTTTTTTTTTTCCTGTTTTCAATCAATCATTTATTGTCGGATTGTCCTTACTTCTACTTAAACCAGGAAAAACTAAAGCTTGGCATGACAACTAGTCTTATCTGAAAATGAAAAAATATCACTGATGAATACGGTATTTTACAACTAATCAAATTCAATACTTTTATCGAAACGTCAAAAACGATATTGCTCTATAAATTATGTACCAAAACCAACTTATGACGCCATCATATTTTGGAGTCAAATAGCACACTTATTTCTGAAAAAAAAATGCTAGAATAAATCGAAAATAAACTCAAAGTCTTTATTTGCGTGTTAAGGTAATACATAAAGGTCTTATGAAATAACAGGCACAGCTTAACGGCCTTTTTCAGGCGTTGCAAATTAAGTATATCGTCAAATATATGAATGAAATTGTAATTCTTTTTGAATATTTAATTGTATTAAAAAATCTAAATAATTAATTTTTGACCCAGGAAAATACCCAATTCTAATATCCACTAGTTATTTCTAGTTTTAACAAACGCGTTGAGATAAAACTAGTTCTGACTAGGGAAACCGCGTTCTATCTAAAAACGGGCGTTTTAACTGTTATTTAGGTATCAAAGTGAGTAAATAGGTCAGTAATAAATATTGTTCATAATACACAAAGAGACAGGTATTTTGATTTGTTTACAGGATAACTTTGTAATTAATGTACATACCCGACTTATCTCTCTGCATACTGGGGGAAATTTGAATTACAAATACTGAAATAACACAAACCTTTATAACACAAAAATATCAAATTAGTAACATAAATTGCAAAGGTTTTTCCCTAAACATTTACTTAGAATTTAACAAAACTGAAAATAAAATTATCCTAGTCAGTAAGAAATGTTGCAATATCTTAGAATCTAGAGGGCCTACCTAAAAATACCCCATACTTCGTTCGTTACCCCATATTATCACACCCAACGTTAAGACATATTTGCCAATTGAGAAACGGTGGAAGTAACCTTGAATTGGATTGAGCCTATGTATAAAATATTATATACACATAATATAAACACATAATTCGTCGATACGAATATTAATAATTGTACCTTTTTTTTTAAGGGGGGAAAATCATCGAATGACTGCTCCCGCCTGGGTGAGGCGGAAGGGAGTGTCAGACTCTTACTGACTAAAAACCACCCCGTTCCTACTCCTGCACGTCGAGCCGGAGCCCCGGTTACCCGTTAGGTTCTCCGCGACAAATAATTTTACCTTATACCTGATACCTAACTTATGTCCTAGTCCGCATGAATCTCTTGAACGAGTAATATCTCAAAACCTAAAGACAAAAGAAGAATCGTAAAATCATATTAGTTGCTAATTGAGGGACAGAGAGAGTAACTTTGGTATGGATTGGACCCATATACAAGCTATATTTGCAAGGCAAAGAAAGATTTTGATTCGGGGAAAGCCACAGGTAATATCTACTATAGTTAATTTAATAAATTAATATAGTAAAGGTACATACATGTCACAGTAGGTATATTCGTAATATGATCCGTAGTGATCAGTTAATACTGGTAGCGCGAGTAGCTGCGGTTGTGGCGACAAGTGTCGCTTCGTATTGCCACCGCATATTACTCTTGACACTGAAATACCCAAGGTGGATATTAAGTGATTCTATTACATAACTACATTAGGTACCAGGGCCGTCTTAAAACTACGCTTTTTTTGAGGGGGGAAATCATCTAATGGCTTCTCCCGCCTTGGGTTAGGCGAGAGGGAGTGTCAGACCCTTACTGACTAAAAAACCACCCCGTTCCTACTCCTGCTCTTCGAGCCGGAGCCCTGGCAACCCGTTAAGCCTTCTGCGGCTCCGTATCGGGCATCAGTCCTACTCGGCCCCATCTGTGGTGGTCTGATGGCTCTTTGAGGCGCGCGCGGAACATGCGCCGTACGCACGGGTCTGGTTCTGGTCAGGCGGCGAGCTACCGTTGCTCGCCATCCGCAGACTCGCACTTACGGTGGTCGGAGATCGTCGCGCGATCTCTGACGCCCGGAGTGAGGAGGTTGGTTACCTCACGCGCCCCACCTCCTGTTTGGCTAACAAGTGCTTCGCAGAAGGAGGAGACAGTATCCCAATCCCCCTCGCTCCGTATCATGGCCTGAACCAGAGCTGGGCGCGGCGATGGTCAGCCCAAACAGGGTACACCGCCACCGTATGCTCCACCATGTCCTCCGGTCTTAAACTACGCTGGGGCCCTTGCACAGCGCATACAATAATTGGGGGCTCTTTTTTTAACGTTGCACCACAGAAGGATTTTCTCCTGTATCGTGGATGCATTTACAAACATACAAGTTAACAACACATGACATCCAGACCCGAAACAAACTTTTGCTCCTTGAACTTGAACCCGCTACATGTTTCGGGACAGCTGGTTGCCGCGCAACGTGTAGCAAGTGACCGTCGTAGAAACTATCGGTCCTTCGGGGCCCGCTGAGGTTGGGGCCCCCCCGAATGCTTTGTAGTAAAGACAATACAAATTGTCACATCGTATTGTTTCTAAAACACGAATAGACGAAGTAAGGTTGTTAGGCATTAAAATAATACGATCAGATAGTGTTTGAATTTTGTATTTGACTAAATTGTTTCGTTTTTGAAAATAACTTTATACATGTTTAAATTACAAAGTTAAGTTCTTACTTACAAGTTTCTTACAAACCATAAATGCAAGATACTTTTAAAAATTACAAGTACCTAACTTGATTACAAAAGTAAAAAAAACGACATAAACATGATTTAAACTTATCCAATAATTAAAAAAAATTATGAGCGTCAGTCTTGAAAAAAAATCTAAAATAATGAAGTTCGTAAATAATCTAAATAAAAAATTACAATTTCATTAAATCTTATTTAAAAAATTACACAATAACAATGACAAACCACAGAAAACTTAATTAAAAATTGTTATTTTTATTTGTCAAAATCCCGCCACGCATTTCCCGCCACGTAATGTGACGAAAAACATCCTTATCTGTATAGGTTGAGGATATTCAGAAAAAAAATCCTGAAATATGACGCTCTGAACTGACACGTACATTCCTGAGTTCACATGTAACCATATTTGATATTATTAATGTATGAAATGACGCACAATGGTAGTACATAACAAAACAACCAAACTTGTATTTTGATAATATTTATCAGTTATTTTAATTTAATATTAAGAAACTATTTTGTTCAAGGGAGTCCCTTATAACATATAACAGCTGTGCACAATAACACCCCGGCGCCTCTCTAAATTACAACTCCCATAAGTGTACAAATGTTTTGGCACCCCATGACATTTGGCGCCCTCTAACACTTAGCGCCACTTAATATTTAGCGCCTGCTAACACTTGGCGCCCTATACAAGCTTGTCCGCCTTAACACCTGGCGCCCGGGTACCCCGCACTATAGGTAAGGACGCCCCCAATTTTATTCGTATTAAAATTTTATATATCTTCAGCTGCCTATTATTTTTGTATTTACTATTATTATGTACAGTATGTGTACTTAATTCATTATTGTCATTACTCTAAGGACCACTGCTTTACTACCACAAAATGAAGTTTATGTTAGTATAACTGACACATTTTATATAAAAAAAATGTAAAATGATCTACCAGTTAAAATGAAGTAAAGGTGAAACAGATGTTCAATGGCAATATAATTTTGTTCTGTTGCATTTTAAGACTATTAACAGTTTCATCTGAACTGAAGAAAGTTTTATCCAATTTACAATGTAGTCAAATTGAGAACCTCCCTTTTTTGAATAGGGTAAAACCTGAATCACGATGTGTCGAAAAACTACAACTAATAAAAATCGCCTCAAGTTTTGCGAAACATCTCCAATCATAGCTAAGGAAATTATATTAAATAATTTTATTTGGTAAACTTGAATGTACAATATGATAAAAGTATTATTTAATTATAATTACGTAGTACGTACCTAATTATCATTATATTTACAAAGTTCGTTCACTTAGGTACGTATTTGAATATTGTTATTATTTACGCACCAAAAATTATTCTTAAACAATTAATCAATTCCATTACAAAAACCTTTTAAAATTACGAGACTCGCATGATTTGATCTACAAAAGTAATCATTACTATTCTTATATTACACTTTTTTGATTATAAATTAAAAAGTACCATTTCAACTGCAAAACAGTAGAAAAAGACCTGAACAAATATATCTGATTTATTTATTCCTTTCATATATTAATTCTCTGTAATATTGTGTGTATAAAGCTATATATCTCTTTAGTTACAATCTCTATTATATTTATAGTACTACGACCCAACGACTAACGACTTAGAGGAGGAACGAAGATCCGAAAATTAATTGAATATTTAAATTTTTTGTTAAATTCAACATTACATTTAAACTTATCATTATGTTGTAATACGGTTGAAATTTTATTGAACAATTGGAATATAGTGATCTGATGTCAGTGGCGTAACTACAGGGTAGCAAGTTGGTAAAATGCCATAGGCCCCAGCTGGAAGGGGCGCCCGTTCAGAGGTTTCCATCAGAACTACTTTGTGTTTTATAGGGAACGGGGACCCATCCGATAAATTTGCCACGAGCCCGAAAAGTATAGTTACTGTCTGCAATATTGTATACACAGTTATGCTACCACTGGTTTCGCTAGCATTGTCTAATGAATTAAATAAATAATCACTATAATTAGCTATGTATCCACAAATATGTGGATTATGAACAACCGGAGACTATATAAACTTGAAACATTTCTGTTTGTCGTGCGGTATCCGTGTCTTGAAGAGTACGGAGTCGGCGCGGTACTGCGTTGTTAGTAGAGGCGTGTATCCCATGACCTAAGGAGAGAATAAAATGAAATATTAATTGGCTAGTTTCATTTAACGTGCAAGCGAAAATAGATATAATTTGTTTATTAATTGGCTTGAAATTGGAGGATGTTGAAATTACAATAAGTTTTCTTTATTATATGGTTCCTGGGTAAGTTTTTACATCCTTAGTTCTATTTTGAATTTTTATCTGTGGTTAGAAAATTATTATCTGTGGTTACCGATTGCGAAATTACATGTTATTGATAGTCTCGCGTAATAAATGTCATGCGTTATAGGATACCACAGCATATTGCTTTAGACAATCATAAATTTATAATTTTATGCATTTATTTCATACCTGTGAGAAGAACTGTATACATTTATGTCTCTCGTGGAAATGTGTCTCGTCTGCTGACAGTGTAACAGGGCAGCCAGGACACCGAAACGTCCATCTTGAAGTCACCTGTGTATGACAATACATATTAACAATGAGATGTGTAAGAGCTGAATACTAGGTCTAACGATTAAAAAATAATGGATCCATAGTCATTGTAGGTGAAATCGGTTGGGGTTTCATCATCTTACAAGTCATTATTCATAAACATATTGTTGGCTAACTTATTGGTATTATTTGCACATCTCGGACACTGCTTTAAAGTTTTTGATGAAATATTGTTTTGCATTTATGCCTACGTATTTAGCTATATTTTCTATAACTATAACAAAAGAATAATATAAATGAATACTGTTCAAAAAATGGCCAAAAAATAAAAACTCATCATACCTTGACTGGGGGTTTCCTAGTAATATGTGAGACTAAGAAGTTCATAGCGATATCCTCGCAGTTCATGTATTCATCCACGTAGTCTCTGATGGCGGCCGGCAGAGTGCGCCAGTAGGCCCACAGGTAGTACCGGTGTACGAACGCAGCGCCCGTCAGTACCATGCTCAGCTCACAGCTGGTCATTATTGCAATATACGAAGATTAGTATTTTCTACTTAGATGCGTAAACATTCATACGATAAAGAAACCCTAAAAATCACATCACACCCAGCTCTATAATTCTATTTTGTATTATGTGGCAAACATCATCTATCATGCGAAGCCCTGGGACAAGTTTGTTGAAATACTAATACTTCTAAGTTAAGAACTCCTGAGCTCGAAACTAATCGGGTATTCTCGTAAAGGAATGACTAAGTCAAAAATTCGATAACTTACCTGTAGTTAGAATTGTATAGGAATCCATTGTTAAAGTTGAGATCCCACGCATGATACCGGCCAGGGAAGCCGACGATACGATCACGATGTTCGCGCCAAACCCTGGATACGTAAACATAAAATTATTAAACTTTAAATTTTTACTTTACTAATTACCTACTTCAAGCTACTGTTAACGATTTCCTTAACCATGGGCAATACCAATATTGTAGAATATCAATATTCTATGTAGTTATACTAAAACTAGAACACTAATTAATATCAATATTCTAGTTTGCGGAGAACCTCTAAGATTTGTGTCTAAAAAGACCCATATACCAAAAACCTGGCCACCGATGCTGCACGTCACAAACGTTATATTCTAATTTATACTATGGGACCGGACTAGTTACTAGCATGATATTATGGTGTAACTGGTGTCAGCCATTTCTGAACATACCTAAAAGCGAAGACGATTTCATCATGTCTGAGATGGGCGTCATCGTCGACACAGAGTACTGCCTCGGTGTCAATGAGATGGTACGGCAGGAACCGGTTGTTGAGGGAGTTGCGCGGCGCTCGCACCACTGCCACCGGGGCACCACTCTCCGGCCACGACGACACGCTACTGGGGGACGACGGACCGTTCCATACTACCACCACCTGGTATAAAGGTAAAAGACAGGGGTTATTTAAAAGTATTTATTTAAAAAGAGTAGTCGTGAAGTTCCTATTACTCATTTTAGTATTTAAGATTTACCTTATTTAAATACGGCAACCCCCTGAGCCTCGCCAGGGCTGCAGCTAGTACGGTCTCCCTCTCGTACGTGAGTATGACGACAGTGAACTGTTCCCGCGGCCGGTCCCCGCCCAGTGCCTCACTGAACTCCCTCCCCGAGCCCCCCGCCCCCGCGCCCACCGGCCGGAACCCTGCCGCCGACCCCATGAACCTAGCCTCTGACGTCACTACCGGATCCCACGGTAACTGCGGATACAGTGCGAAAGGTTCTCCCCAATCGTTCCACATCTCGTACCCATGTAACAATGCCACGGAGAAATTGCGACGGTAAGCAGGACTGGGGTAAGGAGCTTCCAGCGGCCCGAGTGTTTCTTCCGGTTCAGCATCCACCGCGGGAGGTTCCAACCGGGGCGGGTAGTAGGAGTCGTTAAAGGCGGGGGCGCCCACAGTGGGAGACACGGGCCGCGCGGGGATCAGCAGGCGCGTGCGCAGGCTGGCCAGCAGCGCGTCCACGCCCGCCTGCACCGAGCTCAGGTAGCGCTCCCACAGCACGCGCGCGTGTCGCCGCAGCGCCAGCAGGTCGGCGTCCCCCAGCGCGCGCAGCAACACGTGCAGCTCGGGCACGCGCGCGCGCGGCACTGACACGGTCGCGCGCCGCCAGTCCAGGACCTCGTCGAACGGCAACCTGATGCGGTCGCCGCCGAGTATCACCGGGATAGCACCCGATCGTAATGCTTCGTACAGCCTCGCTTGCAAGAGAGCCGTCGTTACATAGTTTCTATCGGCAGGAGCCAGTATCAGTGCGAATGTAGAGTCTCTTAATACGGCACGGCGGGAGCGGTCGGTCCCACAGAGCGCCCAGTCCCCGATGGGCAGGACGGCGCGTTTCTCGACTGGCGGGTCGCATTCGAACTGCAGATGGAACAGATCAGACGCTGGCGCAGACTTCACCATTTGCTGCAGAGCCTCGATCAGGGATTTATCGTGATCCTTGTCTATTCCTTTCGGCGGCGGCTGCGAACCCTGAAAACTAAATTTTGCTCATGAATTCATACCTAAAGAATTGGCAGTATACTTTGTTACACAATTTTGAGGAGTATAACGCTTATTGAAATATTGACTGAGAAAAGTAAAATGTAGTCTTATAATAGCATAATTATGTATATTCTGCTATAAACAGTCTGATATACGTTAAATAAAACCAAATTCAATACTGGACAGATGTCAATTCTGTACATAATAATTGTAAACGTGAAGGTACCTTAGCAAATATTTCCGCCTTGCAGGTGCTATAGGCGCGCAGTCAGCCCACACGTCGCCCCCGGGTGGACCGAGTGCGGGCGGCATAACGATATCAAACCCTGGTCGGAACTGTTCGTGTGTGAAGGTGGACTGTGCAATCATGGCTCGGCCTATCGAGGCTCCTCGGAAAGCGTCGCCCGAGCCGACTGACAGCTCCCTCCGCGCCATATTTACTAACACGTGGTTTCGTCCGTCTCCACCCCAGTACGGCAATCTCTTGATTGCAGTCTCGTTCAACAGGAGCTTATACGTATCTGTTGTTGGCCTAAAAATAACAAACAAAACATATTGATCAGTTAGAAACACATATTAAAATGAAATTTATTTTTGTAAAATGAAAGCATGACTTACGCGGGAGTCTTGACAAATGGAAAAGCCTCGCCCACAATGACCAGGTAGACACACGCTTCATTAGGGTCGCGCGTTATGTGGGTGTTGTAGCCTAGTGTTTGCTTGAGTGTCGTTTTCAGGAAGCCGTCCACCTCAGCGCCAGCAAGAGGCACGAAGACGTCAGGGTCGTAGAGGTACACAGGGAAACCTGATGTTAGGGAGCAGCGGGAGTGGTCGAAGCACGAAAACATGCGGCAGTGGACTTCAGAGGAAGAAGCAATAGGCGGCAATATGGGCGGAGGTCTTGAGGGTAGTATTTGGAGTGGTGGGGCTAGTTCTGGTGAATCACGTCGAATGGCCTCTAGCTGTGCGATGCGGGCCTGGTCGGCGGACACGCGCAGGCGCTGCAGCTCGGCAGCAGCTCGCGCGTGTTCTGCCTTAGCACTATCCGCCTTAGCGCTCGCTGCCGCTGCTTCCCGCTGCAAGCGTCCGCGCTTTGCCTCCAGTTCACGTAACTCGGTTGATACTGAAGCCTATAAATAAATTTAAAAAAAAATAAACCAAATAAATGTGAAGAACATGTAACCTGATGCAAACACTATTTGCTGCACTATGATTAATCTTGATAATATTTAAATCAATCAAACTAATATTTATATTGAAAATAAACTAGTATAATAAATATTGTTATTCAAATGCAGACTTCAATGATCGAAGCAAATGAAGTGGTACAAACATTTTAATGTTTGGAATTAAACAAGAATCTTCTCCTCCAAAAAGATACATGATTAAACCCTTTAGGGTATAGTTATGTAGTTTCAGTATAATGATAAGGTATGTATATAAACACTTTATGAGAGTACTTTTTTTACTTATTAGGATGGTGACTGGTCACCATCTCGCCTGATGGTAAGCGATATTGTGTCCTATGATGGAGCATGGCTACCTGCCTATGAGCAACCTGTTCTCTCAGGACTTGTTGAGTATGCCTCAACAAACATTTGAATTAATTTAGTGTGTCCCTTTTTATTAGATATTCCATACAAACAAAAAGAACTTAATAAAATGTATATTACCTTTATTCGCAACATTTCCTCAATCCTTAGTTTCAGATCAGCTGCATTCATCGTTGAGATATCACCCAAAGCCTCCAGCGTGTGGCGCATTGGATTACTAGATAGAGTGCCAGTCTCATCATACTGAAAAATCATAATATATTGTTGGAAAAATAATTATTATATTTATACAGTATACACTACACTACTATCAGACATTGTGTTTGATCTTTTTAAAGGTAAGTAATTGAAACATCTATGTTTTATGACTGTTGTGTGTGTGTTTTATAGATGTGTGTAAAAACTGTACAGATGTAAAACTATTGTTGATGCAGTTTTTATAAGAGAAAGTCGCATTCATAATTCATAGATCAGACATAAATCTTTCTGTTCATAAAATCTGCACATATCAAAATACCAGACTTCAGAATAATTGTGAAAGAATTAGATCACGAGATACAATTAATATCTTGATTTAGTTTCTCTCGAAAATATAAGATTTTTAGTACTAACCACAAAAGATAGCAAAAGTAAATATACGGTAACTTACCTTAGATAAATAATAATGTGTGAACAGGGGAACTACAAATAATATTACTGAAACCAGTAATATAACACGGGATAATTTTAAATGGCCTAACCACTGGCAAAACCGTTCGTAAAAATACATTTTAAAAGATTTGTTCTTTTCACTCTTCGTTGTGAATATATTTTAGTGTAATTATGTTACACTAACATAATTATATCACTTTTACCTTAAGTCATAATTGATAATTATTTTATGTAACTATAATAGTAATTAAAAACGAAATAATTAATTTAAATTGCCAGATTTTTATTAAAATCATTTACAAAATAAAGTTTTAATTATAAATGCCAAATGCCAAACTCGATACGAGATGTTGACAAAGACAAAAAATTACTTGACTTTGACTTTGACAGATGATACGACTATTTTCCCGTTACTTTTATTTAATTTTCTTAAACGCAACATTGGCTTTCTAGGTCGTGTCTAGTAGGACCATTGAATAGTAATCGTTACAGTTTATAATAATTCCTATTCCATGAGAAGGAGGAGTCGGAAAATAAGTAAGGCTTCCAACTCTTTTTCTATTAAATGTAAAAATGTAATCGACCGGTCAGATTAGTGACTATACATAATATGTATATCATTGAAACCTAGAAATGGGAAGCAGAGGTGTATAGGGCTTACACTTGGCTTGAACAATGTTATACCAATTCTTCACCAGTTATGAGGTTCTATTCTAAACACCTATTACAAAGCCTATTTACACTCCAAATGAAAAGTTTCAGTCAACCTATTCCCTATACTTATTATACTCTTTGAGTCAACTCCTATAACTGACATCTCCATCCATTCTTACCTTATCAGAGGTTTTAGTAAGAGTTTCTTTTTCGTTTAAAGTTATCGAAACCAGACATTCAGCGCTCTGGTAATGTGGTTGTTGTTCCGATTGGAATCGGCAATCGGAACGCTGAACGTTTACGAAACTCGTACTAAGCCCTCGATTTATACATAAACTCACATGAAGGTAGGCAGAAACGACATATTCTTAACCATCTCAGTACGGCACGGCAGCTTTCTTCCTGTATTTAATTACTAGTATGTGCATAAAAGGTACAAAAGAAAACCAGAATTAAAAATTAAATAGTTTTATTTAAATATTATTACTGAATAAAAAACTTACTTAGTGAACAATTTTCACTTGGGAAATGTAAACTGTGAATGATGTACATAGTTCAGTAGCCTCTTTATTACTAATAATTTTACAGATATTTGTTTCTCTATTATAGGTAAATGAAGGCACATTATTACTTTTTATAAATACTTTTGACAAACTTAACAAAAATTAATAATTTGCTTGAATTGTTTTTGAATTTGCTCTTGGAACATACACTACCTATCAATCAGTAAAAAATAATATTTATGATTGTCCTTTACTAAAGGAACCTACCTATATAATATTAAAGAGTTATTTAACTTTTTGACAATGCCTTTTTATGGTTTCTTAACCAATCGATTTTTAGAGATGATGTTCATCTGCTCCCATACAAGAAATAGTTTTCGCTGGTATAGATGGTACGGGAAATCTTCGCCTATGCGAGTGCACCTCGTACGTGGCGATGTTTTTATAACTAAAAATTTCATTATTAAATCTCAACAGTAATAACTTAAGTCTGTTGCTATATCATGAATTTCACGAATAGATTTTCAAAACACTTAATACGACTTCTTAATCTCTAGAGACAAAATTCAGAACAATACACAACAAATAAAAACAATATTATATTTCTAAAATATGCAACTCATTATTAACATTTGTTTTTACATAATTTTAAGATCAGTCTTAAGGTAATAATGCATTTTTTTTTTTTTTTAAGGGGGGAAAATCATCGAATGACTGCTCCCGCCTGGGTGAGGCGGAAGGGAGTGTCAGACTCTTACTGACTAAAAACCACCCCGTTCCTTCTCCTGCACGTCGAGCCGGAGCCCCGGTTACCCGTTAGGTTCTCCGCGACTCCGAATCGGCATCGGCCCTATTGGGCCCCATCTGTGGTGGTCTGATGGCTCTTTGAGGCGCGCGCGGAACGCGACGCGCCGTACGCTCGGGTCTGTTTCTGGTCGGACGGGGAGCCACCCATGCTCGCCGTCCGCAGGCCCGCGCTTACGGTGGCCGGAGATCGTCCCGCGATCCCCGACGCCCGGTGTGTCCTTCGCGATGGCTGGGTTGCGAGGAGGCAGCGCTTCGCTGCCTCACGCGTCCCGCCTCCTCCTTAGCCAGCATGACTGCTTCGCAAAAGGAGGAGACGGCATCCCAGTCCCCCTCGCTCCGCATCATGGCCTGAACTAGGCCCGGACGCGAGAGGTCTCCATCGCCGATCACTTCCCTGAGGGCACGGCGGTGCTCAGCCCACGCAGGGCATTCCGCAACAGTGTGTTCCACCGTGTCCTCAGGGTGGTCCTCGCAGTGATGACACCCGGGCGTTTCCTCCCGCCCCATCAGACACAGGTACCTCCCGAAACTTCCATGTCCGGTGAGGACCTGCGTCAGGCGGTAGGTAAGGTAATAATGCATATCCTCGATACACTGAATTTCGTGTAGAAATAATTATCTCATGGTGGGTTAAGGGGTAATTAAAGTTATTAAATAATTCAGGAAGGATTATTTTATCTAAATACATAAATAATTTTGCTTCACGTTATCTAAAACCTAATTTAACCCTAATAATATAAACTTAATATATAATATTTTTTTATTAGAAAAATTATAACCAAATTACTCCACTTTTTCCTAATACATAAAGTATATTTAACTAACTCTTATCATAGAATTATATTTTTTAATCTCACAAGATTTGGTAGCTGGCTGTGAGCTAATGAGCTTGTTTACAATCGCGATGTAAGGCTCAGAAGTTATTGAATTCTAAAAGTAACATTTTATCTAATATTAATTCACGAATTACATACATTACATAATTTTATTTTCCCACAATGCTCATAAAAATGTACTATGCTGTGCTCTGGCGCCAAAACTATTATAAAAAGCTGTTTATATGTAAATTGTAGGAAATTGTGAGTAGTATAATTTTGTAGGTAGTAGTTTTTTTCTTAAAATGCACAGGAAAAGAGATATTGCAAGAAACCTGTTTGTGGACGCCATTTTTTTAAGATGGCGGCGCGAGCGGCTCACGTACGACGGTGCAAAATGGAAATCAGACAAAAAGAGCACATTAAAATCTACAATATTGCCAATTTACAAAACTCCTGGAGAACTTTCCAGGAAACCCCTATCTTTCCTCCTGCTGGAACTAATTTTCAAAACAAATTAAATACATGAAACATAAACATCAAAAATACTTCTTATTTTCTTATACTGACTTGAGCGGTCTTAAAACCTAAGTAAATACTAAGAAATGTATACCAAGAGGATGCACAAACATTCTATAAGGACTGTTTTTTCGTTTAACTAGGATACACATTATTTTATAAATGACCAGTCAACCGACTAGTAGCATCCACTTCTATGTGAGAATTGATCACTCCGGTTAGACTGTCTTCACCAATGCCATATATAATGTTCCAGAATATACCTAAAAAAGCACCAGAAGTATTCTGAACAATGGAACAGCAGTTTACTCTTTGGATATATATCTTACTTGAATATCACAAACTCACGGCGTCTTCCAGATTACGAATGGTATTTGGTTTAGAATAGCTATGAAATGGAATATGCAACTTATAAGCATGCTCTGTTAATTTTATTGAACAGATGCTGCAAGATATGTAGTCTTGTTCTTCGCATGTATGTGATCTTATAGCGGATTTTCTCAAAAAGTGTACACCACAAATGTTGCATTTAGGATACACAGGTATTGGTGGAATAATTTGTTTCTTGGATTTAATGTCGATAAATGTATAATCAAACAGACTAACATATTTCTTTTTGTGAGTCTCTCTGTGTATTAAGTGAGCTTTAATGGACATTACAAGTCCACAATCTTTGCATATAGTTTTACTTATATGGCTACATTTTCCTTGGCAATGTACAATACTATTTTTAACCATAAAACAATCGCAAGTCTTACAAAACAGGATTTTCAATTTTTTAGTAGCCTTATCAACTTTTGTATCCTTATTATCCATAATCTCAGATTCAATTATTATAAAATCGGCATATAACATTTTGTGCTTTTTGTGATTCAAATTATGAGCTTGCATGTCATCGCTATTTATTAGAATGTCACAAATTTTGCAGTGTGACGAATTTGGTGTTTCAGAATGGCATTTAGAATTGTGTTTCAAAAACATTTCTTCACTGTAATGTACAGCGCATTCAGAACACTTGTACAATACTGAATTAGAAGCTGATTCTGGAAGTGTATGGACAGTGAAAGTTTTCGATTGTGAATGTTGGTTCTTATGGATTGCCATATCTTCACTGTTAAATAGTCTGTGGCATTTTGAACACTTTTTAGTATTGTTTAATTTATGCTTTGAGTGGTTTATCGCCGCATCTGATGTTAGGAAACATAATTCGCATTTCATACATTTGAACAGTACACTTTTTAATGCAAACTGATAACTATTTTTTTGAACTATATTTCTATCAGGTCGAAAGTTGACACCCTTTTGTTGCTGTCTATGAGACCTATATAAATGTATGTTATAATACTTCATGTTTGCCAGTTTCGATGAACAAAAGGTGCACTTTGGATCGAATGGAACTTTTTTTACATTTGTTGGTGGCTGTATGTTGTGGTCTGTTATCACATGCCGTGAATAGTGTTTGTAAGTTATATTGTATTTGGAACATATGAAACACCTATATAATAATTCTTCTTCTTTTTTACCGCCTTCATCACTATCATCATATACTATTCTATCATCTCTAATACATTTTTTCTTTGGAACATGCTCATTCGTATTATTCTTATTTACTAATTTTCTTTTTCTAAGTATTTTTTGCGGCAATCTTCTCTTGTCGTTTTTGTTTGTAGTATGATTGTTTTTTACTTGGACAGTGCTAGGTTGTTTGGCATTTGATTTTTTTGAATTATTTACAGACTCATCGGCACATTCCTCATCATTATTGTCGTCATTAGTGGTTGAAGGTGTTGAAGCGTTATTAGTCTTAATTTCATTGGGTTCCAAAACTTTATAAAGATGTTCAATCAGGCATGATTTATTTGGAAATAGTTGTTTACAATGAAAACAAGAGAGCTCAGTGGAGTCCTCCTGAGGGAGTTGGCCCACAAGAATTTTGTTGGGATTATCTTTAGTTTCTGTAGGTTTAGGTGTTGTATTAAGGTGCTGTCTTTGAGCTCTCAATGACCGGTCTTGTTTTTTATGTTTATTAATCTTGTGGAGGTTAAATAAATTCGGTTTTGGAAACACTATTAGGCATTTCTCACAATACCTTTTACATGATTCCAAAAAGTTATCTATCCTCTTTAATTGTATCTTTGCTTCTTTGTCTATACTTTTATTATCTGTGTTGTCATATTTTGTGGAAGGTTTTGATCCAAGAACGATAATATTTTCATGAATGTACTTTATGGCTGTATCACTTTCTGTTTCTGCTTTTATATCTTGTGAATTGTTTGTAATATCTGGTTCATTATTGCTTGCACTATGTGTACCATCTACTAATTCCTTCTTAATTACAACTTTTTCTTGTTGATTATCTAGACCTATGTCTTGTGAAGTGTTTGCAACATCTAGTTCATTGTTGCTGGCACTATGTATAGCATCTAACTCCTTTTTAATTACAACTTTTTCTTGTTGAGTTTCTACACATTGTGAAGTGTTTGCAACATCTGGTACATTAGTGTTTTTACTATGTGAAGTATCCAACTCTTCTTTTATAACGGTTTTTTCTAATTGAGTGTCTTCAGGTACATTACTTCCTGAAACAAAATAAACATTGTTGCAATGTATATTCAGAAATTTTTTCTGATTAACTTGTAGCCAACACTATCAAAATAAAACTGGCTATTGTATACAAGGGCAGAATTACTTATTATATTTTACATGTCTAAAATATTAAAAAAAAAATGTTTTTTATCTGCAATAAAAAATATTTTTTATTATGATTATACAAACACAAAACTTTCAACTATCCATATTGGTATACCTAGTTCAACTGTATAAGTATTTGATTATTAATCAGCCTTCTTTATTTATTTTCTTAGTACACAACCTGTCTCAATATTTATTTTGCATTATATACACCCAAAGGTTGTCTGGTAGAAATCACTATAAGTGATAAGACCTCCTTTGTGCCCATAATTTTTTTTTATTTATGTTTGTTATGTCCTTTTCGTGTATGTGCTATGTTATTAATAGTGTACAATAAAGGTTATTCTATGTTGTTATTGGCCTGTTAACCAGCGGTGTGCCGGAATGCAAATCTATGTGAGACACAATGTTTTTTTTATTATGTCTAATATACTTATTCAAGTGATTAATATAATAACTAATATATGTTAATATAATAACAACATACCTCCTTCATAATACTCATTTATTTCTTTTTTTATCACAGATAGGTCTGGAAATATGCTCTTGATGGAGGGATCATTCATGATATCATGTTCTTCTATATCAATTTCATCTGACATTTTCACTGAAACAGAAAGAATACTAGTTTAGGATAATTATAATACTACCTACCCGTATGACGAATACTGGTCAGTATCTTTAGGGGCAGAGAATAGCAGTTGAATCGTCGAGGGCACTATGTAATCAGTAGTAAATAAATAAAATACTTTTAATGAAGTTGAATTTCTTCTTTTTTCTTCATGTAAACAATTATATAGGATAACTTTTTAGTATTAATAACGTAAACAACTTTCTACAATTTGTACTAAAATACAACGACGTGTGTGTACTGTGTAGAGGAGGCTACATTAGTAATTTAATTTGACATACCCGCCTTATATTTTGGAGTTGTACCACAAATAAGTATTGATAATTTCACGACAAAATTACGATACCACGATCAAATTAACAACAACCATACAATAAAACACAAAATTATTAAATAAACCTGCCGTCGACGCACATATCAAACAAGTCCAAAGACATAGACAACAATTTCACAGAGCATAACAATTTTATAATTTTTAAAACAAACTTCACTTTGACATTAATGACATTATGGCAGGTCTACAATATTTAGTCTAAACCGTAGACTGAAAGCATTTTGTCTACGGTCAAATTCAAACCGGTAAACTATATGGAAATAACAAGGAATCTCATCAAAACATACAGTTAGATGACTTAATTAATTAAATATTAGTGGTATTGATTCAAATTCAAACACAAAGAAAAATATATTTTTTTAAGCTGATTACATTTAACATTTTAGTTATCCTAGACTAACAGTGTCCTAGACTAGACAGACAGATAGACTTAGGTCCCAAAGATTTGTTAACAAGGAGGTTGCTTTGGGGTTGTTTGTTCGCGGAAAGATAATATTGTGTGGATTACTAAAAACTTTGAAGGTTAATGTATAGGGAGCTTTAAAGTTATCAAAATATTACCATATTTTTTTAATAATACAACACTGGAGCTTTTTCTGATAACCCCACATCCCCCCCTTCACTCCACCTCACCGCACAGCTGATCAAATGTCAAGAAAATGGAGTTTTGTTACGCATTTTATAATTCAGATTAGAAAAAGTCTCAATATGAAATCAATTATCATTATTTTTATAACCTGCTTGGGTTAGAATGGATAGTACAAGTCCATTTCAACCTTGGGCCACAGACGATAGTGCAAAAAATGTTAAAACTGAGCGAGAACTAGTGGATGACGCGAAACTTCATCGGGAAAATGTCAATCATCCAAAACATAGGCAAACTGCGTCTTACAATAAAGAAAGTGTCGCCGTTCCAAGCAACGCTCCGGGATCGTCGAGCTCCACGGCCCCCGGCGGCGAGCCCGCACGGGGCAGCGAGTCCAACATGGACTCTAATAAAATAGCTTCCATGCAGCAGATAGTCGAGAACACCCTCAGGTAACGTCACTCGTTCCAAACTAGATTAAACAAACTATACTGAATTTGTATGTTCATATATCGTCACATATTTTATTATCAAAAGTTGTTTGACAATGATAGGAGCAAGCCATTGTTATCAGTAAGACAGCTGTTAGTGATGGTGTACACTGTACATACTCCCTTCATTTCATTTACTTTCTATGCTGATTATTAATATCAAGTACAGCTTGTCATATACAATGAAACATTGGAAATGCAGTTGTGATTTCACAGAACATTAAAATACACAATATTGAGATTATGTGTTATTATTTTGTTTAGGTATTTTGATAATCATATATAACATGAGACAGTGAAAGTTTGAGATAGACAATATTGCATGAAATACATTGTTACAGTCAGGAGGGTCGGCAGAGGGTAGCTCAATTACTGGAAGCAGTGGAGGCACTGAGTGGTGCAGAGAGACTACTTCTGTACCTTCGCTTGCCGACCGGAGTTCCACAACATGATCCTCTAAAACAACCAATTAATCCGTTGGGTTCACGGTATGTCTACTCATTCATTGAATACAACAACAACCTATAAGTTTAAAATAACTCTTGACTCAACTTCATCAGTGAAATGTTTAGAATGTATATTGTTAGGTAAGAATTTTCATGAAAGTGTATAATATGTTATAATGTACAATTGTGTATAAATTCCAAGAGTGTTTGCATTTTATCAGACCAATAGATTTATTATGATATCATAATCATTATCTGATCTGTAAACACCAAGAGTTTTTTTTAAGTTTGTATATTTATTTATATGACCAACTAAATAAATTTATTCAATGGAAAATGTAGTGATTAATGAAACTGTAAATAATAGAATTTTTAAGTAAAGTCTATAGCACACTCCATCTTAAATTTATTCAATGGAAAATGTAGTGATTAATGAAACTGTAAATAATAGAATTTTTAAGTAAAGTCTATAGCACACTCCATCTCTCTAAATCTATCTGTCTAAATAAATAATGCTACATTGTTACTTATCTATATTGTATTATGTTATTGTAACGGGAACAAAATGTTATCATGTTCAAATGTTCCAGGGCTGAACTTCAGCAGACTGTAACTTGGATACAGACACACTTAGAAGTTGACCCAGATGTATCATTACCTAAGCAAGATGTATATGATGAATATATGTGAGTACTTCTATCATATTATTATTCTACTTTACTTTAACTGCTCAATCCCCAAACAGTCACCGGTGACCACTCTTCACTAACTCTATTATAGACCTTATTTCCGATATTTAGAGACTACTTTTGTATGAAGAAATATTGGGTGTGATATATCAAAGTATTGTGAATTTTGAGATATAAATTATTATAGCGTTATATAGAAGTCATAACAATTAGTGAAAACTGGGTGTTACATGTGCCTCTGCATACCCCTTTTGGGTGTTAAAGAGGTTTTTGGATTTAACATTATGTTAAAAAATGTTTGCAACACACAACAAACTACTATTTCAGGGCCACCTATTAATTGTTTTTTGTTTGTACACACGTCTGAGAGCTGGGGTCAGATCTATTAAAAGCATCTAGATATATGTAGTCGTTAGAATGATTCTATAATTTCCTGTCTAGGCGTCAATCTTAATATATCCCCTGTGCTACACACCTCTGCTACACAGGAACTGATTCTATATCTTCCTTTTACTGACAATCATTTCATAACACATCAATAAGCAATTTAAAAACTATGAACAAGAATACAGGCCAAAATACTAACTACAAAACCATGGGATGGATATATGGACAATCAGTATCTTAAAACTCAACTCAAATACCTACTGTATTCATGGCGAAACTAAGTATATTTTCCTTTGGCAGTGCACATTGTATGAGCAGTAACATGAAGCCCCTCTCTACCGCTGATTTCGGGAAAGTGATGAAGCAGGTGTACCCTACCGTGCGTCCGCGACGTCTAGGGACACGCGGCAACTCCAGGTAACAACATTATAATATATACTTTAACAATATTCTACTTACAGAAACTTAACAAATTATAATTGAAAATTCCTGAAAATGGTAAAGTTATAAAAGAGAAGAATTATCAATTTTTTATGTTATATTTTCTAACTTAACTCTAAACACGAAAATTAGCATGATACCATACATGCATACATATTATGTTGTCCCATCAAATATCTATTGAAATAATGAATTAGTGTCGTTATCAAGTACTCAACACAAACAATCTCAATGCACATTTTCAGAAATGATTGCTTACTAATAAACTTTTTATAATACCAGTTATATGCTTAATTTCAAATCGTTTAATATAAATAATTAGTATTATAGATCTATTTTTCCTTATCTTATTTATCAATTTGATCATGCATATCACTCATCTAATGTCCCTACACATACAGTGCTTATCATAATATTCTTTATCTAAGTATCTTTTTAAAAAGTGAAATTATTACTGTCTCATTGGCCGAGTGATCGCAAGTGCGACTACCGGGCAAGGGGTCTCGAGTTCGATTCTCGGGTCGGGGAAACTATTACTGGGTTTTTTCAAAAATCTCAGTAGTAGCACGGAGTCTGGAATTGTGCCCGGTATATGGCATTAGGCTCACCCCTATTACATTGGACTCATAGCATAAAATAATGAAAAGTGGGTATTACATTGTATGGTGGTATAAAATTCCATAATGTGCACCTCTGCCTATCCCTTCGGGGATAGAAGGCGTGAAATTAATTATGTTATGAATGTATTAATGTAGTGTATGCTGCATAAGCATCTCAACTTATTTTAGATGATATAAAAGGTTAGTGATCATTCTAGTAAATCAGATTTTGCTATTTTTAACAAACTTTGTTATTTATTTGTGCTCTGTGTGTTTCAATATACTTGCTTCATAACATAATATTACCATGGAGCTCACCAAACGGCCTACAAACCTAAAGTATTTTAACTCCGACGTAACCTAATATAGGAGCTCTATATGAACTTGGATAACATTTCATCTGTTAAATAAACGAACCCTAAATGCTACCTAAAATTGTTCCCGAAAATTCGATTCAATGAAAACTGCTTAAAATTCATTACTTGGTCTAATTCTTAGTAATGTACTCTCCATTGTATCTCATATACAGTCATTAGGTTTGATGTCAAACCTTTTTTATGATAATAAATGCAGGAGGACCTCAACATCAGTTGCCTGACATACATATAGGTAATACACTCGATTCGATATTTCCTTTCCTTCGTTATAGTACTAGATAAGTATTGTGTGTGTTACGCGATAGTTGTATGATATCACAGTTTCGATAATTAATTGATAAAGAAGCAATCAGTGCTGTATTTCACTTCTCTATATAAAAATATATTTTAAAATAAAATAGGAGATTATACGTAACAAAAATTTTACAATAAAATAACAGATTTAATATTTAACTGAACAATTAGGGAAAAATATGATCTGCTCATTATTTCAAAAATCAAATATTAATTTATGGGTTAGTTACAAATTTGAATTTCTAAATACGGCCCTGTTAGTCGTTATTAGTGATGATTGTGAATCATCAAATGTTCATATGAAGGTATTTATGAATGCCTTCTGATCTTACCATAATAAAAAAAATAAACCAAACTTCCCAGTCCCCAAGCGGTCACTTGTGACCACTCTCTATTTACTCCATTATATACCTTATTTTCGATGTTTAGAGACTACTTTTGTATAAACTAATGTTGTGGATTTTTCATAATCGGGGATTAAGAACTTAACTGGCAGACCTATTAAATCAATATTTTACGACTATGACTAGCAAGCTCCTTAGGGTTTTCCCGTCTTAAATGATGGAATATCCATTTGTCGTACACCCATTATTATGATATTAACAAAAGCAAGAAAAAAATCTGCTATAGGTAGCCAGTAGCCACATTGTAGATACTTAGTATACATATATATTTTTTGTATATCTACTGTAATAACTTATATTGGTAGATCAGATATCTCTTCTCTAATTACGATTTGGCCTTGTAGATAACTAAACTCAGATTTGACAGCAATAATATTGTAAAAATAATGCAATTTGTAATTTTATACAGCTTACTGTTTATATGACTTGGTCTGTTTCTATTTACCAATTTAGTTTTTTTTATTGTTAAGCTGGAACGCAACATCTAGCAAGGTTTCCGTCATTAGAACAAATTATTTCAACAATTTTATAGTGTAGCTAACTTCATACAGATACCTAACTACATTCTGGTTGTAAGTGGGAGTAATTTAAACAATTATTATTCATTGCACATTACCACTTCATTGCACATAGATTTATTATATACTCTATACATATAAATTGTACATGCTACTGGAAAATGACTAATCTATCTATCCACGTGTATCTGTAAAGTTACGTCAAAGTTCTATTAAGGAGTATTACATAAAGCATAAACACAATCGTTAATCATTTAAAAAATAATCATAAACTAATTATAATCTGTTATCTTAAAACCTCTTTGGTGTACAAAATGCATCCTAACTTATATCACAAATGCAAAATTAAGTTTGTTTGTTAAAGTCAAAGCATTTATTTCAATAAATCTTTAATAAAACACTTTTGAAATGTCAACAATTGAATTGTCCGTCCGTCTGTCTATCTGTGAAGCTAGGCGACGTGTTCAAGGAGAACCTAAGGGGTTACCGGCGCTCCGGCTCAACGTACAGGAGAAGGAACGGCGTGGTTTTTAGTCAGTAAGAGTCTTGACACTCCCTCCCTCCTCAGCCAGGCGGGAGCAGTCATTCGATGACGTTTTCCCCCTTTAAAAAAATGCGACATGTTACCTCATTACGTTTCATCTAGCAATCTTTCTTTCGCGTACACGTAGTTGGGGTTAGAGGCCAAACCGCGGGTAAAAACGAGTTTTTGATTATAATAATATAGTAACTGCCAGTAGCAAGTTCAGTATAACTTGAGATATTTATACTTACCTAATTGACTTTCATTGTGCATTAGATCCAGACTCGTATTATGCGTCAATCAATTTACTCACAATAACTTGAACGTTGTGTCGGTTCGGTACCTAATTTGCATGCATATTTTCCTGTATTGTAAAAATAAAAAAATAGACACCTACCTACGTTATTATGTATTCTGATTACCAGGTTCAACTTAAGTGCATAAATATGACTAATTTTACTAAATTCATTTACAAAATAAGGATATAAGTACCAAGGTGTTATAAAATAATAAGTTCGTTTTCTGGGTCGGGCAAAGTTTTGACTTATAACATAAAGAGTGAAAAGTGGGTGTTACATTGTACAATGTCATTATGTACCGTAATGTGCACCTGTGCCTAACCCTTCGGAGATAAAGGCGTGATGTTATATTCATCAAAAGTACTATAGTATTTCTCCATCCAATTTGTATTGTGATCATCATAATTGGCAATTTTTATCATTACGAACGAATCTTGTTTTAAAGCATATCTATGACGTAGAAATGAGATACGCACTGATAAGTACATTGCTTCCAGTCATTCCTTTTTAAAAGCAATGACTTGAAGCAATTGTTTTATTCATTTATCGTAAAATATTAATACTTTGAACTGATAACGAGCGGCGACCGGATCACGGTTCCCCTATATGGCAATGTCTACACGAACACTACACAGATATAATGCTCCGGTCTTGCTTTGAATATTTTAGGTGCCTTTAGATATTTCGCGGTTTCGTTTCCTACATTATCCTAACACACAGGAAACTGGACATTATTTTCTGCACCTATTTCTACCTAAACAAAAACCCCCAAGCGTTATGATTCGAGAGAAAACAAAGAGAATAGAGAATAATAATCAAAACATATTATGAGTCATCAAACCAATTCTGGAGAAAACAAAGTTAACACTAATATATGGTTTTGGGAAATATTAGGAAAACCTAAATATTAAGAATATTAAAAACTTAAATATTATACATTGTAGTTATACCTCAAATTCATTTATTGATTGTAGATCACAGGTACCTGATTATTACCTAATTATAGTTGTAATCATATTGTAGTTATTACAATATGTAGTTATTTCAATATAATTAGGGATAAGCAAAGTCAAATCAAAATGTAGATAATATTTTGTTAAATTAGCGTGTAAATAACTCACTTGCGTAGTCAATCAATGGTTGTCAAAATATTGCACGTGTAGTTTATATCCTATATTGTACATATGTACGTACGTACGTAGCTTTTCTTAAAATAAGTTCAAGGTCTAGGGAATCTAAGTACCTACGTAATTATAAATAGTAGCGAACGTTAATGAATAGTTATTAAAGCTTGTGCGCTCCTAACAGTGTAGAAGGCGTTGACCCCCATCTAATTATTATCTACGCATGACGTCGATTTATGCATAACATCGGATGTTTACTACAAATACACGTGGAAATCAGGATAAACAGAGTAATATTACGACGATGCGTTATTTATTTTTATTATGACAATAAGACAGTAATAAATTACGTAACAAAGAAATGTAAGGTATTACGTAGGACTACTGATAATGAAGCGTAGGTATACATTTCTAGCCTCATACTGATAACCGTGACACCGGATATTATTGAGAAAAGTGATATAACATCATCTTTTCTTTGATTGTTTTCGATATGGAAAATGCTTTGTTTGGAAAATGTTTTTCTTAAATCTGCAAATACATAATAGTCCGAAATTTAACGCAATAGGTACATGCTGCGTGATCTTTTTGTAACCTCTTTAGAATAATTTTAAAATGTTTTTTGAAATCACATTTATTTAAGACTAGCTAGATAATTTTAAAATGTTGCCCGCGACTTCGTACGCGTAGAATATGAATTTTAGGACTTAACTTTTTTGTTAAATTTTCCAAAATAAAAGCCTATGTTACTCCTTAGTATATCAGCTAACTGCCAATAAATTACCGTTAAAATCAGTCTAGCCATGCCCATTCCAGACATTAGCCAGTACAAACAGACATAGAAAAAAGATGTCAAAAATTATTTTGGAATGTGTATCGTATGTATATTCATATACATATGGTAAAAATAAGCACTATTTTAATATTATAGAAACTCCAACTTTATTTACTTGTATAGAAAATAGTATTCATCAGTATATAGTCAATAGGTAGTAGGTACCTGATACAATTAACTTTCACATTTCACCATCCAAACGTCTGCTAAGTGCAATGAATAGATAAGTACCTATTTGTAACATTCTGGCCAGAATGTAAGTACCATGTAAAAATGAATGTCGTAAAGTTATAAATAGTTATGTACCCACACCGCATACATTACAAACATAGATATGTAGATGCATTATATGTATGAATATCCGGCACGTGTCAGCCACTATGTATCTCTTTCTGCATATAATGCATCAGCTTGCAAACAATATTGTAAAAAATGTTCTTTACGATCTATCCTTTATCATGAAAGATATATGAGTATATAAAGTGTATGAAATTCGAGAAAAAAACTTATGTGTAATATCGAATCGTACAAATGCGAAAGTTTGTGAGTTTGTGTGTATGTTTGTTACACAATCGAATCACGTCAAAACAGCTAGAGTTCAGAATGTTTGCTATACGGATTAATCATGGTCTGGAGTAACACATAGGATAATTTGTATACCTCAGGAAATGTTGCTGATAGAAGCTAGTATCTGCTATTTTTGTAATTAGGTAGTTTCCAGGGTAATAAAATTAAAAATCTAATTAGTCCGCCAGTTAGGTAATGAAAAAATATTAGACACGTATTTTTTCTTTTCTCACAAATTTAAATGCTTTCGACGATATATTGATTTGAAATGTCCTGTGACGTCACAACGTGCTACATTTTGTTAATGCTTTAAAATAATCTACCAGACGGACATTAAAATAAAATTTAGGAAACTACCCTATTGAACACACAGGAAACTGGACATTATTTTCTGCACCTATTTCTACCTAAACAAAAACCCCCAAGCGTTATGATTCGAGAGAAAACAAAGAGAATAGAGAATAATAATCAAAACATATTATGAGTCATCAAACCAATTCTGGAGAAAACAAAGTTAACACTAATATATGGTTTTGGGAAATATTAGGAAAACCTAAATATTAAGAATATTAAAAACTTAAATATTATACATTGTAGTTATACCTCAAATTCATTTATTGATTGTAGATCACAGGTACCTGATTATTACCTAATTATAGTTGTAATCATATTGTAGTTATTACAATATGTAGTTATTTCAATATAATTAGGGATAAGCAAAGTCAAATCAAAATGTAGATAATATTTTGTTAAATTAGCGTGTAAATAACTCACTTGCGTAGTCAATCAATGGTTGTCAAAATATTGCACGTGTAGTTTATATCCTATATTGTACATATGTACGTACGTACGTAGCTTTTCTTAAAATAAGTTCAAGGTCTAGGGAATCTAAGTACCTACGTAATTATAAATAGTAGCGAACGTTAATGAATAGTTATTAAAGCTTGTGCGCTCCTAACAGTGTAGAAGGCGTTGACCCCCATCTAATTATTATCTACGCATGACGTCGATTTATGCATAACATCGGATGTTTACTACAAATACACGTGGAAATCAGGATAAACAGAGTAATATTACGACGATGCGTTATTTATTTTTATTATGACAATAAGACAGTAATAAATTACGTAACAAAGAAATGTAAGGTATTACGTAGGACTACTGATAATGAAGCGTAGGTATACATTTCTAGCCTCATACTGATAACCGTGACACCGGATATTATTGAGAAAAGTGATATAACATCATCTTTTCTTTGATTGTTTTCGATATGGAAAATGCTTTGTTTGGAAAATGTTTTTCTTAAATCTGCAAATACATAATAGTCCGAAATTTAACGCAATAGGTACATGCTGCGTGATCTTTTTGTAACCTCTTTAGAATAATTTTAAAATGTTTTTTGAAATCACATTTATTTAAGACTAGCTAGATAATTTTAAAATGTTGCCCGCGACTTCGTACGCGTAGAATATGAATTTTAGGACTTAACTTTTTTGTTAAATTTTCCAAAATAAAAGTAGCCTATGTTACTCCTTAGTATATCAGCTAACTGCCAATAAATTACCGTTAAAATCAGTCTAGCCATGCCCATTCCAGACATTAGCCAGTACAAACAGACATAGAAAAAAGATGTCAAAAATATTATTTTGGAATGTGTATCGTATGTATATTCATATACATATGGTAAAAATAAGCACTATTTTAATATTATAGAAACTCCAACTTTATTTACTTGTATAGAAAATAGTATTCATCAGTATATAGTCAATAGGTAGTAGGTACCTGATACAATTAACTTTCACATTTCACCATCCAAACGTCTGCTAAGTGCAATGAATAGATAAGTACCTATTTGTAACATTCTGGCCAGAATGTAAGTACCATGTAAAAATGAATGTCGTAAAGTTATAAATAGTTATGTACCCACACCGCATACATTACAAACATAGATATGTAGATGCATTATATGTATGAATATCCGGCACGTGTCAGCCACTATGTATCTCTTTCTGCATATAATGCATCAGCTTGCAAACAATATTGTAAAAAATGTTCTTTACGATCTATCCTTTATCATGAAAGATATATGAGTATATAAAGTGTATGAAATTCGAGAAAAAAACTTATGTGTAATATCGAATCGTACAAATGCGAAAGTTTGTGAGTTTGTGTGTATGTTTGTTACACAATCGAATCACGTCAAAACAGCTAGAGTTCAGAATGTTTGCTATACGGATTAATCATGGTCTGGAGTAACACATAGGATAATTTGTATACCTCAGGAAATGTTGCTGATAGAAGCTAGTATCTGCTATTTTTGTAATTAGGTAGTTTCCAGGGTAATAAAATTAAAAATCTAATTAGTCCGCCAGTTAGGTAATGAAAAAATATTAGACACGTATTTTTTCTTTTCTCACAAATTTAAATGCTTTCGACGATATATTGATTTGAAATGTCCTGTGACGTCACAACGTGCTACATTTTGTTAATGCTTTAAAATAATCTACCAGACGGACATTAAAATAAAATTTAGGAAACTACCCTATTGAAAAGCGACATAATTTGTTTTGGATTCAGGAAATGAACCAAATAATTAAATACATACAAATTAATATTATTAATTTTGTTTCAGATACTGTTACGCAGGACTGAGGAAAAAGATCAAACTAGAAGTGCCACAGTTGCCAGATTTGGGTGAATCATCTAAGGTAGCTAATGTTACAATTACAAAGTTCAATTTCATTATTATGGGTAATGGAAGTGCATTGGGGACGACTATTTATTATGTAACATATTACAAGGAAGATGTTCTTGTGTGCATACATAGTTATTATAATATTATAGGGTGCTCGAGTTGATACTGAATGCTTTGTTTAATGATTGCTACTATATCATTTGATGATTTGAGCTGTAAGCATAGCCATATTACTATATGTTAATCACACTGTCCTAGCCTCGTTTCGGCGGATAGTAGAGGGAACATATTATAATGTTATTGGGCAACATATCTTTCAATCTATCCTTTTACCAAAGAAGTAAAAATTCGTGTAAAAATCTTTTTGCCTGTGTTTACTAAGGCATTCATTATCAAACCTTAGTTTTTTACCATACCTAATTTTAGTATTGTTATAAAATGTGTATTAATAATAATAATAATTGTATTTATTGTATTTTGTTCTTTCCAGGAACCAACTACGGCTTCTAGGGAAACTGAAAGGATCGTTTGTGACTGGGCCGAAACAAAACTAGGTATGTAACATAATATTTACTCTTTTAACGAAACTTATATTCCTCTGAATATTTGTTGGTTTGTGTGCCCGAATATGCCGTAGACTTACCATATAAACTTTGGTTGAATCTTGTGATATTATGATGATTTTCACAAAACCTTTTTTGATATTTCCATGTACGTGGGGAGTGCTTGACTAGTTGTAGCGGCGACTTGATTGTATGGAGTACTTGTGTTGTGTTCCAGGCGTGAAGTTCTCGAGTATAGTGGAGTTGTCTCGGCACCTGATGTCGACGAGCGCCCCGCTGGCGCCGCCCGGCCCCGCCAGCGCGTCCCCGCCCCCCCTCGCACAGCCACACCGTACGTTACACTTACTAAACACGACATTACCGACATCTTTACGTCCCATCATCAATATTAACAGCTGGACTACGGGAAAAGGGGTTTGTCATAATATTGGAGATCGCAGTTTAAAAGGTCACAAATTATACTGATTGAAACGTGTAATCCATTAATCGGCTTTAACGTTACCCGCGGGATGAGTAGCGATGGGGTTGTCCCCAGTGCTTTCTACTCTGTCGTTGCCAAATGATTATTTTATACGCATACATATCTTGAAGTCTTAATTTTCTCCTTTCAGCACCCGCTGAGGACGCAACAAGCCGACAATTGATAAAGCATCTAAAACGGAAAATACAGGTAAGCGCCAATTCCATAAGCTAACGTAATAAGTTTATTTGAAGGGGTCATCTGAACCTGCATTGTGATTTTATCTTAGTGTCTAGTAAAAATATGAAAAGTTTTATTAAAGAAAAGTTAATAAACCATTTATTGTTAATATTTGATCAACAGACGCAGGGAACTCCTGGGAGACCTAAAAAGAACAAAGGTCAAGAAGTGTCTGGAGAATCTCCACCGTCAACATCGTACGCGGGCCACCACCAGCCAATGAAACACGAGAGCGAGCCCCTCCCACCCGACATGAGCTACGGGTATCAGCCCCCCTACGTGCCCGTGTACGACGTGCGACCCACCCTCCCGGCCTACGCGGCCCCGCCCCGCGCCCACCCCCCGCACGTGCCCGCCGCACCGCACCCCGCCCTGCCGCTGCACGAGTACCGGCCCGACCCCTACGCCTTTGAGCCGTCGTACGCGCCGCGCGACCTCACACGCCCGGACCTCGCGCGCCCCGACCTCGCGCGCCCAGACCTCACGCGCCCAGACCTCACGCGCCCCGCCGACAGCGCGCACAACCTGCCTATCAACCTCAGCAGCGACGCGCGCGACCAACAGCCCGAGCGCACGGACTGGCAGCGCCGCCGGCCGCCCGAGCCGCCGCCGGCGCGCCTGCCGCTGCCCGGCAAGAAGCTCATCCTCGAGACCTACCACAGCGAGACGCGCGCCAGCTCGCCGCGCTCCTCGCAGACCGACGCGCGCTCGCACCACGTGCCCGAGGACTTCCCGCGCACTGAGTACCTGCCGAAGAAGATGCGCGCCGCCGAGATCCTGGGCGGCAAACTCGCCGCGGCGCGACAGCTGCAAGCGCCGCTAGTGGCGCCGCCCGCGCCCGCGCCCCAGCTAATGCCGGCCGGGCCTGCGCCCCCGCTGGTGGCGGGCGCCCCCGCGCCCCCATTAGTGCCGCCCGATGTGGCATGTAGCTCCGCCCCTGCACCCGCCGATGCCCCCGTTCGTCCAGAGGTTGCTTTTTTAGAGGATCCAAAAAACTTAACGAGCCGGTCCAAAAGCACCGCCGCGGCGCTGGCCCGGGAGGAACAGGAGGCGGCGAGTCCCACACGGTCGGTGAAGGCTCCGACGTCTAAGTCCGAAATGCTACGCAATAAACTACGGAAATCGAGCGGCCGAGCCAGTGGACCCTCGCCGGATCGGGCGGGATCGCCCGAGCGAACCGTGACGCCTGATTCGTGTTGCGGTCTAGATGGGATTAATATCAAAACTGGAATGATTTGCGAAGAGAAACACTCTGAAATCCTAAATAGAGAACGTGTGATTAGCATATGCAACATTGATAAGCATGATTTAGACGACTATTTGAACGAAGGTAACAGCCAAGAGCATGAAGAGGAGTTACTGCAGTATTTCCACCAACGCGCTAATCAGTCGCAAGCCCAAGCAAACACAAGCACGTCTGATAACGCAGCTGCTTTTTTAGAACAAGGCCAGGACCCACACGACGACCATAGTCAGGGCAAAAATGAAAAAATATCGCAGCTCAGAGAGTTACTGGCTAAAAACTTAAAAAACCAAAGTGGGTCTAATTTACAGACAATGCAAATTAATCAGGAGTCACAAATATCTCAAGAGAACTGTCATGAGCCTGCGCCCATGAAGACTTCTATTTCAGAAGGTGCTTTCAAACCACTTGCGACTAATGAACCTGATTTGAATGGCCCAACTTTAACGAATCAGACTTCTATAAACAACAACAAGCTGGCTGTTTCTGTTCCAAATCAAAATGGCACGTCTCTATCGTATGTGAATGACGCTACCAACCAGGTGACAGGGAACATTGGTGGCCCGCATTTATACAACGGACATTGTCATAATGAACCTCAGAGCCCAACTACTAGAACGCAACAGTACGAGTTTGTGCCTATATCTGATGGTTGTCACTCTCCAGGCAACTTCCATTCCAAATCGCCACTAGGGTTCGGACAGAGGGGTCAAAGTCCGACTAAAGTAAACAAACAAATTATTATGGGTGGTTCGTTACAAACGTCCCCTATATCGCACAGCACTGCAGCGAGCCCATTCGTGAGTCCACGCAACACACCGGTACCACGGTCGCGGTTGTGTCCGAGGCCTATACCAAAGCACAATGGAAGGAAACGCCGGAATCCTTTATCTCTTGGTGTAGTGGACCCTTGCTCTAAACAGTTTGCTATCCCCAACGATCAAAAGTTTATGAGCAAAACCAGTGTTTGTGGTCCAGGCAAATACTGCCAACCGATCTCGGCGCCTCCCTCGCCCAACATAATGACACAATACAAGAATCATATGTACACGTGCCCGTCGGGGATGTCTAACGGATCTAATAATCTTTGTTTAAATTTTTTACCCAACACACCATTCCGAGATCATGTCAATGGCGACCAACCCTTATCTGCTGATCCGTTGTCGAGTGAGGTTAGTCAGTTTTTCCAAGAATCACTGACTTACAGATCGGGTCCCGACACTTTCCGGTCGCAATCGGTACCCTTGAAACAGGGTATGGGAAATATGGGGCTGTTGAGTTATAACAATACGCCAGTGGGATCAGTCCCGCCGACTCCGGTTCCGAACGAGTTTTGTGATTTCGGATCTCTTGCTGATACGTGTGACATTTCCAAAGCTGGGCTTAATCGAGAAACACTCGACAAGATTTACGATGCTATTGACAGCAGCAACGACGTGCTCACTTCAAGTGCGACAAGTATTCTAAATACTAATGACACTCTGAGTAATGGCTGTGATCCCCTGCCCGAACACCCAATACTTTCGATTATACCGAGTGGTGACGATTTGCTCGAAAGAACTAACCAGTTCAACCAATCGTTCACCAACGACAGCGCCACCGCCGACAACGTGGAAGATTTTCTAAAACGAGCAAATAGTATCGAGTTTGACTTGTCGGAATTAGTTACGGAAAAAAATAAATACTACACTTCACGATCGGTTCCGAGTACACCGCTCCCATACAAACGCACCGCGCCCAACTTGCAAATAGATTCTCGCCGGTCGAGAGAACTGTTCGCTGCAGAAAATTACTCTAACGTATCGAACGGGATATCGTCCAAGTCAGTGCCATCCACTCCCCAGTTCGCAGAGGACCGGAGCGTGTTCAGTTACAGTAACCGAGACTTCCTCATAAACGGTAACTCCGTGTGCGGGTCGAGCGCGCTGCACGAGCCGGTGGTGGACAGCGAGCAGACGCTGACGTCGCCGCTGCACGACATGCTGCGCGAGGACATCCTCGGCGACCCGCTCACGCCCGCCTTGCTGGCCGACCTCGACAAGATGGACGCCGCTCCCTATGTCGATCTCTAGTCCGCTGTTTCGTGTATCGTCGCTTGTATATATGTAGAGTAATTATATAAGTTTGAATTTGTTTGTACAGATACCGATAAATTGGATATCTACAGAGTACAATGTATTTGTATGCCTTCAGTGAAGGCAAGTGCTAAGTTGTGCATACCTAGTTTAAATTCGGATCGCACACTCCCAAAAATTGAGTCAATATTCAATGCACTATAATATTGTGATAATTATAAAAGCTATGTGACATCAATTATTAGAGTAAGCAAAAGCGTAACTTTAAATTTTATTATTTTATTTTTGTGACGGCTTCGATTAGGTTGGCTATTCGTTAAGCTACATAAAATATTGGAAATGAATTTGTTGATAAAAGTAATTAATATAATTAATAGCTGACATAGTCTATGAACTATAAGTTACAGATATGTTGCTGATATCCTAGCGTAACACATTGGCATTTTATACAAACAAAACAATTGATGGAATTAGATTCGAACGATTACTTTGTCTGCAATCCTTTGATTATGTATATTGAAATGTGATTACTGCGCGTTGAACCGCGGCTCAGCTGTCGACATGCGCAGCTAGCGTGTGATGCTACGGACCACATAATATATAATGTATTTTTAATATGAAGATCCAACTGTAATCAGTATAAGAAGACTAAAGATACGACACGTTCAGCCTGATGTGAAACTGATATATACAAGGACGCACTGTCGGTAGATACGTAATTATTGTTATGTGTACTATGTACTAGCTAGATATAGGAGAGTTATTGATAACTTTAGTGTTTGCCGACTGTATACGTTATTACAATATTAGGCATGTACCACTTGTAAACAATCAAGTCTATTGAGATTTCAACATAATATGTTAAGCTGAACGTTCAATCGATGTTCGATAGTAATATTTCATCTAGTGTTTTTAGTTCACTCATATTTCTAGCAAGATATGTTGCGCATGAATTGATTTTGTACATTTTTAACGGGCTGTAGTTTGGAGTTTGTATTATGGAGTATATTGATGTTAGTTGTTGCAGTATAACATCTTAATATATAACTTAGATCTTGAATATTTTGTGTCTATACAGTAAGTTGTGTTTCCTAACAGATTTTACAATAACCGTGCTTGTACTGTAACATAAGTGTAAGGAAGGTGGTATGTGCCTCGTGACAATATCTGCGCTCATTGTAAATCACAAAGAAACATCGAAGTTTTGATACCTATTTTGTATTAGTGGAGACAGTCAATAGTGATACTAGCTAACCAGTTCCATCATCAAGATCATGTGACAGTAGCTAATGTACGTAGTTATAGTGTTTAACCAGACCAATGCAGCGTGCCAAGCGCGCTTAGTAAATTAGAATTGGTTTTTCATAAGAAAAAAAATGATAAAATAGTATATAGTTTATGAAAAATGAATTTATTGTAAGTTAGCACAAAGATTTAATATATTTTATTATCACATAGGAGTTTTACTGATATACTAAATTTACATTGATCGCATAAAATGCGGGACGAAGAGATGAACCTGCCAACGTGGCTGCAGTGAGCTTGTAAGGTGTAATTAAAGTACTATTTGTTGTTTCATTTATACGGAGGCCGGTCGAAGCAGGTCGCGTGTCTTTGGCCAAATAATAATGCTCGCTAATAAATAGATACGAGAGCAGTGAAAATATTACTACACATTAATGTTAGTTGATCGTAAAATCACATTGTCTATTAATATAGGTTATTATTAATTTATCTTCCGCCTTTTGTTTCTAATTATAATATTCTTCATTCTCACTCGATCTTACATGTTAGCGTAATTTGCACACTTAATGTGGAGATAATTGGCGCCAAAAGACCGGCTTCTACTTTATGTAAAGTTCAAAATTTTAAGGCCTAGCGAAATTATTGTGTATTTTGTTATGTTTCGTAATGTAAGTATTGTTTCAACACTGAAATGTTGCTTAATGCATGAAATATATAAAGTTAATTTATTTCAATTAATTTCCTGAACCTGTGCCTCAGTAACAAAAGCTACGCTATAGTAAAATTGTCCTTTTGAAGCTTTGTAGTTGGTTTGTTATAACGCTAGTACAAAACACACTGATTCGACAGGGATATACCTAGGTATATGTAAGTGAAACCGAAGACTGTTTAAAGTTTGTAGAATATTTTCAACACAAAGAAATAACTTGTCATGATCACTTGTCGAGGAACAGATACACAACGAATAACATCAGTGATCAGATCAGTGTTATTCCAATTTGGTACAACTTACCAAAATCGACTAGTACCTAATTACTGTTAAGTTGTACATTTTGTTAAGGCTCGTCTCTCGTAAGTTTAAGACGTTGAATCACTTTGTAAATACTTTCAATGTTATTCCATTCCTCATTTTTTGTGTACGGTTGTCGCCGACATCTAAATTAACATTCATCAAACATGTAATATTAATGGATTGATGTCAGATATAAATGTGCACTTCAATATAACAATGTGTTATGAAATAGAATTATTATAATTATGTGTTTATAAGTGTGGTATGTCATGGTGTGTTGTGATATAATTCGCATCTCTTAACTTACATTTATACTGGTAAATGTAACTTCAGCAGAATTTCTAGAAAGAAAGGGTCGAAGAGACACCAGTATTGAAATTCATCGTCAGTATCCCTAAAATTATAATTATTGCAAGCTATGTAAATTAAATAATGATGTTGGAATACAAATTAATAATAGACTACACAGAAATGTAACGAAATAACTGACATAGAATTTCAATATTATTATGCTGTCTCTTCCACCCTGAATGCGAATAATGTACATACCTTCAAATATAAATGTAATCGCGTAAACGTGAACTAACATCACTATAAATACCCACACCGATATAACTAATTTTATTCTAAATGTATACAAACTATGTTAAATGTAAGCTTATCTTTGATCAACCAGAGTCGATACACAAAAATAGTGAAATAATCAATTACATATTGTAACATGACTAAAATGACTCGTTTGGAATAAAAGGAACTTGATCGTAAATATTCTGGATTTAAAATATTTAACAATTTTCGTGCACATTGTTTGACTATGAGATTTTAATACACAGTGTTTGTGTATCTTACATTTTGACAGGTCGTCGGTACTAATTCAACCATACGGAGAAGTGTAAATATATTTCTAACATAAAAAAATTGAATATCACCAACTGAGAAACTTGTTGAATTGTTATTTCGGTGTTCAGCACTTACAGTATGGGTCGTTAGCACATATTCAAGCTAATAATAACTTTCGAACATGTACATCACTATTGGATTGCGATACAACTGTTTAAGCTTTTTGTAATGGTCATTTTGAACCTTGTAACAAGATATTTTTAATGTGATTGCAACAATGTGCATATTTTAATCTATCATTTTATAGCAATTAAATTTCTATAATTTTTAAAGTATCGCAATAATTTTATAAAATGAAATGAATGTTTCAATGAACAGTGGCTTTATTCATGAACAGTGTTATAATAAAATTTACATTTAAATGTTTTTAAATATAGGAGATAGTTCTGTTCTAATAATAATGTGTACCTGTAGATAGTTATTATTTGTATTTGATGTTTAATCTAACGACGAAGATATTTGAACTGTAAGTGAAGTGTAAAACGATTTTATTAAATTAACCATAAATTCAATGTTTTGTATGATATTTTGTTCAATCATAATGAATGTATATTGTATTATTAATTCAATAATTAATATAAATGTTAAAATTAATACATATTAGATGGTATAATTTTAATATTGATAACATGATTTCTTTTAGGAATAATTGTTAAAATTTTAAAATATATATATATGTTTATATAAAAGTACCAATGTCCATGTCAAGATTTTGTTGCTAAAATAAATCATTGTTATGTAAATACAGCATTATCATTGGTTGGAACGTTTTAATACATGACACCATTTTATTTTTATTACAACTAGGTTGTTCTGTTAATTATTGTTTTTATTTTCTAAATATTTTTTATTGATGTACGATAAAATACATATTAGCTATATAAGCATATCTAGTTGTAAGCGAAGATATCCATGTTGTTGATTAGTCTTTTATGGATGTTGATTTACACCATTTGCTATGCAGTGATAATAAATGGTACGATAGTAGCCGATATTTTATTTACAACCATATACACTGACATAAATATATATTTACATATCAAAACAACTTCATTATAGGGAAAGATCAAAGATAATTAATTATTTTCCAAAACAATTAACACTTACATTCTAGTTGATATACTTTTTCCAAATATATGCTTACCTAGTAGATCCCTTCCCATTATGCATTATTTCCACCCTTGCCATAATTTTCTATGAACCATGGCCACAGTATAGGGTCATCTTGATGTGAGTAATTCCCTGTTACCTGAACTGGCATGCCAGGACTCCACTCAAACATTAAGCTCATCAAAGGTAATTCATGAATGTTCTTTAATCCCTTTTCCCCGTGTTTATGTTTTATCTCTCTTACTAAACATCTTTTCACATATGTGAAAAAGGTATCTAGGAAGTTGAAGCAAACATTAGGATTCCAAAATCTCTGAAAATCCAAAAATGACTGGGTAAGCACTCTTGCACAGTGCATATGCACTCAATTTTCGATGCAAAAAGATATAATATTTTTTTTTAAATAAATCACTAAATATATTTAAATAGTGTATTAAAAATGTATACCAATAACAGTGGTTAACTATATAGATTATAGATTAAGTATATCGATTTTTTTTGTAAGGGGGGAAATTCATCGAAATACTTCTCCTGCCTGGGTGAGGCAGGAGGGAGTGTTAAGACTCTTCCTGACTAACAACCACCCCGTTTCTTCTCCTGCACTTCGAGCCAGAGCTCAGTAACCTGTTAGGTTCTCCGCGACTTAAATAGATTAACTACTAACATGACCTTGATTGAGACTTAAAATAAGAAAAAAAAATTACCTGAGACATTTTGGCTAGATCTCTAATTTTCCAAGTTTTCAATTCTTCTACAATTCCATCATCATTTCTGTATCCACATAGTATGGTGTCTATACCCGCAAGGAATGACTGACACCACCACTTCTTTGCTTTAAATCGTCTGTAATAAAGTTCACTAAAGCTTAACACTAAATGTATAGGTAAATAAAATTTTAATTAGGAAAAATACCCACCCCTACTAGTACTCGTTACATTATTTATTTATTTTATTTTCAGCCATGATCATCCCTCTGCAGGGCAAAGGCAATCTTAAAAATCTAGTATACATATATTCAAGGGATCTTTTATAATATACCAAGAAATATATATAATATTTTCCAAGTTATTGGAAATATCACAGATACTAAGATCAATGTGATCATCACAAACTGCCTGTGAGAGCCCACAGCTGGGCTGTAGGCCTCTTCAACAAAAGAGTGGTTTGTCATAACCTTTCCTCATCCAGATCATCATATAAGATCAATATTACATCAAAGTTTCAGTTGTTTTTATAAATAATATTTAATTAAAAATTATTCACAAACCTAAAGCTAGTCTCTTGTTTTGGATGTTCTATATGTCTGTTGGTTTTTAATTCAATAAACTCTTTTGTAGATAAATATTTAATTATAGCTTCTGGTCCCAATTCGGAAGGAGGCTTAGGAACAGCCTCCTTGTCACACCTGATCCCATCCATTTCAGCTCCGTACACTATTGAATGATGGTTCAAATGTGTTGTGAAGACTAATGAGAACTCCTCATTTTCATCCACTGGAATATCTGGATTTGGTTCAGAATCTGGTTCATCTATAAATATTAATTGAAAACAATGAAGTGTAACACTTATTTGCAATATCCAACTTACTATGTTTACATCATATGATGTTCCTTATGTAGAAGGGACAGATAGAATAAACAAAATATAGATTGGGCTAAGACTCCAGCAGAAATGTCTACTAGAATAGTAAAAGCATGCTTTAAACATCCTACTAGACAGATTCAAGATTACATATTTAGTACAATACATACCGGACAAGAGGAACTGTTCAAATTTATAGCCCCATGATGTAAACTGTTTGTCTCTCTCAGTCATATTTAGTTTTCTGTTCAATTTCTCCTCTGTATCTCTTGCACAAAGATAAATGTTCCCTTTATATAAAATGGCAACAATTTTCCAGGGTTCCCTATTTTCATAAGGAGTACAAGCCACACAAGTCATTAGGCCACGGTAGCAAAAGAATTTGGCCTTATCTAAACTATTTTCTATGGGAAAGTTCAAGCGGCGTTCATGTTCCAATAAAAACTTTAATAAATCGTTAAGTCTAACATCTAAGTCTTGTGGTCGGTGTATCGCTTTGTCTAAATGCAAATTTAAGTCATAACGAACTCTTTCATTACCAATACGGCGGGCATACTTGAGATTTTCTAGACCAATGTAACCAATTATAATGGGCCGATCAAAACGAGGGAAAGGCCTCGTATAAATGTTTGGATCCACGTGTAATTCAGGTTGCATATTGAATATTTTGTATATTTATAAATAGATATGAAAAATAATTATTCGTTTAGGTACAATTAGAGATAAATGCCATAAATAATAACTTGTGAAACAGTGATGTTTACATATTTTGACACTATATAAAGCTATTGACAGCACTCACATGAATGTCAAAATCAGCTGATTCCAAAGGGACGGAACAAAAATATTTTTAACCAGGCACTCGTGGATAATTTAACTGTTCATAGCTTAGTTTTAACTTTTATTAACAACCTCTTACCTACTTTCAATCACGGCTATTAATATCAATTAATTATCTGATAATTATTTCGTAGACATAATGCCATCAATAGACAAAAAACACAAATTATAAAGGGCCACACTAGCCAGGAAATCTCAATCTATTTTATGTGGCAAGTTGACTCAAGTGTCAAAGTGTGTCAAACTAAGTACGTTTTAAAAAAGACGGTTATTGTTGGAGATTATTTGCATATTGAAAAACGTGTTGTCGTAAATGAGAGTACCGTTCAAATGTGTAAATATCCCATGTAAATAGTGGGCGATGTTACTGAAGGGATCGAGTAATACCAGAAGTTTACTTATAGAAAATGGAGTCCCGATTCCAAAAATGTAGATTGTGCTTAAAACTTGGTGGATTTTGTTCAATATTTGAACAAGATGAGAGCATTAAGTTATCTGAGATGGTTATGTCTTTTACTAACATTCAAGTAAGTATAGTTTTTTTATTTAAGAACATTAACAACAATCGTTTATAATACGTCAAATAAACTGCTGTGGCACTCCCATATATTATGTTTTATTTATAGATATACGAAGGTGATGGGTTATCAGATCGAGTTTGCACCTCTTGTATTGAAAATCTAAGCACAGCTTATTTGTTCAAACAACAATGTGAAAGAATTGATAGCTTATTGAGAAACTGTCCAGGTAAGACCATAAGTTTTATTTTGATCATGTGGTATTTTATTCAGATCAATTTGAATAAACTTTTACTAACTTATTTTATACATTTGTTTAGTGAAATATTACTAAAAATAATAAAGGCATGCAATCATTAAAATGTAAACATTTAATTGTTTATTTATAATTATTTTCTGTACTTGTTTTATCATGATTTTACTGAGTCTTTGTATTGTTATTGAAACATATTTCATTCACCCATATGTTTTTCTTTTTTATTCATTAGACACAAACTTAGACAAGTCCTCTGTTAGTGACTATAACAGTATTTTCAACAAGGAGTTTCACATGCATGATGGCACTATGGAAGAATTTGTTTCTGCTGAAGATGACAACCATGAAAACTTTTGCAAAGACAATATGGACAGCAATATCTTCCATGATATAAGTGATGAGACTGACAGTGATGTTGATTCCATTAAGTGTGTGGGTTGTAATGAATCCTACAGTAAATTGGGTACTCACACTTGCCGAACTACTTGCACCATAGAGCGGAATCAACTACAGAGATCCAGCAGCAATGAGACTTTAGTTGCTTCTGATGTAGCCACACATGAACCACGGAGAGCCACTCAGTCACTGCCTCCACGTGCAACACAACCATTGCCTGACATACCTGAAGACATGGATGTCACATGTGTCCTATGTGATGACAAGTTTGATGAATACGACAAGTATGTCATACACTTCAATAAGTGCACCACTAATGTCAAACTCCACCATTACGTTTGTCCAGTTTGCCATGACATATACACAGAAAAAATGGCATACTTGGAACATCTTAAGGCTGAACACTTTAAAGTAACTTCAAAAGAGACTGTTGTACATTATAAGGCTGGATTTATTGATCCTGGAGAGGATTGTGTGGACTTTGTGCCATCATTAGAAAAGACTAGGAAACCGAAGGCTGTGCGACGTCAAATAGGTTGGTCTGTTGAGGATATTTATCAGGAAATTGATTGCAAAAGAGTGGAGGAAAAAGTAACCCCCACATCGAGTCCATTTAAAAATTTTTTTTCAAAGTTGGGAAATGAGTGAGTTACAAATTGAATATTGGCATGTCAAGGGTCTACCAGTGTTTATCAGATATTTATATACTTTTACTAATTTCTTCATGCTTTACTAATGGGAAAATAAATGCTTTATTGCTCCAAAACTTGTGCTCTTTATATCTTAATCATGTCAAAGTACTGCAACATAGCTGAGGGCCTCGTACGAGTTTGTTTTATGTATAATGAGATAAAAACTTTACTGTGTGGCCAATCAGAGCACTAAACGTCATAAATGTGTCAATCATATTAACAAACTCGTATTAAACTTTCTGTAGTCAGTGGATGGAATGGGATATAGTTACTAGAAATTTAAAATATTTGTATGATAAAAAATACTCTTACCATTAGCATCATACATAGTTTTAGTTGGCTAACCTTGACTATATTCACTTAAAATTGAGACCGTAGAAAGATTAAAAAAAATTATTCATCATTTTTTTTTAATAATTACAGAAGTTTTAGCAGGCAGAGTACACCTAAAAAAGTAAGTTTTCGGAAATTATTAGAGAGTGGGAAAGAGAAGACTGCAAAATATTTTCAGAGCACCAAACTGAAGAAGAAGGTGTCTGGCTACAGCCCTATAAAGGGAAAAATGCAGGTGTCTACTAAAATAAAAGCAAGTCTGTCAGAAATGACTTCAGGTAACAATATTAATTTAAATACTTTATAAGCATAGCTGGTGTCTACATTATTGGAATGAAAACAATCACTTATCTTTATGCCAAATTTTATAATGTAAAAGAGTAACTAACATATATGTTAGTATTCCTGTATTGTCTTAAATTTTGTCATAATTTAATATAAATTACAACTATGATTTTTTTTAACTATAACTATTTAAACATTATCATTTATAATTTCCAGACAGTGACTATCATTCCCCGAGTGGAACTTCAGAGGAGTCCTGGAAGTTGAAACAGAATTTAATATGTGCTTGTGAAAAGAAAGTGTTCATGTTATCTGAGAGTGTTAATGTAAGTAGTTTACTTATCTTTATTATTTATCTGTGTTAAAGTTTTAAGTATTTCAGTGTACTTTTATCACTTAAAAGAAACAGCATGAATTTTCGGAAATCCGAAAATACACAATTAACCGGATATGACTCCTTACTCAGCAGTTGCTAATAACGCAGCCAAAAGTGATCTATTTTGTTCTAATATCAGTGACCACAGGGCACATACTGTATCTACCTAGCAGCTACTGTAACAGTAAAATATGTTTTTCTTTTGCAGAATCGCGAAAAAATTGCCGCAATGATAACTGAGTTAGGGGGCGTTGTAGCGGAAAATACAAAAATGGAAATGTTGGCAACACATTTTATAGCAGTGTTGCCAAACGACACATTCACTGGTATGATGGTATGCGCCCTCGCTACGGGCAAGTGGTTGATTCACGTCAACTTTATTTACGACAGTTTTAGATGCAAGAAGTTCCTCCAGGTGTGTATCATTCCTTATGTTGTTATGTGGTTTTTCAAAAACATCACACATTTGATTTACTTGCGGCATGGGCATTACATGTAACAGTTCGCCAGTTATATCACGATGTGTCTCCTCTTATTACAGCAACCATTCCAAATACAGTGCTACTATCTATTTAATAATTTATGAAAACCTAACAATTGCAATAATACCACTTCTATGTGATCCGAAGATTGAATTTGAATTATTTGTTTGCAGGAATACTTGTATGAATGGCTAAAACATCCCAAAATACTGGAAATTGACACAACAAGTGTAGAAGTGGCGAAAGCAGCAGTGTACTGGCACCTGGAACTTGATGCACTCAGTGCTAAGTATCCCTTTGAGGGCAAACAAATCGTCCTGATCATGAAGAGGAAGTACAGACAATATTATCAAATGATATTCAAGACTCTAAAGGCAAAGCCAGTTACTTATGATCCAAGGTAAATAATATGATTATTATACACTTCTTTCTAAAATATGAGGTCTTCCAGAGAGTTATCTATTAACTCAATATCACTCTCCTTAGTCCTGGAAGGCAAAGGAGAACTACACCTTCACGGACTCCTTGAGACATGTAAACCAATGCATGTAATAGGCGTAGAGTCCAGTCTCGACTTCACGCAGAACTGATAACTTCGAAACAGAAAAATCCAATAATACTTTGCCTGCAGTGGCGTGCAGTCCATATAGGCAAATAGGCTTTGCTTGACATAAAATGTACTAACGCGTTTATTAAGATTCAATAATATAATAAAAGTTTGTAAAAAAACGGCTAACATAAATATACATTCACATATACTATACACGGACCGCACGCCTTTGTAAAGCAATGAATGCGCGCCGCACGCACTACGCATGCGCTGCTATTCCTTAAATCTTGGTTGTTGGTTGTGACGTCACAAAAAGTATGCAACGCGCATGCGTGAAGGTCACGTGACTATGGTCACAGCACAGAATAACCATTCATAAACGCAAAAAAATATTACACGATTCAATCTAGCCGGACTTTTTGTTTGTGAATCTGCGCCATCTATTGAATTTTTTTGTTAAAACTTCTGAACGCGTTCGATATAGGTAATGCGAATGTCTTTTTATAATTTATTATGCATACTAAAAAAATATGTTTCAGGTGTTTTAATTAAAACATTTTTACGCGTTGTCGCTTTATAGAAACTTTAAACGAGGAGTTGACTTTATTATTTTAAAAGTTAAAAGGAAGTTATCGAAACGTCAAGTTGCCGCTACTCAAAGTTTCAAATTATTATCAACGAATGTTTCTTATTGGAAAATAATAATAAGACAATGATGCAATTCCATTTGACTTATGTAAATTAACCTTTTGTTTTTTTATAATTAAACACTGGGTTGCCTTAATGTTTTAGCTATAATTTTTTTATAATAAACACTCAATTGACTACGATGGGTAATGACTTTCCAATGTTTTCGGCCATATTGTTTTCATGTGATGTGCGATCGCTTTGTTTATGTTTTCGTTTAAATTATAAGGAATTAGTTTTAAACATAAAGTTGCATAAATATGTGTAGAAGTAGTAAAATATATGTGTCGGTTTTTCAAATAGTGTATTTGTTTATCAGTGTCTAGTATATTATTCGATTGTGAAGTTTGTGTTGATAATAGGTAATTTTTTGTGTTTGTTTAAAGTTAAAAACAGTAAGTTTTCGCAAAAATGTGTCCTATAACGACTAGATTCAGGTAATGACCATAGGCAGTACTCAAGTTACGAGAATTGACCCAAGTCAAAGGTAGGTAATGTAAATATGTAGGTACTATAATGGATCTTTTATATGATGTTCTTGTTTATTGATTGATAATTCTTAAAAATATCAACTTATACCTCGGGTTGTTTTGATTTACATATTAATTTATTATTAATAATTATGTAATGTAATATGTAATACAAATGTACCGCTTATACTCGGCTCGGCCACAGCCGGCCGCGCTTGTTGTTGTTTTGTTTGTTGGTAGGTACCTACGTTCTTAAATTCGTAATTATGATTTTGAATAGATTATTTAGCAATTTGATAATTGAATTTAGTTCATCAAATTTATGATTCATTATTAGTATAATAAATAGATGCTTCATTATTTGTAAGATTTGTTGGCTTATTCGATAGCTGATGAAGTACTTTACAAAAAATACGCGAGATGTCAGTGTATGTAATTTGGCGAAAGAATAAACCACAATATTCTTGAACGCACTTTTCAAAATGTATTCTGTACATGTACACAAAGCACCACTAATTAGTTAGCGGCGCTACACATCGACACAACTATCATTTACACAATATACATGTGTGGGTAATTTCATATCAATAGATATGTATAGAAACATTCGTCTATCACACACATCTTGGTATTTAAAAATCATTTTTGTGTCGGTATACGCAATAATTTAGTAAATAAGTTTAAATAAAAACGAGGGTAAAGATAAAATTACTCATAACAAACTTTGAATAAATCGAAATCAAAAATAATGAACGATCGAGCTATACAATACCCATATAAATATAGTGCTTTCTCATTGTAATTTTATGTTACTGAATGATATAAAATATTTCGATGATCTCATCTACAGCGCGCTTGGCGCAATGGTTATCGCCTCCAATTGTCAAGTAAAGTGCCGCCGGATCGATTCCAACATTCACATGTTGTTTTAGAATTAATTTATCAAATATTTGAAATTTGAAATTAGAAACAATTAAATCTTTTCTTTTTTTTCCTTTCCTATTGTTCTAAATCTTATGTTAATTTTAATAGTAAATACTTTAGATTTATTTATACCTATAATATCTTTTATTTATATTTTAGTTCTAGTTATTTATTATTTAGAATAATCTCATTTGCTTCATGCATTTCAACCAACTTAAATAAGATAAAAACAGTAAAAAAGTAATTAACTGTGATTTCTTAATGGTTCGATACCTGAGTATATTTGCAATGTTTGTGGCGACCATAGAAATCTCGAGTCATTTTATTTTACACGCTTATGAAGTAACTACCGACTATTTAAAACATGTTTTTCAAATCACCCGACTTACAAAATAATTGCGTTCTTAGTTGTCAATTTATGAGGATTTCATAGTTTATTGCTACACTACTTATATTCGTGTGCAAAGTTATTTTTATTTTTACAAGATGTTCCAACACCTATCAACATTTAAAAAGGCTGAAACCATTGTTTTGCTCATGCAAAACATAACTAACAATAACTGAAATAGCAAGGCGTTTAATGATATCGGTGAGTAAATAAGATACTACGTTGATATTCTAAATAATATTTATTTCATTTTGTAACTCGACACACCTATCAATTTTTGCACTAGAATAAAATAATTATTGCAACTTATTATGAAGTTCAATATTATAAAGATATATTAATAATTTATTATTAATTGTATTGTAACTTGACTTGTTTTTGTTAGGAGTGTTTCTTTAAAACATATCTGGTTAGGGATTTTTATTCCTTACGCCACTACTTAATTATAAATTATTATTCTAACATTGTGTTTACTTATATTTATTATTATTTTTAAGTAACTTTAATTCCTGTAAAGTATTTCCTGGTATTTTAAATACTTATTTGTTTGGTATCAACAGAGGAGATCCATGCAGTTATGGGTGCACAGATATGCGGAGACCGGTGACGTTAAACATCGTCGACGTGGGCCTAAACCAAAGGCAAATTCATCGGCTCGGCACTACGACATCGTAGCCAGGCACATGGCTGATCCGTTCCTGCCAACCCGCACTACAGCGACAGCACTGAATGTTTTAATACAAACTGTACGGAGACACCTGCATTCTGGTTTAAGGTGCAGGAAGCCAGAGAAGAAAATATTGTTATCTGTGGTTCACCAGCAAAAGCGCTAAGAATTTGCTAGGACTTTATTAATTTTGATTGGGCGAACAGTGTAATCATATTGAGCGACGAAAAGACTTTCAAGTCGGATAAGGATGGGCGTAAAATATTGTGAAGAAAAGATGGAGAAAGGTATACGAATTGCAACCTTCTGCCTTGTAGGATCAGTGATTGTATTGATTTCGGAATCAATTATTGAGCCTGTCAAACTCTGCCTTTATTAAAATTAACATAAAATAATGTTTAATTTTTTTAAGAATATTAAAATGCTGTCTAGAACATACGGTGAAGTGATGTTATTGTTTTGTGGTTAGAAATTGTCATAATTTCTTTCTATTCAACATGTTTATTCACTTCACTTTAATTTTTCATTAACAAATTTATTTAACTGCTTTCGAACTTGATTGACATATTATATTTACGCCCATCTTCAATTAATTTAAAGTTTCCCTGATTCTAAAGGTCATGAAAGTTAAAATCGTTCCATAGCATTCGTCACATTCTTTTTACTATCATACAGCCCACTGAATATTGAACCTTATAACAACCGTCGTAAAATAGATAATTAATGGAAGTTCAAACGACAAAAAGTCGCCCATTTCAAGAAATATTATGTTGACAGTGTAATTTTTTACATGTTTTACTTGTTTATTACTGTAAAACTGTAATTTAATAATACATTATATTATTAAATTACAAAACAAGAATGTTGTATATTTGTTTATTACCTACTTAATAAAAAATGTTGCTGCCATCGTATTACCGCTGTACCGCATGATATATCCCGATTCGACTATGAGGTTTATTGTCATATCTATTAATTACGATTTAAAGAACTTTAAACTTAACATGTGGTATATAATTAATTATTAGATATAAATATTGAATATAAAACAACATATTTGTATAATAAATAAATTAATTGTAATAAAAAATAGTATTGTTTTATTTACCAACTCATTTGCTTCTTTTATAGCCTGATATTTATATTTTATGACAAAAAACAAAAAAAAAATAAGAAAAATAACAAGGTAAAATAAAATTAACTTTTAGCTGGAATAGAACCCACATCATTGATCCTTGAAAGACGATAAAAGCGTGCTCATTAACCAATCGACCACGAGCACTACGATAATGACGATGAAAATGTCGGGTCATATCAATGATTGTAAATAGTTTTAACCTTACCTATGCATTAAATTATAAAAATACGTATACCGACACAAGAATGAAAATACCAATGTGAACGTGGTGGACGAATATTTTTATATACAGTTATATGAAATTACGCACACATGTACACTGTGTAAATGACAGTTGTGTCGATGTGTAGCGCTGCAACTAATTAGCGGTGCTTTGTGTACCTGTCTTGTGGGAGTATGATTGTATGACCGGGGGGGAGGGCTTTAATCATACGATATTTAGTTGCCTACCCTGTCTCGAAAATCTGTGCACGCCACTGTTTGCCTGCCTATGAATTTTATTTATAAGAAAGATTGTGTTTACTGAAAAAAAACAAATATTCACTATTTTCTTATATTGTTTCCACAGGACTCCAGGCAGTTGCTGCACTGCAGATTATTGTTTTGTTGACATGAAAATTATTGAAAGAGTCAAACTTCGCTTTTTCGCCCGCCATAATGTGCCTGTGTTTCCATACCAGTACATATTGGTGTACTTGCTCAAAAGAGGTCAGGTTGAAGACGAATACAAGTATCTTTTGCAAGATTGCAAGAAATATGCAAAGGACACGATGTTTTTGCTGAACGACACCTATTAATATACATTAAAGACACATATTCGTTAATTTGAATTCCTATATTTTTGTTATTTTTTATTATAGTTGAAAAGGTATATGGGTAGCTAAATTTATATTACATATTCAACGTTTTATGTTCGACATAAATATTATTTTATATTTTATGCAATGAAATTAAGCCATATTATTTTTAAGAGTAAAGGTATATTTCTATAAGTTTTTGTTTCATTTTTTATATCATCAATTAAATAATATCACATAACGTGTCCTCTGCGTGCGTTTCCTGTTCTTGGTTTGCTGTGCATGATAGTGTGATGGTTATGGCACCTCTTCCTGCCGATCCTTACCTGTAAATATAATAACAAGCGAAATAATTTTAATTAATAAAATTCAGGAACCTTATAGCCTAGGGACCAACAATCTTCATCACAAAATTAATAAAACATCTTCAAAAAACGGTGTTGATATGACACACCCAACATATTTGACACAAGAATAGATGCATGAAGTGTAGGGCGCAAGTACTTGCTATTGCCAAGAAACTATGGTAGAGTACCTAGTTCAGTCAACCAGGGCTCAATCTTAAGAAGTTGCGCTGAACTGACCAATGCAATATTGCTGCAAATTCTAAATAAGATGTAGGTATCATGTGTCCAACCTTTGTATACACAATCCAACAAGCAACTGTTGCCAGTATGGTTCCTATCATACCCCAAATTTGATCGGAACTGGGAAACGTGTCATCATTATTATTCGATTTGAGTTCTGGTTCATCACAACTACAAAAAGAAGCTATTAGAAGAAACATGGTTACTATAATTTAACTGTCAATATTAACACAATTCGACATTGCCATTGATTACCAGACATTTGAACTCAACAAGTTTGTCGTCAAATGTCTAAGAAGTTTCTATAACTTTCGAAAAACTCGGAACTACGAATATTACTCTACTTGAGTCAAGGTCCCTTAGTCGGCAGTTACATATGTAACCACATTTTTTTAAAGAGGAATATTATCCAAAGTCTTGTCCCGCCCCGCCCGCTAGAGGCGAATGGGAGTGTCTGACTCTTGCTGACTAAAAACCACCCTGTCCTTTACACCTGTAATTCGAGTCGGAGCCCTGATAACTTGTTCTCCGCGGCTCCGTAGATGTAACTACTAGAACAACAAGACGGATATGTACCTATATATAAGTTTATGTACGTAAGCAAATGTCGTCTCTTATTAAGTATATAGATCATTTTGAGTGGTATTACATTTTAAATTTCGCGCTCTATTTTCATTCCCAACTTCTGTTGACCAGACTATCACTATAGACACTGTTTATTAATAAAAGTAAGCATTACAATGGCTTACCTTGACCTTTGCTTTTGCTCAGTTGCTCTGAGTGAACTTGAGTGAAGTGCATTACAAGTGTGTGCATACGCTCTATACAGCACGTACCTTTAATAGTATAGGTAGGTACTTTCGTTCGGAAACGCGTAGAACATGGGAATATACTTCAAATAAAACTAATAAATCAACCACCAAAAGCTCCATTTTACTATGAGATGGTTCTATCTTTATTTATTAACTATGCTATAGGTATGTAAAACTTGTAGCTACTGCAGATTACTCATCATCTCGCGTCGTCGATAGCACAGATATTTCTAGCTAGTCAGAGATCTGATAGATCGAGTAAGAAATAGTCTATGGATTAAATTAAAGCATGCGGGATTTTACAACCATAGACAAATATCCCAGTTCTCAGCTATTCTTGCTACTTTGTTGAGAAAATTGATATAGATAGATAGTTTAGCTTAGGTACAAAAACAATAACGAGTTCGCAGCATCAGTACAAATTCGCTTTTACTTAGTGAACAATCAGAACTCAAAGAAACGAGTTGTGCAAACTGCTCGTGTGATTTAAATTAGAATACAATATTATCTAAAGATAAAATCTTTTGTTTCGGTACGTAAGTATGCAAGTGTGTTAATAGAAAAATATTATTTCTTACGATGACGTAGGTAATGATTTGATACCTAAATAAATTACTCAAACTGATTAGAGGTGTTTATGCTTTACAGCTTCGTTGTGCTAACTAGTGAGAAACATAAAAGATGGGAGGTTGCTGGTCACGTAAAGTAAGCGATTATTTTTACATTACATAGGTACCTAAGTAGGTTATTATATTTCACATAGGATTTAGACGAAATAAGATTACTAGACAATAAAATACCTAATAATATTTATTTACATTGAATCGATATAGGTCCCACTTTAACTCCAGTTACGGCAACAATGAAACTTTTAAGGTCTTTTGTTTGTTTTTAGACTGATAGCCGTCGGAAAACTACACACACGCGGTCATACTACTGGGACGAACCAGATTGGGAACCTGAAGTGTGCGCTGTAACTGTGTCGTTGCATACGCCACCAGCGGAAACTTTTGTTCGACGCGTACCAGTAAGTGGGGTACCTACAATGTACCTATTTTTTTTAAGGGGTAAAAATCATCGATTAACTGCACCCGCCTGGGTGAGGCGGGAGGGAGTGTCAGACTCTTACTGATTAAAAACCACCCCCTTCTTTCTCATGCGCTTCGAACCGGAGCCCCGGTAACCCGGTTAGGCTCTCCGCGAAGCACAATGTACCTAAGTATTACATTTATATTACGTACCTACCATAAGTAAAAACCATATGAAAACTGGGCTTATAATTTCTAATTATAAGTTTGTAATCGCCAACCCGCATTGAGCAAGCGTGGTGATTAATGCTCAAACCTTCTCCGTGTGAGAAGAGGCCTTGCTCAGCAGTGGGTATTTATAGGCTGTTATGATGATGACTATAAGAACCTTATCTCTTGTAGTTGTAAATTTTATTTCTAAGTTCTTTTGATTTTCCGTTTTAAAACTCCTAATTGAAAAACATAATAGACGCATTACTCGCCCCTAAAATTTTCGAAAGTTCCCCTCGGTTTCCCTAGGATCCCATCATAAGATCGTGGCCTAAAGGGACCATCTCGGGAGTATACTCTTTTAAACAAAATAAAAATTTTGGAAATCTGTTCACAAATAGCAGAGTAATGCGCGAACACACACAAAAAAAACCAATCAGCCGAACATAGCACCTCCTCCTTTTTTTGAAGACGTATTTGTCTTCTCGGTCGTGTCTGTCGGGTCGTTCGTATCGGTCGTGTCGGTCGTATTTGTCGTGTCGGTCGTATTTGTCGTATCTGTCGTGTCGGTCGTATTTGTCGTATCTGTCATGTCGGTCGTATTTGTCGTGTCTGTCGTATTTGTCGTGGCGGTCGTATTTGTCGTATCGGTCGTATTTGTCGTATCGGTCGTGTTTGTCGTGTCGGTCGTGTTTGTCACATCGGTCGTGTCGGTCGTATTTGTGGTATTTGTCGTGTCGGTCGTGTTTGTCGTGTCGGTCGTATTTGTCGTGTCGGTCGTGTTTGTCGCATCGGTCGTATTTGTCGTGTCGGTTGAGTTTGTCGCATCGGTCGTGTCGGTCGTATTTGTCGTATCTATCGTGTCGGTCGTATTTGTCGTATCTATCGTGTCGGTCGTATTTGTCGTGTCGGTCAAGTTGTCGTATCGGTCGTATTTGTCGTGTCGGTCGTATTTGTCGTATGTATTGTGTTTGTCGCATCGGTTGAGTCGGTCGTATGTGTCGTATCTATCGTGTCGGTTGAATTTGTCGTATAGGTCATATTTGTCGTGTCGGTCGTATTTGTCGTATCGGTCGTATTTGTCGTGTCGGTCAAATTTGTCGCATCGGTCGTATTTGTCGTATCGGTCGTGTCGGTCGTATTTGTCGTATGTGTCGTGTCGGTTGTATTTATCGCATCGGTCGTGTCGGTCGTATTTGTCGTATCGGTCGTGTCGGTCGTATTTGTCGTATCTGTCGTGTCGGTCGTATTTGTCGTATCTGTCATGTCGGTCGTATTTGTCGTGTCTGTCGTATTTGTCGTATCGGTCGTATTTGTCGTATCGGTCGTGTTTGTCACATCGGTCGTGTCGGTCGTATTTGTGGTATTAGTCGTGTTTGTCGTATTTATCGTGTCGGTCGTATTTATCGTGTTTGTCGTATCGGTCGTATTTTCGCATCGGTCGAGTCGGTCGTGTTTGTCGTGTCTGTCGTATTTGTCGTATGTGTCGTGTCGGTTGAATTTGTCGCATCGGTCGTGTCGGTCGTATTTGTGGTATTTGTCGTGTCGGTCGTGTTTGTCGTGTCGGTCGTGTTTGTCGTGTCGGTCGTATTTGTCGTGTCGGTCGTGTTTGTCGCATCGGTCGTATTTGTCGTGTCGGTTGAGTTTGTCGCATCGGTCGTGTCGGTCGTATTTGTCGTGTCGGTCAAATTTGTCGTGTCGGTCGTATTTGTCGTATGTGTTGTGTTTGTCGCATCGGTTGAGTCGGTCGTATGTGTCGTATCTATCGTGTCGGTTGAATTTGTCGCATCGCGTCAAATTTGTCGTATAGGTCATATTTGTCGTGTCGGTCGTATTTGTCGTATCTATCGTGTCGGTCGTATTTGTCGTGTCGGTCAAATTTGTCGTATCGGTCGTATTTGTCGTGTCGGTCGTATTTGTCGTGTTTGTCGTATTTGTCGTATCGGTCGTATTGTCGTGTCGGTCGTATTTGTCGTATGTGTCGTGTTTGTCGTATCGGTTGTATTTGTCGCATCGGTCGTGTCGGTCGTATTTGTGGTATTGGTCGTGTCGGTCGTGTTTGTCGTATGTGTCGTGTTTGTCGTGTCGGTCGTGTTTGTCGCATCGGTCGTATTTGTCGTGTCGGTTGTGTTTGTCGCATCGGTCGAGTCGGTCGTATGTGTCGTATCTATCGTGTCGGTCGCATCACGTCAAATTTGTCAGTTTTTAACTGATCGGGTTGAAATTTGGCATGCAGATAGATGTTATGACGTAAGCATCCACTGTGAAAGGATTTTGATAATTTACACCCCCAAGGGGTTAAAATAGGGGATGAAAGTTTGTATGAGACTTTGTCAGTTTTACACCGATCGGGTTGAAATTCGGCGTGCAGATGGATATTATGACGTAAACGTCCCTTTAGAAAGGTTTTTGAACATTCTCACCCCAAAGTGGGTAAAATAGGGGGTGAAAGTTTGTATGATACTTTGCCAGTTTTAAATTGATCGGGCTGAGACTTTGCATGCATAAAGTTGCTACGACATAGGTATCTCCTTAGAAAGGATTTTGATAAATTCCACCCCTAAGGGGATAAAATAGGGAATGAGAGTTTGTATAAATCTTCTTAGCCATTGAATTTAGAATCATTGATTCTTTTTGAATTAAATTCGGTAAAACGATGATTTGGGACCTGGGTAACGTATGATAGTTTTTTCACAGATGTCTCACGAGAACGGGAACTATGCGTCAATGCCCCAAGACTCGAGGTGTAAGTAAGAGTTAGAACTCTTAACCACTGAACTTATTCTAAAGAGATTCGGTACAACATAGTCGATAGAATAGTTTTTATTACTCAAACCTTACGTGATCGGGCACTGTACTGGTAAGATCCCTGCGGGATTATTTATTTATTAAAACTACGATAAATCATTTTCAAAATAGGTAAATCTTACTTGGGCACTGAATTGATTCTGGTTAATTCTGTCAGAAGTCATTAATTTACGCGGACGAAGTCGCGGGCAACAGCTAGTCCATAATAAAATTGTAAACAGCTTAATAATGTTAGGTATCTATTAATATTTTAATGAACAATTTTGTTTAAAACTTGTTCCTTGTAAAAATCCTTTGAAATGGGTAGTTGACAGAAAAATCTAATTAGTCTGTCAGTTAAATGATGATTTTTTTATTATTTTCTCATACAAGAAAACAATGCTTAGATAAAACGTATTTAAGTTTAGGAGTCAGTACGTCATACTTCCTATAAAAGTTTGCAACTCGTGACGTCACACGATATTTCAAATCAATATAACGTCGAAAGTATTTAATTTTGTAAGAATCGAAAAAAAAAACATATCTAATTTTTTTACAGAAAAAGTATCAAAGGCACATTAAAAAAGAAATGTAGGAAACTACCCTAATGATAATTGGTTCTACATAGTATAGGCTACAAAATACCATTTTTACAGGTACTTAACATTTTAAAATTCGTTAGATGGCGCCCGCATCTCAGATCTCAGAGATCACAATCAACCTCTTTTTTCCGACTTCAAAAAAAGAACTACTACTAAAAAAAGGTACTATGTCCGGCTGATGGTTGTTTTTTTTTTTGTTTGTTCGCCCATTATTCTGCCATTTGTAAACCGATTTCCAAAATTCTTGTTTTGTTTGAAAGGGTATACTCCCGAGATGGTCCCATTTCCATGAGGTCAGGATCTGATGATGGAATCTTATGAAAACCGAGGGAAACTTTCGAAAATTGTAGGGACGAGTAATGCGTCTATTATGTTTTTCAATTAGGATTTTTAAACACTACAATTTGTTGAGGGTCTGGAGACGACCTAATGGTGGAGCCGACATACAGTCAAGAGAACTCCTCAACGGTTTATACCTTAACTACCTTGTGTTTGACCTTGATTAATTTGTATTGATGAGGACTTTACATCTAGATAGAGTGGGACATTAAGGGTCTGATGATGAAGAAGTGTAATTGTTAAGGGAACTCGTTAACGGTACACTGTAACTACCTTGTGTTTGGGCTTGTATAATTTGTATTGATTAGAACTTTGCACCTATGTAGATTATAAGTAACAACACGGGTAGGTATATGTAGCTTTACACTGAAAATGATAAAATAAGTAATAAAATAAAAACTGCGTTTAATAAACCGACTTCATATAACCAAAAATTAATAACAAACAAAAAGTCAAAACTAATAAGCAAAAATAACTATTATTAGTAAGTACTGATAGGTTACCCACCCACTGATAGGTTAGAAGTCGGTGCCATAAGCTCATATTATAATGATATAACTTAATGTCCACAAAATTGTGAATTAGGTAGGTACCTATTAAGGTTTTAATGACTAATTTTGTATGGAACTTATGGCACCGACTTCTTACCTATCAGTGGGTGGGTAACCTATCAGTACTAATAATGTTTATTTTTTGCTTTTTAGTGTTGACTTTTTGTTTGTTATTTGTAAATTTTTATTTGTAGCCAGCACAACCTGCTAACCGTGTGTACACAGTCCCGAAGCCGACAGTACCGAGTGTACCAAAACCAAAGCCCCCTGCACCTGTAAAGGTAAGTACCTACCTACGTACTAATTACATCGATATACGATATAGCATAAGAACCTAAGTGTTAGTACAGAGGTACGTGTTCTTCTATGATAGTAGGTCTGATTAGTAGGTAGCTACATCAATAAATTTTATACATATCAAAAATTTTAATAATTGCTATAAGTAAAAATTTTGTAGAAACCTAATACGGTGTTAAAAATTCTAACTACTGCGAACTACACCTTAATTGTTAGACGTTGCCATTAGGCATTACATACTATGAAAGATTACTTCTACGTCTGGCTCCCGTTTTCATGATCATCACTAATACCAGAATGACAATCAGAATCAGAATATTAATTTGTAACCACCTGTGTCGGGTTGCTTACCTATTGAGAAAATTGAGAACACTGAAAACTGCTCTTATATTATCTTACTAATCTTTCAGGAGAAATTGGTGCCTTTATATGGAGAGTACAAATGCGGCAGTTGTAAAAACTTTTGGGTTAGCCGTCTGTCGTGGCCCAACAGATATCAACAGTGTCGGCGTTGCAAGTCATACGCGCGTCCAAAAAATCAGGTAAGTTAACGAACTAATGACTACCTAATGTGTTAATCAACTAATCGAAGTTGGGTACTATAACTAAACCTACCCACCTTCGAGATAGGTACCATAATGTGCCTACCTGCGGTTGGTTATACATTTATTGGTACTTGTAATAACTTCAAATCCTTCTACAAAACATCCTCAAATGCTACTTACCCAGTTACGTGTCACTTATAAAACAGGCACATTTTTTTGCATTTTGCAGAGAGAACTGCTTCCTACTGACTATACCCGTGGTAAGGACGACGTCGGCTCGGAGCATCCTCAAGAGTTTTGCGAGATGTGTAAACAGCTGGGAAAGCATTGTGGAACATACAAATCAAAATAAAATAGCTAATGTCGGAATACTGAAACGCTACTCAATTTTAAGTCGTGCTTAAGTACCTATAGTTCTATCTCTACAAATTCTTTGTAAAATCAATTTGAATTGTTAAGGCGAATTTACCCTTATTAAAAATAATGCACATAATCCTTTCAATTTAAAAATAAGACGTAATGAGAAATCTGCGTGCATTTAACAGAATCCTAATAAAAATTACAATATAATTAGATACTGAGTGTGTGTGATAGAATATGTTAGAATGACTGACTGGTGTGCATTGACACTCATCGAAGTGATAAAGTGCAAGCTCAGAAGAATGTTATCGAAGTGGGTCTCCACCCAGACCAGTTTCTCAGTTGTTCTCAATCTAAGCCGGGAGAGGTTAGGGGATAAAATAAACATGACCAATTTTTTTGATTTTGGACGATTATTATATCTCTATCAGTTTGATGACGAGAAGATGACTTTGTTAAAAACTGAAAATCGGAATAAGTTTTCCACTTTGAATTGAATCATAGATTTTAAGTACACAGTACCTACCCTCTGTTTGTGATTAACGGGGTTAATAAAATTAAGATGAATGATACATACATGGTGATTGCATTGTGGTGTATTTATTGATGCCATTCAAAAGATTAATAAGGGTAATTGTTTACATTATGTTTATTGTAACTTTCATTGATATTATGTAGTTCTTTGAATAGTTTTTTTTTTATATTATGTATGTACATATATATTTCTCAAGTCAAGATAGGCTTAAAAATGAAAGGGTATTACATTTTTGACCATTACAATCAAACAATCCTATATTATAATTATTCTTATTTTGCAAGACAATAAATAAAGTCTGTTATTGTAAGATTGTGTTTATTGTAACCAGTGACACAACATTTTTATTATTAACCCGTAGTACACTTCTAGAGACAGATTTTTTAATAGACACATAAATGTAATGTACTTATGATGTAAAGTAATAATTAATAAAGGTATTTAGAATTTTACGTATCGTCGTCATCTTGTCCGGCGTCACCATTAAATGCTCGGTTTACTAAAGCTGCATAATTAGTATCTACAAAATAGCTTGGCACATCTGTGGTGTAGTTATTTTTCTTTTCAACTAGATAAGCAAACAATGGCATCAGTCGGGATCCGATTTCATCAATATCTTCTACGTTAGTATCTGCCAATAACTTCGATAAGCTAAATGCAGTACTTATGACATGTCGGTCGGTCAGTGGAACTTTAAAGAATTTGTACTGAAAAAAAATAACTGGTTAAAGTCAAGTTTTTCTTAATAGTTATAAAATTTTGGAAGGGAATTAAATACCCGTATGATGTAGACGAGGTTCTGGATGCAGTAAAACAAACAGGCTCTCGTAGCAGGAGTGCGGGTCCCCTCAACTGCCTTCGCAATCATGCGCAGGGCTTCGTGAAAGATGCAGAGAACGTCAATGTCGTTAATGTGCCGGGTCAAGTTGTCCCAGACCACACACCATTCATCCAATGTGCCTGAACTTAAAATCTGGGCATAGAAAAATTTCTGGTTAATACTTTAGAAAAATGAACAAGAACATGAATTCAAATTGCTAATAATAATAATCCATAGTTACCTGGGTAGCCCAAATTGATATTTCACTGCGCTTAGTATCCTTATCAACTTGCATGCCACTGACAGCTTGAAAGAAGTTGGAACCTTGCCCACCTAATAGTTTTCTGAAGTAAAAGTTATTTTGTGGCTGCATATTTTTGCGTTTCAGTCTGATTCGCAACCAATCACCTTCATCATCTGCAATACACACATACATAATTCATATTTATAGTTAATTAGTATTACCTATTTGATTCATGATAATTCTAGACATATAGTTCATAGCAGAGGGGCATGACAATACTTACTTGGAATTACAGTATCATATGTTTCTATCAAAGCTTTCTGAAAGCTCAAAGTGAGTTGAAGAGTTGATGAGGCCTTTGGCACAAATGCTTTGATGTTTCCCCAGCGGACCACCTCCATGACTTGACTCAACATGGCGAGCATAGGAGCCCGGTATTCTAACAATTCTCGGATAGTGTAGGCCTCATTCAAGAGTTGCATCTGCACATGTATTTTTCCAATATCTTTGTTCAAAAGAGCTTTGTGCATGTGTGGCATTATAATTAAAAGGAGTAACTTTGTTCCTGGGAGTAAATTACTTATCTTCAGTCCACTCAAAAACTTCACTATATTATCTTGTTTACTGTCCGAATCTAACGATTCATCAATAATTTTCTTAATTATACTTATAATACAAGGCTCTGTTTCAGTCACATAGTAATAATTAGAATAATCCCTGAGTAGATCCATAACTTTCAGCATTGCATTTGTTAGCTGAGCATTTTCTTCAGCCAACACAAATATTTTAGTATAAACTTCTTTGGGGTTCAGTAAGAAAGCATCTAATACTTCTTTGAATTCTGAATCGGTGTCTGCTATAAATTTATTGAACATTTCAGTAACAAAGTTGTTATAATGTTCCCCTTCACTTGTGTCATGGAACTGGTTCTCACTGAAATGTTCTTTAAGCAGTTTATGTTTGTCTGATATACTGCAGCGCCGGAATATCTTGATAGATGCTGGTATCACATGCTCTCTGTTAGTTGTGTTGCTTTTAGCATAATTGGTGAACATGCGGTATAGTTTTACACATTCTTCATTATCAAACTCACGCAAGTTGGTTTCAATGAAATTGATGAGCTCTAGATGCTGACATAGAAATTCTTTATGTACCAGAGCATGTATCCAAGAGGCTCTATCTTCGGAATTACTATAAATATTCTGAATGATTACGTTTGCATCAGTAACATTAATAATATCATTGATGACAGCTGGTTTACGAGCCATCTGTTGGACCATGTCTACAACAGGGTGTTCAGACATACCATTCACCTGCAGCAACTTTGTCCTCACTTTATGACACAGCTCACCTATGACCTGTTGCATACTTTTACCGTCATCTTCAAATTCACTCCAAGCACAGAATATATCAATACTGACGCCCATCACAACTTGTTGAAAAATATCTAACAACATAACATTGCAAGTCATTAAGCAATTTCTTACATCTTTGTCGGGACAGTCGCATACTTTGTTTGTGGGTGGATTAAACTTAAAACAACTGCCCTTATATGTGGACCTGTATATATCATTACACCAACTTGAGTTTACTTCTCGAGTAAAGCAGCTAAAACATTCATATATCAACAGTAAAATTGTTTTGAAACTCTTTCCGTGAAACTTGTACAACTCGTCATTAGTTAGCAACTCTATTAAGTGATTATTAGGTGGATTTGTGAAATATTTTAAACATTTTAGTAGAGTCTCATAACTAGTGACTAGTAACTTGCTAAAGGTTGCTTTGTCAAATTTAAAACAGTGCAGTCTACAAATTAAGGAATATATTGCCACTGATAAATTGTGTAATTTTTTAAGATCTTTGGTGGGATCAGAATACTTATAGTTCTCTGCAAATGATTCTGCCACTTCCACTGCAAGTGGGGGATAGCAGTAAGTAATAATTTCATAAACAAAGTCCTCCATACAAAGGTTCCACAACATTTCACACATCAGGTATTGCGGAATGTTTGGTATTGACTGTATGACTAGAAAAACTCCTTCCATTTCTGCCAACTCTTGAATAGATTTTAAATCAGAATTCAGAACAATATACATCGCAAACTTTCGTGTTTTTGATACCATTGTGTCTATTACTCCATTTTCATTTATATATTTTTCATTTTTTAAAAACCTGGTCATACTTTCAATTATACTTCTAACTTTTTCTTCATTGCCTGCAACAAATATAGTAGATACTAAATACTTTTAAATGGAATATTTTTGATAAGTATGGGAGAGCTATGTTTCAGCACAATTGGGCTGGCTCGACTGAAGTGATACCATAGCTTCACAGATCAACCCTCGAGTTCCTAATCCCCTAAAATAAGCAGACGCTCTAGTAACGCCATTGGCGTTTCGGGTGTCTATGGGCGGTGCCGATTGCTTAACATCAGGTCCGTCAGGATCCATATGCTCGTTTACGAGCTTATTCCGTACCAAAAGTTACAAGCAAATATTTTTGTGAAAAACTTGTACCCTCTGACAAAGATCATTAAAAGGTTTTTTTTTATTAAAAGCAATAAGAAAGATTAGAAGGTAGGTAGCAAGGCTAAACCTCCACCTAAAGATTTCGAGTGAAAAGAAAATAGTAGCAAATCATTAAATTCCGTTGAAGGATACAATACAGTCCTAGTACTACTACCGGTAGATTCTTATAGAAATAAAAATTGCGTGTACTTACCGCCCTTAGATGTTATTCTTGAAAAACTGTTAGTGTGGTTTAAAGATATAATTAAGCCTTCAAATGCGGATAGCTCAGGAGTAAAATCCATTTTTATTTTGTTATTTATTCTTCAAGATTATTTAGTTTTCTCTTTATTCACCCGGCAAATCAATAAATTTATTTTTGACATAAAATTTGACATTGACATTATCAGGGCGGAGTTGCAATTACTTTAGTCTTCCTATTACTATGTATAAAGATTCTTATACGAAAAATTCTAACTAAAATGTTGCCAACTTATTTTCTTTTTATTGTGAATTAAAATGCATAAAATCAAATAAAATAATAATTTGGAAACCAAAGACCCTTGTCTTTTAACTTTCTTGCCAAGGAAAAAATAGTCATAGCATAACTGATAACTGGAGAAAAGTGGATATTAGGTACATTAATTTATTATTTATCTAACTGACCCGGCAAACTTCGTACCATCTTAAATTTTTTCTCACCTTTTCAAAACTAAAATTGATCAAATAGGTTTGGCCGTTCTCGAATTTTAGCGAGACTAATGAACGGAAAAATATTTTCATTTATATAGATAATATGTAAGTAGACGTACATTGTGCACATCTGCTTATCTCTTTGGAATCTAAAACGTGACACGAAAAATTGTGTAAATCAGCCTATCAGGCGCATGCTATTTAAGTTTTAGGACTTTCAGAGCCGTCTTAACCAATATTATGGGGGCACCAACAAATAGTATCTTTTTTTATATACATATGTATGATGGGCCGACGTTTGGTTTGATCATTAACTCGCCTGGTGGTAAACAATGATGCAATCTACGATAGAGCACATGTCGCCCCATAAGTAATCTATTTACTTGGGTCTTGAAGACATTCAGGTTAAGGAAATACAGACTATGGCAAAAAATTCCACTCCTTACTAGTACGCACAAGGAAACTTGATGCGAAGCGCTTCGTGTATGTGGGTGGGACAGCTACCATGAATCGGTGACGCTACGCCGATTGTCTTGTGGTACGATAATAAAAAAGACTAGGTGGATGACGCAAGGTGTGCAATTATCCCGCACACTCACCGAAATGTATTCGGTAGAAAACCGAAAGGCTTGCAACCTTACGCCTGTGTTCGAGCCTATGACCCTCTTGGCACGCCTCTCAACGTGCTCTAACGCGTCCAGCTAATATTTAGCCGAGTCGTCCCAAAGATGAGAGCAGTACTCAATACAGAACCGAACCTCCACTATAACTATGACCAGCCCCTGAAGGATGGACAGCAGAATCTTCTAAAATATCTCTTCGCCAACGAGGCGAATGTACATCAATGCACTCTGTGCGGCCAGCAGGTCAACCTATTCTTTTCTGTTCGTTATTACATCTTCAACTTTATTATATTAATACAAAATCAAAAATCCAATTAATAAATTTGACAGATTGGAGTAGGTTGATCTGCAAACTAGCATAAGTTTCATTAACGTATTTTACAACTATGTAATCAAATTCAATACTTATAAAAGTTATAACGAAACGTCAAAAACCATATTGTTCTATGAATTTTGCACCAAAAACTAGCTTATGACGTCATCATATTTTTTCGAGTCAAATAGCATACTTGTTTCTGAAAAAAATGCTAGAATAAATAGAGTATGTCGTCAAATGTATTAATGAAATTGTAATTATTTTTAATATTTAATCAGATTGATAAATCAAAATAATTTATTTTTGACCCAGGAAAATACCCAATTATGGGTACTTATAATGAGGAAAACCACAGTTACATTTTCACTATGTCTATTTATTTATTTATTTATTTGACCATTTATTTAACCATAGGCTAGTAACCATAGATATAATATCTGAAATATAGTCACGTCATTTGAAGCTAAATGGACATAAAAAATGGTGGAGCTCCACACACAATAGTGTTGTGCTTGTTTTGTCGATATAGGCAAAACAAGTAATAATCCAATGTACATATAAAAAATTACTTATAGTTCAGTTGAATTCGGAACAAACAAATATATTGCTATAACTATAACTATTGCGAAGCGCAAACTTCAAAAGCGCATACGAACTCATAGACTAGTAGGTACTACCTAGTACTACCTAGGTACATACATTATCAAATCAAAACATAGGTAACGCTATGTTATTCTCAATGAGGTATTTCTCGTCAAGTGGCACGTTGGAAGCGAATAGTGCCTACAAATTTACGTCTAGCGTTTGACGTGCATTTGTATTTTTTTTTAATCATAAAGAGTAAATCTTAATTTTTTGTTTTTACTTTACATTGAAAGTACGCCTTATGGTAAGCTTTTTTATGCTGTGGGACGAAAACGAAATAGATTTTACGGATACCATAAATATTCGTTAATCAGACGGCTACATCCATATTATTTTTAACACTTCTATCAATAACTTTATAAAAATAAGATCAAGAAGGAGACATTTATTTTTGTTGATGAGGTTCATATTTGTATAATCAAGATTATATAATTATGCAACTATAGTATTATATCTATGGTTGTAACACAGAGATCATATTATTATTAATTTCAAACACTTGCAAAGGTGTTATTTAATAATAAAATAATGAATAATTGGGTACAATCTAAGTACATACATTCTACTTCCTACATAAATAGCTACTGTAGTACGAGTTTACATATTTATTTAATTTTACGTTTCTGAAGGGAAACAAGATTTTTTTGAGCAGTCTTGAACGATGGGTCAATTTTTAGAGCTTTGGTGTACATTTCTTCTGCCAGACGATATTTTTTCCATCGATGATAAAGTACTCCTGAAATTGAGAAAGGAAAAGATAATTGAGAAAGGTTAACTACACATATTCACCCCTTTTCATAGCTTGCCCTATGAAGAACCGACTTTGAAACAATGTAAATATTGTTACTAATAAAGACGTGTGGTAACACGTCTTTGTCGGAAAAGATATAGAACCAAAGTTACCGATACATCTTAAACTTTATTAGTAAGCTCAAGGGCCAGTCATATCTGTAGTAGAACTAATCTATGATTGTTGGGTTAGGCCACTACATGGAATTTTCTTAAAAAAATATTATCACCTAGGTTGGCGTAGTGTATGGCCTTGATATCCTTGTCAAACAACTTGATTGCCTTGAGGAAGTGTGTCTCCGCGTCCTCGTACCGGCTCAGCTTTCCATACATGTTGGCTATGGCAAAGTTTACAGCAGGAGCCTCAGGTAGTTCCTTTAACGCTTGCGGTATGATTTCCAGCGCTCTGTCAATTTGTCCTGAAATGTTTTAAAAAACAATACTAAAAAAACTCGAAGTCGGAAGTAGCTTTTTAATAAAAACATGTACCTTCTATAAATTATTAAACTTCTAAATCGAGTGAATGAACCTAATCGGAGAATGTGAAATTGGCTCTTAACATTTATAATATGAAAGGGCTATGGGAACATTGTTAGTGCTACTATTAGCAATAATATTAAAATCTTGTTGTTACCAGTATTATCCATCAAAGCCAACAGGTTAGTCCAAGCTAAGACGTGCTTAGGACTCTGATTAATAGCTCGGAGCCAACTCTCTATAGCTGCCTCAGTTTTATTCATTTCAAGGTACTGAAACAAAAGGACTGGATAACCAAATTGAACTAACCAAAAAAAATGCATTTTATAAAGAAATTTAATATCCAGTGATTCAAACACAACTGATTAGTTTGTTAATAGGGGGTACACAAATGGACGAGTACACCTTCTGGGAGAATTTAAAAATAAAAAAACAAACCAAAATAGACATACCAAATTGCCCAAATTATAATAGCAGTCTGGATAATTCTTGCGGTGATTCAAAGCAGTTTTATAAGCTGCTTCCGATTCTTTGAGACGATTGGTAGAAGCTAGAAGTATGCCCAAGTTCATCCAAGCAGCTGGGAAATCGTCCCTAAAATTGTAATAAAAGGCCTACTCATAGATTACTAAGTCAATAAAACCAGAGTTCACATTAGGTACATAATTGTAAAATATATAAAATCGAGGTAACTTTATGCGCAATACTCTGCATCATATTTATAACTAAAAGCTTACTACTAGACGTTTTATATTTGCAGGATACATGCACATATTGTAAGTGATCTAATGTGTTCAATATAATATGGCGTTAAGATGCTGTTGAGGCTGCCCTATTACGTAAAGCCACCATAATGCAATAACAAACAATTAGCTCTAAACCAGGGGCAGGTCTTGGGAGGCAAGCACCTTATAGGCGCCCCTAATATTTTTTGGCAGCGGCGCCGCTCTGTAGGTAATTGAGCATGCGCGATTCTCGGCGCCCCTCAGTAACTTGGCGCCCTATGCACTTGTCTACTTTGCCTTAGGGATAATACGGCTGTGTTATGTAACATGGTTGTTAAGTATTATAAAACAAACATAGCGGCTATTTTATTACGTACTATTGCCTGAATTTCATAGCATTTTGATACCTTGGATTGACATAGGTCTTAAAATGATATAAAAGATGGAAGACGTTGTGGTCCCTGTTTTATTTACAATTTATTTAGGCGTGAGGCAGCTTCAATAGCTTACTAACTCCTAAGTATACTTTTCCAGTTGGATATACGTAGGTACCAGTGGGAAACCTTCTACACACAGTGAGTTCTTCTAAATAATCATTCGCGATGCATTTTTTTTTGTAAGGCTATAGTTATTCGGGTATTAACGTTTAACCTTGACATTTGAACCGGGTTGCTTTAATCGTGGTCACAAGTAGATTAATGCAATGCGCTCTTTAATTTATTTTATACAGTTGATTGTTTCCATATAGGTAATTATATTTTTAAATTTTGAATACAAATACGTACGCTGTAATGCATAAAACTAACACTATTCATTAAGCTGTAAAATGTAAATATTACATTGTAATCACAATTAAAAGTTTTAAGTCGGTCAAATGTCTAGTTTAATACAATTATGTATTTGAAGAATCACGTAAAGCGCAGGCCATACCGCCGGCTGGTAAACGAAGTGTAATATATACTCAAACATAAGTTGAAAAATAGAATAATAAAAATTCAATAGTAGGTATATTTAAATATAATTAATTATTGTTTGTGGATTTAAATAAATAGTTATAAGACATGCTTGGACGCCTGGACGCCTGGACAGTGTGGTCTACTCTTTATTCCCCGTATAACTGTAGTGCATAAAGCCATTTCTATAAAGAGGTAGGCACTTAAATGAGATGTCTAATGAAGTAATTACTACAAAACTTTTATATTTTTACTAACATGTCATCACGGTTTAAGTATGAAAATCTGAAATAAAAGAGTTTCATTAATTCAGAGATTACTGCAATAGATACGTGATTATGTCAAGTTACGTTTGCGCCTCCGATTCCAATATAGGTGGGTGAACAAACATTCATATTTTTTTAAATTCTATATTTCGCTTCTATATAAAATAATTATACTTTTCATTATCTATGTGTAGCAATTCGAGTTTCAGTGCGCGAATCAGTTAGCAAAGCTGTGTAAGTTTTGAGTAAAATAAAAATTATGTTTAAATCTTAGCAAATAGCTTTAAAGATTAACTTAGCAGTCGCTACAAAAACATCTTTGAACCCCATACCTTGCTTCTGACATGATCAGAATTTGCGAAGCCGCATCCACTTACCAGGAGTTTCAGGCCACAAAGGAGGTCCAAACTTCAGATGAAATATAATGAAAAGGTGCAAATGTGTCATACCTGTTTTTCACAGCTAATCTTAAGTAACGTTCAGCTTCTGTATATTGTTTTCGATTTTTAAGTAAGTTCGCCAAATTGTTCATTGCTTGATAATATTGTGGGTACAGCCTGTAATATTTTTTTAATTTAATATTTTATTTAAATACTTTTTCCAATGACATGAGGATCTTCAAACCTGACAATGCTCGCAGCTGATCTGCAGCAATGGATATCTTTTGCACTGATGGCTGATATGATGATGTTTTGATTAATAAGTTTTAATTAAGTACACTAGTGTCTAGGATCAGTTAAATTGATTGTGGACATTTCCTTGTCATATTTAAAATTTATGCACAAGATATAAGACGATATACGACGATACGATAAGACGCCTGATATTTTTGAGCCACATATTTTTATTATTTTATATTTTTATAGGTATAGGTAAGTCCTTATCACTTTACTGAAAAAAAAAGTCGCAATTGCTATTTTAGTTTTAGTAAACTGTATCTGTTGTAAATGGGCACAATCTCAGAATCCTGGTCACTATGTAGCAATAGGCTGCCCCATATTACAATGAGACGAACAACATAACTTCGGGAATAATAAACATGCTTTTAATGGACAAAATATAATAGAACAAATACACAATTAACGTATTTTACCTTATAGCTTCTTTATATTCGGATATAGCCATATCGTATTGTTTATTCGCATCAGCTATCTTCGCAATATTGTAATGAACTTTAGCATTTAACGGACAGACAGCCATCCCGCTAATGAAGAGACTGTATTCATTTTGCCAGTCGTAAGATCTACGCCAGCTCCACACACCGTATAGCATCACCACTGACATGAACGTCAACAGAGCAATCTGGTGGAATAACGAGCAAATTCAAGAACAATACCAATAGATAAATAATTTATATAATTATTAATTCAAACTAAACTTTTTGATATTAAATTAAAGAGTTTTTGCTTGTTTTATTTGCGAAAACTGACGTGATTGGATTTGCGTTCTAAGGTTCGAAGACGCACCATATATAAATATAAATGGTGCATCTCTTTTGGTATTAATCCTAAATAATAAAGCAATAAAATATACCTTGCGGAATTTCGTCGACCTCCTATCCAAGAGTTTGTTGAATCCAATGGCTATTAGGAGACAGTATCCAGCCGATGGTATGTACAAAATCCTCTCGGCAATCACGAAGCCTACCGGGTATAGAATGTTAGCGGCTGGCAAGAATGGCAACACTACCAGAGATACTGCGAAGAACATTATCCTGAAACATTTTTTAATTTCTTACTATTGCCATCTATTGTATAATGATAAAAATAGGCTGTGTCTTAAGCTTAACTGACTAAATACACACAAATTAACATGCTATGGCAAGGCACAGACTTATGGTAACAAAATAAAGTAACATGAACCCTAAACTCATTGTAATAAGATTTAAAGTAACTTTATGAATAATAGAATCCTTTGCCATTCCATACCGTGCCAGCAGTGAGCACAAGCCTGCCATTACCTGTTGGTTATCTTCATGTTTCTCCCGCTGTACATAGTCTCCAGCATGTACATGCCGAATATATACATAGAGTACACCAACACCATTCTAGTGTCTCTCATATTCTCAACCAATCGAATGCATCCCATCGACCAATCATAGCACAGCCACTGAGGCCATACAAACAATAGCAGATTCAAAAAGTATATATAGTTGTGTGTGGCTACCTGTAATTATAAAATAATGTTATAAAGCTGAAGAGTTTGTTTGTTTGGTCGAACAGGGTAGTCTTAAAACATCACGCTATGACAAATAGGAGCTGAGCTGTGCATGAAACAATGCAGAGTTGTTAGCAGTAAAAAATGGAAGTAAAAAGTAAAACTTGACTTAGTTTAGAAAATGTTAGTCATCCATAAAGTCCAGCTTTATGTAGGGTTGAATGTAGGTGTATTAAAATCTATCTAAAAATGTTTCACTGTTCAATGGACCTCCCATTGTACAAATTCATTTGAAAGTAAAAAACATTTTAAAGAACTGTTCTTGTATTCAGTACTGATACAGGATATTCTTCCTAGTACAGGCAACAAACTTAGTGAGATCTCTGATTTTAAATTAAGATATTTATCTGTACTATGACCAATTTATTATAATGAATAAAGATTTAAAGTAAACTCACATAAAAAAGTTTATAAAATACATAAAAATTGATAACTGGGCAGGGAAATAAACATCATTTATTTTAATCATTAACAGGGCACTATTTAATAAGGTTAAAACAGCTTACTTTAACAAATGGATCAGAGGCAAATGCTGCTGGGTTGTCAGTGGATTTGAACTCCGGCCTTGTGTTCCCCATCACAGCCCACCTTGCATACATCAGGGTCAATATACTGGTGAGCATGGCACTCACCCTGAACATAGAGTCCACAGTTATGTTGTCTAGGCTCAGGATCCTAGCAGTCCTACTTTCTATTCTATTTATCTTCAACTTTGTTACTACCTCATAAACTATGCAAAATCCCTGAAAATAAAAAGTAATTACTATTCACAATATTATTCTAACTTACTGGATGTTTTATTAAATGATTTCAACTCACCAAAACTGTAATACCATTCTCCTTAAATAACATAGACATACCAGCTAAAAATATTGTAGATAGCAAAAAGCAATATGCACGCGAGTCTTTGGCTTGTGCCTGGCTATAGCAAAGAATGGCGAGGAAAAATGTTATAGCAGCCAAGATATCAGCTCTGCCAACTGCACCACATACAGCCTCCACATGGACGGGGTGCACACTGAACAATAGTGTCGCCAGGAATGGTGTGTTTCTCCACCAGTACTTATTGCTATCTAAATCCCTGCTTAGTCTTTCACTTTCACTTATAACGACAGAGAGGACCTTACGACTTGTAAGAGTCTGAAACACTTTCCACACCAACAGACAACATATGACGTGACATACTAAGTTTGTCACTTTAAATTGGAAGGCTGATAAAGTTCTATTATTCAGGAAGTAATTGAGCCTGAAATCAAAGTAATGAATAAAAACATAAGTAAGAGCTTACTCTGATGTTTCAAAGGTGTGAATATAATAAATAATATATCAATTTACTAACTTGAACGACAATACAGTAAGGGGCCGGTAAGATTTGTGACTAAAGTTTGATTTAATTTTTGCACCCCAAAAATCGTGTGTGAATAGTTCAGTCCACGAATCCGAAGTAACATCTTCATTTTTTACAATTGCTTCAGAGTCATCAAAAACAAAATCTCCGTCTAACGTAAACAAAAACGGTAAACACGACAGTGAGACGATTGCAATTAATTTAACCGGCATTTTCTTGGCTCTGCAGCACTGTAAATCAGTTGCGTCACGTTTTATTGATCGATACCAGAAAGTGTTAGTTGTTTTAATTCATGGTGATGCATTTTATTGAATTTACACACTGTAATTTTAGATTTTTATAAATAATAAGTATCCGAAATTTTATTTATTATGACATTTTCGTATTTAATTTCTTTATACGCAGATTTACTGACATTGACATTTACAATGTTTTATTTTAAATACCATAGACACATAGAATTATTACAATGTTATGAATCACAGGATAACATAAATCCCATTCACAATCCAGTGAGATGATAAATATTTTAGTTTCTTTGGTACTTGCACAAAAAACTAACGTTTTGTCGGATAAATATTCAAAAAGGTTAAACTGCATAAATAAGACGTTGTAAATTTCAACGTCCATGTTGGATACTGAGTATTTTATCCGATTTAAATCAAATATTTACCTAAAAAACTGGATAAATACTCGAGTAAAAATGGATATTTAATACATTTCCGACCCCGAGTAAAGACACACGGAAGAAACCTTCCGAGACGAGTGCTTTGACTTGAAAATAATCACACAAAAACATAGCAAAACTATGGAATGATCTGTCGTGGGCGGTATTTCCGAGCCGATACGACCTTCAAACCTTCAAGAAAAGAGGGTATTCCTTTTTAAAAGGCCGACAACGCAGCTGTGACTCCTTTGGTGTCGTGGGAGCCCATGGGCTGCGACGATTGCTTACCATCAATTGACCCGTCGGATCGTTTGCCTTCTATTCCATAAAAAAGTGATATCTATGAACCGAAGTACGGCTGGTGACCTCACCAGCCGTACTTCGACGTTTGATGATGATGACCTCATGGCGTTTGCTGTGTTCTAGTTTGACCCATATAGTGGTACAACGGTTTCTACTTCAAAAGCAAGAATTCTTACTAAAATATTCAGAGTAGGTTTGAAATACTTGAGTGTATTTAATAGTTTTATAAATTAAAACAAACATTATGAATATTAAAATGGATATTTTTTATTAATCAATTATATTAAAGTTATACTAAATAAACCTAATTCAACTATTCGGGCCGAGATGTTATTATACAGACAGATAGCCTTAACTGGCAATTCGGTTGAATTGTCTCTATTGCTATTTAGCGCTTGTCTACATGTAGAATAGAAACCCAAATTATATGGAATTGATGTAAATTTTGACACTTGTCAGTGTCATCCCCATACATTTTGATTTCTACTCTCTCTGTCTGTAGACAAGCTCTAAAGTAGCGTTTGGCTACGGCTACAGCTGCTATGCCTTTACTAAATGTATGGGGATGACACTGACAAGCGTCAAAATTTACGTCAATTCCATATATTTTGGGTTTCTATTCTACAAGTAGATAAGCGCTAAATGGCATTTGGCTACAGCTGCAGGACAGAAATTCTGTGGCCCAAATCAATCATAATTAATTTAACATATTTCTTTTTAAATACCGTGCTGGATTTAGGCAGTACGATCGTATTTTGGTTCATTGTTGGAAAAAATCTCAAACTCTTAAAAAAAATTCATATATTGCTTCATAGAACTACAGTAAACTTAATGTGGCATTGGAGTGGCATGGCCTAATGGAGTCAGCGTGTGTTTTATATCTAAGGCCGTTCTTGGGTCACGCAGAGCGTTTGCTGCATGAGCGAGTTGTAGCGCGCACTCAGAGGGCGCTGTAGGCGGTAAAGCCGTGCATTCACGCTCTAACGCGTTTCCGATCGCTGTTAGTAGTTCTGAGAAGCCTAGGGAAATGGCTGCTCGACGGAGTCTGTTCAATTCCTGTAAAAACAGTGATATATTTTTATTAATTTCCAAGTTAATTGAAAAAGTTTTCGTTACATATTATATTTCTTAAATTTTTTTCTTAAAAGATACCTTAAAGAGGTGTTGTGTCTTATCAGGTAGTTTCCTTGCATGTCGAAGGACTTTCTGTACGTCAGCGAGTAGTGCGTGTGGACGTGCCCACGCGCATGCAGATCCTCCACTACTGTACGAACGCCATGATCTTATGGGGAATGTATCCGCTGCAACAAAAATAATGTAAAAGAGATATAAAAGCTTGTCTAAATCCATGAAATAAAATAAAATAATGGGTATGGAACACTTGTGCTATGCACTTGATTCTTTTTTTCAGTTTCATTTATCTCTGTAACACACTCTGTAACATTATATACAGTATTCCAAGCCTCAAATAGCGGGTGTTACATAACATAGTCAGTATAGTACTACAGCAGCTTTGAAAACGCAAAAACTCTACTAGTTTCAAAATAATGGAGATAATAGTTTTGACTGCACTGCATGGTTGGCGAGGTGTTTCGTTACCAAGCTGCTGGAACAACTCTGTGTGTGATCTACAAATAGTATCGTCAAACAGAAAAATAATTTAGTGAGGGGTATATACAAAAAGAAACCTTACTGGAAGTAGTGCCTTCTTCAGCAGGTCCAAGTTGATCGAGGGCGCCGAGCCAAGGAGCGGCAGAAGCTCCCGGCCTCATTACGCTGAGCAACAAACACGAACGACGTCCACGTGACGCTTCACACGAAGCTGTTAGAGTTCCCCACCAGTCTGCGCCCAGCAACACTACTGCGGCCATGCCTTCTACCTAGATAATGTAGAACGACAAGTATATAAATATCTTTATGCCATTGCATGTAATTTATAAATTGCAGTGTAAAATATAAATTCGACAAAAACGATTTACCCTTTATTTTGAAAAATTATGTATTGTGGGAGTCATGACATTTTCCAGTATAAAATTGTAAACTTAAAACTTTACATAATTTAGTTTTGTCAGCAGTTTAAACCACAAGATAACTAAGTATGTATAAACCAAAATACGTAATGGAATATTCTAAGACTCCTCAAAATGGTACCTTGAGAGCTCCATGTAGCAGGACACAAAAATTGGGTACTTTGCTAGGATCTGACATGTCTTCCTCTGTAGCGGAACCATCCGTACTGGACACCTCCTGTACGTAACACAAATAGAAATTGTTAGATATTACAAATTAAATTCAAGAAATAGACAATAACTAAAATGGTAAGAGGTCTGAAATACCTTAGTAGGAGTTTTGGAGCCGTAATTTTCTCTCGGCGCTGGAGTGGTTCCTGGTTGTGCTTGCGGTATTACTAAGTGCTTACTTAATGCTATTGGGGTACCTGTGATAAGGTAGAAATATTATAAAACATTATCTTTTGCCCGCAACTTGTTACGCGCAATCCCGTTTTCTCCCGTTCCCGTAGGATTATCAGGATTTTTGTTAAGTCATACGACATTCTCCTAATAATAATAAATACAACAAAAAATAATTAGTGCAATCAGTCCAGCCATTCACGCGTGATGCCGTGACCGTATATAATAATATATAGACATATAGATGTATTTTTATAGTTAAGTATGTATAAAAGTGTTATGCTATAAAAGTTGTTTTAAGTATTATCTTAATTTGCTCCTTTACTTGGCAGTAGGAAACTTTGAATAAAAAAAAAAGTATATTTAAATGTGTCTGACAACTTACTAAGTTCCTGTTGTTGTATAAAACCAATGACATGTATTTGATTGGCGAGCGTGTAGGTAGCAGCTAGCTCTTCAAGTGTAATAGTCTGTGGCGCGGGGAACAACTGCACGCGCGCCTCTAGCTGGCCACACTTCAGAGTGCACCAGAATTCCAGATAGTGCTGTTCACAGAGCCTTGTCATAGCTGTTATTACCTGTGAATAATTCATATTTTACTTAAAATTCTGTCTATATCTATTTTATGCCATATTGTTACGTTACTTTTCTGTGTAGTATGTAGCAAACTTAATACCCTTCTAAATCTTCGAGCTCTCACCGGTGACTACTCTCCACTTACTATAATAAAGATCTTATTTCTAATGCATAAAGACTATTTTTGTATGGAAAAATCTTGGATTTTGTGGGCAAAATCCTGTTTAATGTGCCACTCTGTTTTTGAAATGAAACATAATTATCTAGCCAGAATATACATACATATATGAGATAGAATATAGATAGAAAGAGATAGTGCTTGGTAGGGGAAACTCCCATAATGCCGTCCGGCATTAAGGGACTTGCTCCTAAGTATTATTTTCTTAACTTTTATAAGTAAAAGTTATTTAATACCGAAATTAAAATCAATTATTAACATATCAGGGTAACTTAATTTGCTGCAGTTTGGAATTGAATATGTCATTTTATAGTACACATTCATATACTTACCCCAGGCACAGATAGCTGGTCAGGGCAGTAGATAGTTCCACGGGACATATTGCCATTGGAGTTGCTTGTTGTGTTATTTGCTAAGTCCACTATTTTCTGGTAAAGTGGCATTGCTGAAACATGAGTTTATGTTATTAATCCTAAGATTTTATGAGACTAAAAACTAACTATTACTTGAATTAGTTACATGGGCCATTGAAATGACCCTTATAATTTATAAAAACACTTATAATTTACATTATTTATGTTACTTTTTTATGAAATTGAGATATGTTTTTACTAATCAAACACATAACTTTTACTTTAACATGTTAAGCACTTTGTTTGGGGGACCAGTGTTAGTGGAAGATTTGTTTTGAACAGATTTTATTAGCAAGTCTTAATAAGCTTTTAATGGTTTCTAAAATGCACTTACCATGTTGTAGACAAGGATCATGAGGGGATACAATGGGCAATATGTGTATTTTTGCTGGATAAGAGGGAGGCAAAGGCAGCGCTTGCACCATCCGGTTCCTGCCAATAGCACCCACACCACTGCTTCCATCTGTTATCTGGAATATTAGGTACCAAAAATATGGATTGAGTCAACTTTTTAAATCATATTTCTAAATGAGTTGCACATTGAATTAAAGGTTGAGTGAGAATCAGAATGAGAATAGATCAATATATGCCTTAAATACAGTCTTACCAATATTATTTGCACAGGCGTTTGACATCCTCCCCACTCATTGAGTACCAGCTGGTTTACACCAAGCAGAGCAGTGTCTATGCAGGTTTTGTCTCCTTCCTCTAATGACAATAACTTGCTGCGTATGCTGTCAAAGTCTCGAGTAAAAGGAACAGCCACTAAAATAGAAAACCAAAATCATGTACTCATTCCTAAGTCTGTGTAAGAAAATACATTGATAATTGAATATGGACGACCTTACCTTCGTAAACGGATGAGAATGAGACCAGGGCAACATATTCTAATTTAGCGTGAATAGTTAAATAGTCCAAAAATGTGTTCACGGCTGCAGTAGCTATCGTGTGTCGGGTATGTGTCTCTGTTGTGTCAGAAGTCGGGACAGGCCGCGACATTGATAGCGAAACGTCCATTAATATCACCGTAGGCATATTGTTCGATTAAAATCTAACTATTAACACAAAACTAAAAAGAAATAGTACATAATTTGTTTTCGAATCATATATTCAACAGCGTTTAACAAACCAAAGTTGACAGTGACAACGATGATGTCAATGTTTATTGTTTACATTTATAACATTCTGGTTTTGGTATTTGAAACAAATTGTTCGGAATTCCGTTTATAAAACAAGGATATCAGAAAAGACATGCTACAGATATTACCTACACTGGTCTGAAATGCGCAACATACAACTAATACCTAAACTATTTGACAGCCTGACAGATGAAGGTGACGGATATAATGTCAGAATCGTGAAGTCGACATTTAAACTTCTTAAAACATTCTTAGTTTGAGTCTTAGCAAAATAAGATCTACGCGACGTTGGCCATTTCACTTCATGTTCATTTTAAGATCCATTCCTTCCATGACACCTTGACAAGGTAGTTACAGTTTGTCTATATATATATATATTTGTCTTAGTACCAACCAAATATGCCTTAAGGCATTAAGTCCGCCATTCACTTTTACGTTTTGTGAAGAAGAAATAAATAAAAATAATAAATAATATATGCCACGTAAATAATCCTTATTTTAGACATCAAATTGTTTTTTTGTAAGTTTTTTACTGCAACCCTTGGAGTATAAGTTGGTACTCTTAGCTTCTAGCAGATGAAAATATATAATAGTAATATATTTACGATTTCTACTTGTCATAGCCACTGGTCGAGCGAAAACATAATCTTAATTTGAGAAAATTTGTTCAGCTTCTTGTTCTACTGAAAACCACTTTATACCCTAAATACAATCAGTCGAGCTCCACTCTAAATTGTTCATTTGCATGTTTATATAAAATTCTTCCAAGTTTTATTCACATAAATTCCAATCTAGTACCTACCTTTTTAACAAAAAACGATGCAAAACCATCTCCACCACAGCTGATGACATTTAACGTACGTTAGCGTACGACCAGTTTTTTTTTTATAGGATAAGCCGGTAATCGAGCAGACGGATCACCTGATGGTAAGCAATCGGCGTCGCCCATGGACACCTGAAAGGAATTACAATTGCGTTACCTGCCTTTTGGGGATTAGGAGTTTAAGGATCGTTGGGGATTCAGGAATTGGAGAGATTGGGGAAGGGGAGGGTAATGGGGCCTCCGGTAACCTCACTCACATGACGAAACACAACGCAAGCGTTGCTTCACGTCTGTTTTCTGTGAGTTAGCGTAGTTAGCGTTCGTGAGCAAAATATGTATAATAGGTTCGCTTATTAATTATTGCTAATGTAATCTAGGTTTGTAGGATTTCATTAATAAACTTTTTCATCTATAAAATGGTTCAAACTATTTTACGAATCCATTGAACAAATCCCGATACAATTGGTTCACTCTATAGTGACGCAAAGAAAAGTAGGTATTAATTACCTGCTTAACTTACTATCACCTACTTATTTTAACACGACCAACTCGATTTATGTATCATGTCATTAAGTAATGCTTGTTTTTGAAGATTTGTAATGGGAGAAAATACAGACGACAATAAAATTGAAAACCGGGATCAAGACGAAAATTTTGAGTTTAAATACAATTTTTTAAATTTACCATGGGATGATCGCTCGAATAAAAGTAAAATTGGAATTGTCATTCTGCTGATTGCTATATTTGTAGCGACAATGGCTCTGGTTGTAAATAGTTTCATAATGCATTATCGAGGTTTCAAGCAAATTAAGAAATACTCAAATCTTAAAGAACTATCATGTTATCGAGTGAAAATGGATGACTATCGTTTCGTAGCAAGAATTCATTCTGTGAGCACGCAGCAGTTGTTATGTCTCGGTGCAGTTGTGAGCAAGAGTTCAGTTCTTGCAAATGGAGTATGTGTGAAGTCTGGACCTATACGAATATATTTAGGCAGCATGTCAAAGTACAAAACAAATTACCATTATTGTTTCATAGATTAGGAGTAAAAGGGATTATGATCAACTAAACATTAATTCTTTTTCAGTCCTCGTTGCAAGAAAGGCTTTTCCATCGACCTCTTTGAATCAATGTATCATGTTGGAGTGTTTTCGAAAAAGCTAGTGCTCTTATCTAGCTATGAAAGCATACAGGGGTGCTCGGAAACAATAAAGATCGGTAACAATTTAGATTGGACGCAAAAAGTTCACATCATCGGACGACCACACTCTGTTGGTAGAACTTTCTCGCGACAGCATGCGTCTCTGGCTCGCAAAGAATACGTAGATACAAATTCCAATCAGCATTTGAAGTCAAATTATACTATATGCGTGAAGGACCTGGCGGCATGTCCAATTCGTGCAGGTGATTTGATGCTGCAGAACGGGAAACTGTTTGGATTGGCTTCTACTAGCGTCCAGCGATTCGGAGTGGCTTGTTTTGGTGATTTAAGTGTCGTCAGCCGAGAGTTAAAGGAGATGGATGCAGATATCGTAATAGGATAGATCTAATGCATCTTTGGGTTTTATTGAATTACTTATTTTGAGAGCACTTGATTGCATTTTTAACCCTTAATATTTTTAGACCCCTGGTTACTAAGTAGTTAATGATTGTTCAAAGATTGTGCCTAACACTATATCATAGGTAGGTACAGCACCGTTAAATTAAACAACAAAACAAGTGAAATTATTTATTTTGAGATATTGTATTTATGTATTATTTAGTCCTGTCTGCGTAAGTGTCCTTGTTTTCGGCGGCCAGCGGGAGTCGGCACTTGGACTGTGCCCAAATCCACCTCCTCTGGACTAGTGTACCCTTTCCAGTCCTTGGTAGCCAGGTATATAAGGAACACTATGATGAATGTGAGTGCGGTGTACCCCAGCAAAGTGTTGCTTTGGCTATAATTATACAAGCCGGCGGTATCTAGAGTAACTCGTATGTTGCTCCGGCCGCGAACTTTGTTCGACATAGCGTTTGCGACGGTTTTGAAAGAAGGTCCTGAAAAACGTTTGTGTATTTAATTAAAACAGGTAGACTTTTGTGGTTCAACAAGGTACATATAATATTGGTAATATATCCTGTATCTGTCCATATTTCTCGTAGGTGTAATAAACTCTCGAAGTGTAGAAGTAGGAACGAGGAGGTTAGTCAGTAAGGGCAGACCCTTGGAGTGTCAGAACACTCCCTCTCGCCTCACTCGGGCGGGAGAAGTCATTGGATGATTTCCCACCTCAAAAAAGGTGTAATAAACTACACGTGATGAAACAATAGAGTGTCTAACACAGTGGTACGTTCATATTGCCTGAGATCACACTTCCAAAGTAGTATGATGAAACAAATTCGAAATTTTGCAACAGTCACGTTGTCTTAGAAAGCTTCCGGAAAATGTTAGATAGACTCTAAATATTTTAAAAATAAGTCCCTTTTCCCGTCTGTCAGACTGTATGAACGCATAACACACTCAAAAACTTACGGATTTCTATACGGCTTATGAATTTATGAATAGATAGTGATTCCTGAGTAAAATTTACGTGTTTAATTTATAGCGACACCGCGGGTAGAAATAGCTAGTGTGTTTTATAATTTGCAGAATCTAAGTCAACAACAAAGTTTAACATCGATATTAAAATATTAATGAACTATAAATTGGGTTGTCAGTTTAGTTAGGGTTAGGTGGACGCGGCAGCAGTGACGTGCGTCCAATTTATCCTATCTGATAGTGGGCTGACGAAAATTATAATAACCCATTAAGTGCACGTCACACGCACGATTGGATGTCACCAGCTAACAGTGATTTTCCGGAGAGTAGTCGCGACAAAACAACTCGTGTCGCTCGCGCACATGGCGGTCACAATTAAAATGTTAATTTGTCTCTCGCACATTGACACGCATCACGGTTTTATTGGGACACGCTCTATTGACTGACTACATTAAAACATTACGCGCCGAGTTAATTTTTTAATAGGTACTGTTTCATTATATTGTTGACGAATTATATGGGTGGGTATCAAAAGAAGTCTGTTTTATTATACCTTTGATTCTAACGGTTGTAATTTTTTACGTAAGTAGGTACTTAGGGTTTAGATAAGGTGACGGTTAAGGGCGTAAGGTGCTTTACCGAAGAATTTAAATTGTTATAAGAAAGGCTTATTTTGTCCTTGTTTATTCTAGCATACAAAATATTACTTGAACAAAGTTTATAATTTTGTTTTTTCTTAACAACATCGTCTGCGAAATATGTGGTGTGATTATTTTCAAATTATTTTAAGAATGGGGGAGGTTTATATGTTATAAGTAATTAATATCTAATATAACATAACATCACGCCTTTTATCTCCGAAGGGATAGGCAGAGGTGAACATTACGGCACTTAATGCCACTGTACAATGTGTCGGGTGTCCCACATTTCACTATTTATGGTATGAGTATGAGTGATAATTAATATCTCTTGAATTTTTACGTTGTATCTTTGCGATCGTTACCTACCTTTATCTATAATAGGATTAATAGGCTTAGAATAACGTTTAATGATTTTGGAAACAGGTACTTTATACGGATTTGATATACGCCTATATAACGCTACCGTAATGATATCTAAGTAATCAAACGTTTCTCACAAATTATCTCAAGAGTTTAATTAGCCCACAATGACCCTACTATAAGCCAAAGAAGAGTTTTGAAGAAAACCGAACAATCTACCTAATTTTTAACGGGAATCAAAGCCATTCAACACTTGTGTTCAGGGAGGGGGTATAAAAACAGTGTTTAAAAAATGAGTAACGTGCCCACGGCTACACACGTGCCAACGGGTGCATACGTGACATTTGGAGAAAGAAAGAAAGAAAATGCATTTATTTGGCCATTGGCACACGAAAACAAGGATCATTACAATAGAAATAAAACAAATACAGTCAAAATAAAAACAAAACATTAATAATAGATTTTATAAAAGAGAAAGCAGCATGGAGCATTTTTTCTTATGATTCACCGGGTGCTCATAAGGACGCTCGAGGGGTTAAGCCACTGTGTTAAGCATGCATAACCGCGCAGGCACTATAATCATTGCAACTAGTTATTTCATTTCATTGACATAATAATAAAAAATTAAAACCTTTACAATCTAATCTATCAACAAACAAAACTACAGCAAATAACAATTTATTTCGTTGGCCGAGTGGTCGCAAGTGCGACTGCCGGCCGGGCAAAGGGCCTCGGGTTCGAATCCCGGGTCGTAGTAGTAAGTAATACTGACTTTAAAAAAAATTCGCAGTAGTAGTACGGAGTCTGAAATTGTGCTCGGTATATGGCAATACACCCCCTAGGGAATAGGGAACCATAACATAAAAAGTGAAAACTTTTCACTACATTGTACAGTGGCATTAAGTGCCGAAATGTGTACTTTTGCCTACCCTACCTTCGGGGGTAAAAGGCGTGATGTTATGTATTTTTTTAAAGATCTGTTAACTTTAATCCAAGCACTAAACCAGTTAAGTAAGGGGTTTCTCCACTATACAATGACAAGTATAATAAAAGCAAACAAGCTTGCTTAGGTAGAATTTCATACTTATGGTAATGCAGAGAACTTTCATTAAGTTGGAGCAATGATCATATCTTTTAAACTGACTTCAAAAATAAAAAAGTTTGACATTTATTAATGTTTGTGCGCGTGTAATCTCGCGATTGGCTGAATCGGTTTTGATGCGGTTTTCAGAAAAGTGTTTGTTACACTTTTTTTTAAAAATCAAAAGGGGGGAAAATCATCGAATGACTGCTCCCGCCTGGGTGAGGCGGAAGGAAATGTCAGACTTTCATTACTGACTAAAAACCACTCCCTTCTCCTGCACGTCGAGCCGGAGCCCCGGTAACGCGTTAGGTTCTTCGCGACTCCGAATCTGCATCGGTCCAGTTGGGCCCCATCTGTTGTGGTCTGATGGCAGTGTTTGTTACACTTGGGTTGGTTTTAGTATATTATAATATTACCCGACTTCAAAAAAAGAGGGGTGAAAGTCATATTTTTCAAAAGAATTATTAAAAATATTTTTTTGTTGGAAACGAGTCAGTGTTTATGGCCACTATCTCGCCTGGTGGTAAGCGATGATGCGGCCTACGATGGAGCATGCCTACTCATAAGCATCCTATTCACTCGTGCCTTGAAGACATCCAGATTATACCCGTCGGGAAACACAGATTCTTGCAAAGAATTTCTCCTTCAAATCTTGTTGTTAATTGTGAGATTATTACAAACTTCCACGCGTTCAACTAGAAGGGATCTTGTTTTTTACGTGGGCCGTTTTTCATGAATTACAAATGGCTGTCGCGTAATCCTAGTCAATCATTGTGAATTAAAAAAGAAAATTGCCTAGCTTGAGCGCTTTTCTTCGCATCTAAAGGCGGCTTAATATCGCAATTATTTATTAATTTAAATAGGTACAATTTACAATTTCATTTTGGTTGGAGAAAATAGTTTTTGGCTGGTTTAATAATCGGTATTTATTTTATTTGTACACCCTTGTATAACCCTAAAATTACTGAAGCGTGTGTGAATTTACCTATATCCACATATAATATTAGTACATACTTTATACAATAGGTAGATGAATTTAAAAATCTTATTATTTAAATAAATTATGTAATAATCGAAGGTTCATAAGAGAAGAACTACTTATTATTTATGAGTGTAATTGAAAAAATACACAGTAGGTTAAGGCATGAGGCATGGTAAAGTACCTTCATATAGGAGAAATCTTGAATTATTTTTCATTTACGTATGTAGGCCGCCGCCGTATACCGCCGGTTGTCTATTTGCTGGTGCACTATTGTTGGTTTCAAAATAGTGTATTATTACATTTTATTTCATTATTTGGCTTAATTTCACTGTTTGTTTTTTGTGATGTTATTTTATAAATATTTATTTGTCAACGCGACATTTCATAATCTATACGTTCTGGTGTAGCAAAAAATATATTTTTTAAATGCAACCTGCTTTGTAGTTAAGTCTGAATTTCAAACGTATTTACACTCTTTTTTTTAATGTCCTTGATCAAAACATAACAGGTATAAAAAAATTAAATTACGTAAGTAACATTTACAAATTGTCTTGAGAAACATTTCGAGCGAAATTTCAACCAGATTTCAGGTACATTCAGGAAAAAGTACCTATAGAAAGCTCTGGAAGGTTGCACATGCGTGAATGTGACATTGTACAGGATATTGGTTGAGAATTTAAACTCGGTCGTGAAAAGAGTTGCATTTTCTTATGTCCAACGTTTGGATACCAACGAATGTCGCAGTTGACATGAAAGAACATCTTTATATGGCTTCTGTGGAAGCTGAATCTAAGATCTAGATCCCACGGCAAAATTGGAAGATTTTAAAGGTAAAGAATGCAAGCTGAAACTGTTTAATTATTGTTGCGAGATTTTTTAGGTCGATATCATCAGGACCCATCATGACAAAATTAACTAGGTATCACTTACCAAATTTTTGAGAGATTAGGCCAGTTATTGAGACCGGCGTAGTGACTGGGTAAACAGTCGCTCCGCAACTCGTCATGGGTTCGATTCCCATACATACTGAAGAATACATGTAACATCTTAAGAAACTTTATGGAATGCAAAAAAAAGATATGAGTACATTATTTGCGTGATCCAGAAATTGTTGATTTCGATATATATGTCCACGATTCAGAAAACACTGGTTTGAAGCCAAGGTTTTAGAAACACTTAAATGAAGACATTAGTTGAACTTAAAAGTCCAAAAAGCAGTAGGTAATAGCTTAATTTAAAAAACTCAATCTAAATGTGACGTTACTGTATAAAAATTAAGGAAAATTCCGAGAACATTAATTGCTATCTGTAGATAATGATAAACATAAAGAAGATCAATCCAAAGGGAAGTTTAATATTGATGAGCCGACGTCGCACGTCGCGCGTCCGAACGGCGGCCATCTATAAAAATATTAATTGCTGTCCTGTTCGCCTCGTAAACAATTCAGTGCACATGAAATATTTAGTACCTATACACGTTAAGTGTTACTTTTTATTTTAACTACACAAAAACGTGGCTTTGCTTGTGAATTTTATTTTTCATTGTACCTACGCAGCAACCGATTTATACACAAATGAGTCATGTAACTAGGTTTGAGATAAACCGATTCATTGATATCTCCCTATCATTTCAATTTGGAAGCGTCTAAATTATAGATGAGCGCGAGATTAAAACGACAATCTGTTCCAAACGTTATCATTTTCCAATTGTAAAGTTAATGGCGTTTGGCATAAGGTTCAGAATGGTTTCCTTCGCTTGGGGGTTGTTTAAGCAGGCTTTATTTCGTATTTGAATCGGGGAGTCAAATCAGGTTGGTAATAACGTTTCGGAAAACAGCAACGGGAATGCACTGGAGACATATTTGCATAGAACATTTTTTGTTGTGAAAATATAGTACTACACGAACCTCTACTGAACCGTACCGGTCACAGAACGTGTGCAGTTCCTAATTGGTAATCAAAAAACACTCGGGAGTTGTATATGCGAGATTTGCGATCAATTTAGGTGAAACTGCAGTGCACTCTACTATTCTATGTTGAATCATTGAAGAGGTTGATGGATGCTTCTAGTGTGTTTCAAACGGTTGTATCTAATGATAGAATTGTCCCAAACCGTTTCAAATAAGAGTTGAGTGTTTGATTTACCTAGTTTTCGGCTTTTGAAAAAAAAATACATATACCTACCTGTATTATAACTTGCGTGAGACTTACTAAATAAATTATTATGCATTAATGTATATAAATATATTAATGCAGCGTTTAATGCTGATTATGAATATGAGCCTCTAGCATGGCTTGAAACTAGTCGAGTTCCTCATCAAATAATTACGTGAGTAAGACAAAAACATAATAATTTATTTAATTAATATACGTTTTATGAAACTGAACTTTTATTTTGTGTTATTGGTAGAGAAATCTGAATTATTCACAATGAATCAATTTTTTTTTGTAATTTCCACGATGAAAGGTATATATTATTGTTAAAAATCAACGACTGAATTAATAATTGGAAATGTATTTACAGTCATTTACCAGGATAATGTCTTTTTGTTAGAATAAATGGTTTCTGTTAGACGTTCTCTGTGGCCTATTGGGCCTTTAATTAGTTTTCTCAAGGGTTAGAGTTGAAAGGGCGAAACTGGGATGAGTAAAGCAGATGGGACATTTCCGTTATCCGTCCTAATAGATATTGTAAATCCAAACGGATTGATCAATAATAATATACTTCCGAAAATGAATTTTTGTTTTTTTTATGGGATTAACGAGGCAACGGATCACTTGATGGTAAGCAATCGGCGGCGTGTATAGATAACCGGAACACCAGAAGCGTTACAAGTGCGTTACCGGCCGTTTGGAGATTAGGAATTTGAGGATTGTTGGCGATTTAGGGATTGGAGAAATTGGTAGAGGGGAGGGGGTAATGAGGCATCCAGTGATGATGAATGATGACTGAGATCTGAATCTAAACATCTGTTGGACGCAGAAAAATGACTCTGTGACTAATCTGTTTAACCTACGTTAGGATTACCATCATACATTATGCAATGTATGTAGGTGTAACATAGGTAAAAAGGCCTTGAAGGGTCATTGCCAACATTGACAATCGATATCTTGCCTAGCCGCATAAAAACTACGTAAACAGTATCGTACACTAACTAAAACATAGATACAACACGCGTGACTTGTTCACTGTTTAAACTGAGGATAAAAGGTGCAATGACCTTTAGTTTTCTTTCTAGGGAACCACTATTTTGTATGGAAAGCACTGTTCACCGGTTTTTCACGAGCAAACGAGTCATGCAATGTAGTCGAGAGCGTTTGTAAATGTTGAAAATTTTGAAATATTCGCATAAGTACACTAGTACTTTCGGTTCAACTGACGTTGACGTAAGATACATTGTAGTTTGCTGTACGTGTTCTATACTACTTGAGTTTTGTAAACCAAATGGTTTTGCTTGAAATCCAACAAAAATACATACTAAATGCAAATATGCTAGGTATATAACTTTAAATTATTTCTGGATAGTGTTCAAGATGCACCCAATAAAACGATAACTAAGAAAACTAAAAACTACACACCTACAATACTTTTATTTATTAGCCAAGCATAATATACAAAGATAAAAATAGTACTTTTATAGTTACAATAATATCAATTTTGCCAATCAATTTACCTAAAAGAGCTTGAAGCAACCAAACAGCAGAGAATCTTTATCTAAATACCTTCATATTACTCCCACGAATTGGACCTTTTATTTGAGTACCTATCAATAAGGAAAAATATTAAAAGATACATGTAAATATAAATAGACGGACTCCGTTGAAGTAGATATCTTTAGTATCCATCAAATATCTTTTGAAATTCTTTTCAACCATATCATATCTTTGCTCTTTTGTGTGTACTGGGTATTAAAACATCGTATTTATTGCCAGGACTAAAGGGGAGGCCTTTGTCCAGCAGTGAATGTCTTTCAGTTGTTAGATTAGCATTTATCATTAGATCATTCTAATGCCATCATCATATGAATCAGATCACCATAATAGTCAGTGATAGTCCACAGCTGGACTTCGGGCATCCTCTTCGTATGAGGGGTTTATCATAATCTCCCTTCTCCAGATCGCAGTTTAAAGATTCAGTTGGATCTAAAGAAATCTGTTTATAAGTGATTTAAATGCATTGAAGTGCCCTAAAATTGTGTCACTTCTGCATGGTATCACAATGGCAATATAACTGCTTATATTTCCTGGGTTTATTAATTTAGTTATTTTTTGAAACGTTGCCCCACACTATTGGATTTGTATATTTATTATAAGATTAAAATTGTTAACAATAAATGCAAGTTCCAATTGAATGACGTCGAGATGATAAATGAAGCCATATTTCGGAGTTGAGCTCCTGATTTACGCCCGGTTTCTGCCAGGATTAATTGAATCTGTTGCGAAATAAATACATAAACGAATGCGATTGTTTGACCGTACATTAATATAAGGGTTGATGGTAACAATCAATCATATATTGACGTGAGCCCTTCTCTTATTTATTTATTTTCATAATATTCATCGGTCTAATATTTTTTATTAGGAGCAAATTTTAGGTAGCAATACTTTTTTAGTTAAACAAAATTTCCGAGAAAGTAAGATATCAAGGATTACATAAAGCTACATTCGGCTTTATGAGAAAGTTTAACTTTCGTTTCATAAACAATTGGCTGAGGCAAAGACACGTAGGTTCTACTTATCGAGCAAAATAATTAACTTAAATAAAACTGGTGTAATTTTATTGTTTACGTTTACGAACGTTTTCATTTGCGAGTCTTCCCAGTATACGGAGCTGTTAACTTAAACTCCGGTATTTATAATGAGCTCAATAGCACCGACAAACATACCTCTGTCACTCTCATCCTGAACAAACACACGAAGTTAGAGTGAGACAAAGTACTGTCGGAATTAGTGCCGTTTTAATTTTATGAATACAGAGAAAATACATTGATGTCTTAGTTTAAAGCAATCTTCACGCTTGTTAGGCTCTCTTTAGGGATTCAACAGTTTTCCTCTGAAAATTAAATAAATAATTATGTCTCAGCTGAAATTATGCTTGTATTTTAAAGATCTACCCAATGGTTTTATGTAATTAGCGATTATTTAGTGTAACTGAAATTTTAAGTAATTCCAAGAATAGGTTAAGTATTCTCAAAAGAAACGTATTTTACGTACCTACGTTTCTCTAAGGAAGTGTCAGAAAAGGTGTTGCACCTTAAGGTCTTCGGGACAGGCTAGAAAACTATCTTCGATACTTAAAAGGGCTGATGGTAGCCATCAGAGGGGTATTAGTGGCGTGGCGTCCCAAACTCCCAAATTTTATTCCCCAAAAGGCTTTTAGAAGGTCCCTGACAAAAAAATATTTAAATGAATAGTTTTAAAAATGTAGAAAACGACTTAAAAATAATCAAATTTAAAGTTCGTAAAGGAATTTTTAAGTTCAGAGTCAGTTTGACAGGTAAGTAAGGGAACGATATCATTCCGCCACCTTTTGCCCCATTGCCATTGGGAATGTTCCCATAAATCTAAAACTTTTTAGACTTTAAAGTAGATAAGAGGGGATATCGAACAGTTTAAAACAAAAAAATGTTGTAATATTGTACGTTTTTAAAGTAACACTGAAGCAAAAAATGTACACTTTAAGAATGATAGAAAATATTTTATTTTAATAAGTGAAATAGTGTAACCGGTCCATGAAACGTACTGGCCAAATACTTAGCTAGTTTTCTAGGAATTGCAATGAAACTATAGAGCAAGAGTCCTTTGCCTTTTATTAAACTCAGGGATATCTTTTCTTTAATTGGTACAAGCCCGCCACAACCTCCCAAAACCGCTGCAACTCCTGTAAGCCAGGATCTACTGCAGATACAACCATGAAAACACCGAAATACTGAAGTCCGACGCGTCGCAGGGACATGAATAACTGTCTTGGTTCCCGCAACGAAAGGAATTAGAAGATATTATAAGAGGAGAATAAAAAACTCAGGGAGATCTATTGAAATTTCTCTTATCGAGACTTTATAAGTAGAAGTTTTGCGTCTACAGATAGTTTGAACATAACAGCTGAAGGAGTGGGAGTCTCTTACATATGTATGCCTCAAAGCGCTAACTCTAACCGATATAAAGTAAAACGCGCGATCATAAAGTTACATCAATTTTATAAAGGTAAACGAGTACCAACTTTGTTAAGTATCTCCACATTTCCATACTTGTTCCACAATAACTTGTATTAACTCAACTGAGCTATGATTTATGTAAGTTTCGTTATTACCCTTGAATGTGAAGTTAAGCAAACCCCGTCTTACAAGTATAGGCTTACTAAGTTTTATCCGGCGGTCCATAAGTGGCATAAATCACCTTTATCGCGTACTCTGATACTTACTTACTGCATCACGAACACGCTTGACTTCACTTACAAGTTTGTGATCGATGCTCAATATGTTCATATCTACATATTTGCTGTTTAATGCACTTTTGTTCTTTATGATTTCAATTATTTTTTACTGGAATTTTTTGTGACTTAGATGTTAGGTGTGCCTACTCTGTACTTCCTGTATTGATTCCTGTCTACATCAATTTCGTCTTAAGATTAGGTAATCTCAATCTTAATATTATAGGTTCTTAAGAGAGCTATATTTATTGACTTTAACCAATAATTTTCCAAAATTAGCTCTAATTAGCTTATACACACATATCACTAACTTGATTTGTACCATCACCAGCACTGGATTTGTTTGAACTGCACCACACAGACACACACACACACGCACGCACGAATTGAGTATATTAAATTAATTACACTACAACACAATAAATAACAAAATTATTATCGAAATATTCTCAAAACTTAAGTAAGTCTAGTTTTTAACCAGACCTATGATAGCTTCACTAGGTCTTGGGATTTGTACCATTAATCCATATTAAGTTAGTGCAGACTGTCTGGAAGCAAACTCCTTTGATTTGAGGTATCCAGGGACATGTCATCGGTTACCTAATTCGTAAACTTTGCGTATTTCAATTTGATGTAAGCTGGACGATGTGATAAGAGATTAAAGTTATTAATTAGTTCAGTAATAGAAAATATTTTGTATTTAATGATATGTAAGCACCTATGCATCACCGATAGTCGCAAGCGCAACGCTCTTTACCATCTCCAATATAAGGGACTTAATTTACTTAAAATTTTTTGGTCTATGTAGGTATAAGTGGGTCAATACGAAAAATAATGTAATTGGCTGAAATTGGGGTTATTGTAAGCAGCCATTTATATCTGACAATATACCTAATTGACATCTACTTATCTCTTTCACAAAAATAGCGAACCACCAACACCGAGAGTCCAGTGCAATGACCAACACAAACTTAGCCATTTGCGGTAAACTATTTCAGGAAGATCCATTTCCTATTAACCACCAATATTGAGCACACCTCTTAATTGGACCCCGATATAGTAAGTATTGACTAGAAAATAGAGCAGGTTTTATAAAAAAATATTAATTAGGTTATGTTGACTGGGAGGATTTTAAGCACAGAACATTATAAAGAAGATTTTAAGTGTGGGAGAGCCATGCTTCGGCACGAATGGGCCGGCTCGACTGGAGTGATGCCACGGCCTCACATAAAACCGACGTGAAGAAACGCTTGCGTTATGTTTCGTCGTGTGAGTGAGGTTACCGGAGGCCTAATTACCCTCCCCTTCTCCAATCTCCCCAATTCCTGAATCCCCAACGATCCTCAAACTCCTAATCCCCAAAAGGCCGGTAACGCACTTGTAACGCCTCTGGTGTTCCAGGTGTCCATGGGCGACGCCGATTGCTTATCATCAGGTGATCCGTCTGCTCGTTGACCGGCTTATGCTATAAAAAAAGGGGAGAAAAAGATCGAAGACGAGAAGAAAAAACGAATGTCTAGTGTTATTACAGCATCATCAATTAATTTCAGAACCAATGCAAGCGGAAGAAAATGACAAATCAATCATCACTTTCTGAATTAATAGAATGCCCCCGCGACAACGAGAAGCACCTGATAGTAAGCAACCGCCACACATGGATAACCGCAACTCCAGAGGAGACATAACTTTTGGGGGATTTAAGATTTGTGGTAACCTACACGGTGAAACACAACACATGTACATCAGCGGACATCAGACGATGTAAATAGTCCCATTAATTACACTGCCCACATTGATGAAATTATAGAATCTACAATGATTTATACTAAAACACAGCGTACGTGCGATCGGACCAAGTGGGTTGTGGCAGCTAGTATTACAATTGAATTAGACCTGCTAATCCGATATTATGCTAATTTGCATGCATGTACTAAACATGTCAATTATCTTAGGACTATACATGTACTTACAGATCATGCACTTTCAGCGTAGAAAATAAATTAAAAAAGGCACTAATCTACAGCAAGATGTTTTTATGACTCAGTATATTTTCTTACGTATTCACACATTTTTTGAACAAATAAATTCGTTTACCTACTTTAGATTTCGAAAGATAATTTCACAGTAGCGTCTAACCTACCCCTGAATTAAAACGGCGTAAGAGTTTAGTTCCGACGTGTGACATTAAGTAAAACTGGGTGTGCAAGAGTGATTCACATAATTTAAATAGACAGTTAAAAGTACAATCAGGTGATTTGTATGGATGACATAAAAATTATAATATTTAACATGATGACGTGTGTAGGGGCGGTCATTGAGAGAGTGACATGAATGGTAGTCGCGCATGCGCGCAGGCTCCGCTTTCAGAGAGATATAAGCACGCCGCCCGAGCCCATCGACACACAACTTTGGCGCGCCCAAACGTTCCAACAGAGAACTTGGCGACGGACAACATATAATATACTCTCAATTTAACAACCTCATTTAACTTCAATATATTTATTTCCCAACAACGACATCCTCCAGTGAGTTGTGACTAAGTTTTTTAAGTGAATTCTACTTTAGCAAAACATTTTCCGCGAACTTTTAGTTACTTTTGAAGTTTTCGTCGGCGCGACAACTCTGTCGGTCGGAGGTGAGTGCACTATTATACTTTATTTTAATTGTCATTTAAACATTATAAGATACTGTTATTTTACTTATAAATATTATATCAGGTATTTAAATAAAAAAATCATTCAGTCATATTTTAAACAGAAACGTAATAAATTATATTAGGGACAAAAAATATATATGAAGAAATTCATGCAATCTTTAAATAAATGAAGATGTTTTTAAATATCCCAAAAAGTAATTGGGTAGTATTTAAAGGTCAATATATTTATTTTGAGAACCGTAAAAATAATATAAAGTTATTGGATAAAAATATCTGAAAAATATCTAAGCAGTATAAAATCACTTAGACAAAAATGTCATGTTATACAAAGATAATAAAGTTTATAAACAAAAAGTAATAATATCCGCTAGTATAATGTTTTATAATGTTCTTGTAACATGACTCATGTAGAGTTAATAATATACAAAACACACGTTGTTGACTCTGTGAAGCATTTTGGACATATTTATTAATAGATTACAGTATATATGATGTAATGTACGACTTGATTAAAATCATACCAAACGAGATAAGATAAACGAGGGTTCAACAATTATTGTCATAGTTAGGTATCATATAACATATATATACCTATGACAATATAACGAGCCGAAAACGTGTGCTTGGATGTTAGAAAATTTCCAACAAGTTACCTCGTTATATGCTTTATCAAACGAATTAAACAGACATGTTGTAAAAATTGTTCCGACGGATTGTTAACAGTAACTCCGCAATCTAGTTTCCTATTTAACAGCAAATTTTTAGTTGGTAACAACAGAAAATGTGATGAGATGGTCAAAATGGATTCAGTTTAAATATTTGTATATTCTGTATTTTTAGAAGTAGGTAATAATAATTTTAATTGTTATGCAATTTGTGGAATCATGCTGTTGTGCAATTTAAAACAGGTAGCTATCACAGTACATCGCTCAATTTAAAACAATTAAATAAATCTGTGTCGTATAATTGGGAGAGTTCGAAAAATAACGCCACTTTTCTCGGTGTCGTCGAAGCTTAATTGTTTTATGTTCCCCGGCGCAATAAATTAAGAAATTACATTTAAATCACAGCGCAATTTAAGTGAACCCGAGCCGAGTAAAAAATTAAACGGCTAAATAAACCGACGAATTGAAAAATATTGCGGCGAATGAGGGAAAGGGGAATGTGCGGACAGACTTGCGGCGGAACGGTCCGGAGAGATCTTTCGAGACACATTTTCCGGCTTCTTGTTGAAGCACGAAGCACTGTAATTAAAGAAATTCATATAATAATGTGCGATATGGCATTGCGATGTACGAACAATTTTAAAGACTTCTTTTTTGTTAACTGTACCTAAAAGTTGGTCAAGTTTAATTATAGATTTAGAAAACAGTTACTGTTATTCTCTATTTCCAATCTTTTTTCATTAAAAACTTAATTACTGATCTGTTGCGTATTTGTCTGAAATAAAATTATTCCGATAATATTGGTTTAAATAATTCCGCGGCATGCCGCATGATAAACTATTTATAATTAAGTATTGACAAGATAAAATGATGATATTTAGGTAGGTATATTTTAGTCTCATGAGATGGCAAAAAGCAATGTGTATACCTATTACTCATATCTACATGTTATCTGGAGATTCCCTTGTTTCATAAAATAGTATTTATTCAGTTAAAATTATATTATTACAAATGAAAGATAACAAAGGTATATGACATTACACAATACGTACTTTGTCAGATTGTAAGCCTTTGAACTTTGATTTCGGTAGGTATTTGTTATATTGAACATTGGCATCCAATTTTCTCATTCTCGTTGTTTTATGTTCCGTAGATTAAGAATGATAAGGATAGAACTCTTAATTTTACCTCAGGGCATCATAATTTACTTATTGATGTGCGATCCTACACATTTGAACGTATAACTTTACTCCCAAAGGACTCTTGTTACAAAATATGTATTCAGAATTTGCCAAAAAGGTTACACACATTCTTTTAATGACGCGTTATTTATGCTTTCAAGTGCAAATAGCAAACAGAGATAATACAATCGGTCAACTGCTATTAGATATCAAAGAACTCTAAAAGCTATTTTGGACCGATTATCTGCTACTTTGTGTCAATTATAGTTTATCAGATTTTTATGTTATAATATTTACGTTAATGATGACAACGCGGATTGGAGTTCCGTCAGAAAATTATCATATTATTACAAACAAAGATATACTCACGGGACGTGGGAATTTTGTGAAAATAACTACCTAACTGCTAAACTTCATTTACTAAGTTCTTTTTTTGCATTTAAGTTTACAAAATCCACGCGTTAATTTAGATTAAATTGTGAATAATTTAGTTACAAAGTATAAGTTTGATAACAAGTTTTAGTGTGGTGCCGTTACATATTTTATTTAACGGTATCTTTGCGAAGTGCATACTTTGTGTAATGATCTCTTTTATAGTGATTGAGTCTTGTCTCTTATGATACTGCATCAAAAGGAATGCTACTGACGTATGTAGGTCTGGAGGTTCTAGATTAAAGGGAATATATAGTTACATTTCATGTATTCACTATCTTAAATTACGGATCTACAAAGTTGACACGCGCTGGTATCTGGTGTCCGCAAAGCATTGAATAGTGAGACTAGGCAAAGCATTGTGCGTCTGTCGCACACGCTCTGTACACTATTTTATTTAGTTTACGGAATGTTTGCTTGGTATATATTTACACGGTACAATGAAATTCATGAGTCCGAGTGCTCATAACAATAAGCAAAAGTTTGCAGCAGAAATGCGGAACACAGCGGTAAGTGGGATCGGGAGAAACAATAGGTGTTCTTGTGACGGTTGCTGAATAATTACTGCAGGCCCTCCGATTTTACTCCTGTAGCTGGTTCCACTTCATTATCAGATAATCTCTGTTCACCAACAGAGTTCTCTATCAAGAAACGTAATCTTATTGTTCAATAACAATTAATTGAGACGGAAGTTTGATTGTTCAGGAAATTATAATAGCAAAATGGTTTCAGTTATGTGACGAACTGTTTCTTTTTGTTACAAAAGTTTCTTAGACTTTACACTTTTGACAGGAAATATTACGTTTCTCTTTGTGATACTTTGAATTTGGAGAATAAAATAAGTAGGTACCTTTAGGGACGAAACTTTCAATCGGATAATACCTCTAAATACCGCGTTCAAGGGAGATTCGAATTACAGGACTCAGTCAAATCTTCGATTGTCTTTTGTTGGAATAGTCGGTGAAGTTGAGGTGGCCAGTAATCCGCACGAGGTTAACGTTCAAGTAGTTTTTAATCACGTCGCGCACAAGTTGGCGGAGATCGTAATACTTCACAGAGTCGAGGGCCGCGACTTTTGCAGCAGTAATCCTAAAGAGTTTGCCAACATCATATTTCCGAAGATAAGAACAGTTTTGTCGCCTTTAATACTTTGGCATACTTTGTGTTACATAAAAAGGATCTCATAGTTATCCAGGAAAATATGATATGTTGCATTCTTTCAGTATGATTTTCAAACATTACTAGAT